GTACCACTTCATCCGCAACTACGCTATTTGATGAATAACTCCTTTTTCGGTTATCTGGGTAACTAAGGTTTGAAATAAGGCTGCCTATCACACACATGGGGCCTGCATGGTCTCTATGCGTTGCAGCGACGATACTAACAAGCTATCTGTCGGTAGTCAAATAAGGTGAGTCACGCCGTCAAAGACTCATGCTGTGGGTGCTGCGACGTTCCGCAGCCCTATCAACTTTGACATGCGATAGATGCAGAGACCTCTCAAGTTCTTTGGTAGATTGCCAGGTGAGAGAGCCAGCTTTCCGACGATTGGCGGAACTCCGTCTCACTGGCCCCGTCTTCTCTATACTTTGTTTCTGGTAGCACTTTTGCGAGCTTACCCTTCAAACCAAGCTGGTGAATACTATATCTATAGGGCAGTCACCCTAGCATGATGTCCTCTCTGTTCGTTCATTTAAAGCACCGCAACTGCTACGATGGACAAGTTCTAATAGGTCGGCCTCGTCCTGCTTCATCGTCTCGGCAGAGTCCTACACCGGGGAGGCCTTGATTAGAGATAGCAAAGTCCTTTATTCATCAGAGGCCAACGTGGTATTACATGGTAGTCCCTCTGCACTAGGGCGGCACAATGAACAAGAACACAAACTGATGATGAGAGCTGTAAGTGGGCGTCGATATTATGAGATCTCGCCTTTGCGCACTAGGACAGCACGATGTGACATCAGTTACCTCGGTGGCGCGTTCCATCACAGCGCATCTCATCTATGTACTATCTACGGAATATACTTCTGTTGGTACCCTTTGCATATCCAGCCTCCACACCTTTGACCGCTTACAGCGACCCGTAGTCTTGAGATTGCTCAACATCACAGCAAGCTTCTCCTATAAGGATAGATCATGCACGTTGATGCCTGAACATCGTAAATAGCCTCTGAACTAAAAATATCTACGTAAATCAACTGCCATTCACTCCACCAGGCCACATCTGCAAGTCCTCTCATTCGCCTTCCCCTGGCGCCTAGCTATGCTCGTTGGCTGGTCTCACGGCCAACTGTCTATCCACCTCGTGCGTCCACTGCTTGTTACTGTGCCACGGCTCCTATATTTATCTGATGTCCACGTGTGACACCCCACGGCAAGGACAATGCCGCTAGATATGCATGTGGTACATACTGAAGATCCTTCCGGAATGGCGGTATGTATTTCTTGTAGACTCTATCACAACTGCCACGAGGTCCGTGTCTGGGGTGGCTGGGGCAAGGCGGCTTCGCGTCTCTCATATTATATCTGGAATATGGGGTTCTTTGGTTACTTGCTCAACGTAATCGTTTCAACTAATCATGTCACTGCCTCTTCGGATTCTAGATGAGAAACCCTTACTGTTCCTATCAATACGAGAATGAGCGGCTAGACATACGGTTCAAGCCAAGCGGAAGCCATTCTTGTAATTATAGGATCTCCATGGCTCGGCAAAGATGACTATCAGTGATCTAGGACGTTTGTTTTTAGTGACATCGCTCTTCTTCTATGCAGGAATGACACGAGGTGCTTGTGTAGTAGCACTCCGGTTTACCCTGCAGCGTGGTATTCATTTCCCAATGGCACTGCTCTAGTTCTTGGCATATACTGCTCGCTAACGTAGAGCTCCTGTATTCAAGTCACTATAGTCTACGTAGGAGTCGTATGAGAACCCTGACCTTGGGGGAAAGAACGAACTGATCTGCGAATGCATATTGACGGTGCTTTGCAACTGGATTTGATTCGGTAGTAACTCATTGTTTATTTGTGACTATCACATGGGAAATGTTTTACTCCTTAATAAGACACGCGTTCAGCCCTTCGGCCCTTCACGAGCCGTGAAAACTGGCCAGTGTGGTAATACAGGATAGAATTCAAGACACCACCTCATGTCGCTTCGTTCAATCTTGCTGACAGAACTTGACTACCAATGGCTCCCCTCCCCATGATCCGCCACCACGCCATGCAGGAGTCCTAGCCGCGGAGTGACATGCTCATTACTCACCTTGGGCACGAAAGGTACACCTGGACGAAACTACGCCGCGAACCTTATCAAACCTTAGGTCATAGCTGCAGTCAATGCCCTGATTATAGGATATCACCACACCACCAGCTTATGTCTGTCCTTCAAGTTGTCCATTGGCGCGGCCCAATATTACATCATTTCATAGATATGTGTCGACGATCCTTCCTGCCGACTAGACCCGGCGCCAGTGACAGTGACATGTCGATCCCCCAGGCTTACTATCTACATGACCCATGCTCGCTCTGTATTATTAGGCATGGGACTTCGCGGCAAGAAAGTCCTACATCTCCAGCATGCGGCTCGGCTGGGTGTTGTTCATATCCGGAGAAATTATGAGCTCCTATCCATAACCGCCCCTGAAATAGCGATTAAGATGGACCATAGTGCTTAACCCAACTTAGACGCTAGGGTGATCTTTAGAAAGACACGGGTAAGAACATCGTTATACCTTGGAGTGACCTACTGTTCATCTTAAAAGAGCCTTTAAGTTAATATATAGCACACCGAGTATTAATGACTCCTCGGATTAGGACAGCAAGATGTTACATACAATGCGCTCAAACCCAAACTCTCGGGCCCGAAGATCTTTCAGACAAGCCTAGATGACGACGAAACAAGGAATATCAACCTCGTGCGGAGACACAAAGCATGAGACAGTAGGTAGCATAAATGGATGCAACGGCCACAATTATACATAATCTGAACCAGACTATGATAATCAGTGGGAGTGCTTACCTCCAGCTAAGGGAGGCACAAAGCATAGCAAGACTAGATCAAGTGGGAAATAGGTTATTCTGCAACAAGACGGCGCATGCCACGCGGCAAGAGGGCTGGAGAGGACACGACAGGACCAGACCAGGCCAAGCCAAACGAGACATAAACACACAAGCTCGACAAGGAAGCCACCAGGTGTGTAGACTAACGTATGATTCCAAAGCAGGCATTCCGGAACAACAAGAGAAGTAGAAAACCGGGCATGGGCCATCTATCTAGCTGCGGCCCATACCCCCCTTACCCTTTTCCTGCACGGCTGTGGCGAGGTGTTTCTAGTCCACAGAAGCCGAAATAAGGAGAGCCAATGCACGAGACCATCTCGTAGCCAGTTAAGGATGTTCATGTATACATGCCGATACATTCCCCTCTACTGTGCCAGATACTATGCCCCTAGGTTTAGCTACGCACACCTCTCCCCCCAGCACACCCGTCCACTGATCCCCTGATCAGGAAAGAGAAGAAAGAAGCTTGGTTTTTTGTTTTTTTTCGGAAAAATAATGTGCCACAGGTAGATAGATAGACGTGCAAACCTAATCTCCCGATGTAATGCGGAGAGATGTCCGAATACTGGTGATTACGAAGCTTCGGAGCCGAACCTCGGGAGAATGAGGTAGACAGTAGAGCCAGTTTCACCTTAGAAAGCAACTAGTTGCGAGAGAGAACGAAAGCACGTACGAATGCCATACCACATACCATGCATGTACACTGCAACTACATCAAGGAATACACACGGGCACTCTCTCGCCACCCATCCCTTCAGACTGTATGTTTCTCCAAACAGTCCACCTATCCGCCGTCCATCCTACGTTCCCAACAAGTTCATCCATTTACATAAACAGCCTTTCCTCAAACCCCAACAAGAAGAACCAACCCAGGGATACACCAACACCTCTCAAAGAAACCCCAGAAACAAACTTGTGAAACTAAGGGAGATATAAAAAACATATATAGCCTAGTATACCTAACTAACACGAACCCAACATAAACATAACATAACAAAATACCATTTGAAAAATTTCCAACCAGGCCCAAAATCACATAAAACACAGGCACTGTGCAACTCTCTAGGTACGGTACAAAAGCAAAGCAATCATCTATCCCTCTAACCATGTAAACGGCACAAAGTATACCCACGCCGGCCCTCACGCCATCACCATCACCATCACCAGGACCGTGCCAATCCGGAACGCAAAGAAGGATCACGAAGAGGACGAAGTACCAAGCATGCTAGGGGCGGGGAAGTCGTATTGTATTGTATTGAATTGCATATAAGTCACAGAATACCTACTTACAGCTGCTCACGTGTGGGGGAGGAAGGGAAGGAGGGAGGGAGGGAGGGGGGGTCTCAGACTTGACAGCCCTCCCGCTCCACGCGTCTTGCCGGTCCCGGATCGAAAACCCCCCAAGCCAATATGGCCAATATGGCCGCGGGAACGAAAAGGAAAAAAAGGATCAGATGGTACTAAGTAGGCAGGTAGTATAGATTAGGTAGTTTCTCTATGAAATGGCAAAGGGGGAACAGGGAAATGTTTTGGATCGTGGTATGGTATCATACACTGCAATACAATACAGTATGCCTCTTTTGACAGGTTGGTATAGGAGTGAAGGTATTCAGACTACTTCTTGTGCCTTTAATACTTCCGTTGTCTTTGTTTCTGATTCCTAACAACGGGAAAATACTGTAGGCGTTATTTAGCTAGAGACTGTATTAGATGGTCTTTACGGGTATTTATATATGTATATGTATGTATGCTAATTGAATGTGGTCCCATGTTTTCGTCAATATCTGAATTTCAATTGTATTATGGTATACCTACTTGTATCCGTATCAAGACAACGACCACCATGCGAACGAAAAATGAAGCGGCCAGCATGCTACATCTGGATATCATATACCGCAAAACCGTACAAGTAGTAGTATAAGCAACCCATGCTCGAACGTAAACCCCTTAGTGAATGTGAAATGAGGGAAGCTCGGGTGAACCTCCCCCAAAAATGTTTGCACACAGAATCGAACAATCTCAGATTGTGTTTATCTTCAATTCATCAATCATCTCCTTTCCTTACCTCGGCACATTATCATCTTATGGCCAAGTCGTACAGCTGGCGATCGAGATATCCCATCGTTTTATTCGATCACCAGGCAGGTGTATATTTCCTTATATGAGTAGTCTCTAAGAGGCTGAACGTCACATCCCCTCTAGCGGTTGACTATAGGTGTAGTTAAAATCAAGTAACCCATCGAGGACCCAATGCTGAGGATCGAAAAAATCGTAGTTTGTGTCGGTCCCATAGCCTCCTAGGCCAATCATGTTATTGGGGCCGGCGTTGAGGCCATGTTGCGGAGTGGGCGTTAATCCACCGTTATTCGTTATTGATCCCATTGTCGTAGGCACGTTGTTTTGTGCCAGAAGGGTGCTATCCATGTGGGTAGATGATGCTGAAGACTCGTTAGCGGAGTCTGGGTTAGTAGCTTGTTTGAGAGCTAATGGATATTAGCATGTTCTCTCAGATAGAGAGGCTAGATGACGAAGGGAATTCTGCTTACAGTCGAGCCCTCGCCCATGTGCTTGGTATTCTTCCCTCCAACGCCAGATCGAGTCATACACAAGACTCATGCTATGCCTACATCGTACCTTGAGCTCCAGGCTGTCATCGACGGGCACTGCCGTGTCATCATCGTAACGTGCCTTGTTATTGTTGATATCGATGCGCGCGCCGTTCCACATCTGTACCATCAGCTCTGCTAACCGCCACGGCAAATCATTGTCCACGGTGCTAGTCTTGCGAATGGCAGTAATGGTTCTGTGAAAGAGGGTACGGCCTCTGGAAGCGTCTATCGTCTTAGCGAAGAAAGACCGCATCAACTTCAACAAGGCAAATCCGCAAGCAACAAGCATTTGCTGGAGATAGTTAGTGGCATAAACCAGGATATACTGGTTCGCATCCACGAAGAGAAGATCCAAGTACGCGGACACGGCCCGCCAAAGACCCATCAAGTCATCCATATAACCAGGCGTAGTGCTGGAATCAAAGAACCCAGCCAAGCGTAGATGTACATTTGCGGCTTGCAGATGAGCATCAACGATGGGGGATAAATGTTGTGAAAGGATGGAGGCTTGTAATTCTTGGAAATCTCGTCGATACACGCGCATTAGCATGGCTCTATGCTCGTCACCGGCAACACCTCGTGGATCGCTAGCGTTACTGTACATCTCTTTTGAGACTTTATCAGCAAATCTCTCTATACGCAATCGCGCCTCTAGCTCCGGCGACAACGTAAAGGGACCATCCTCGCCAGGACGGATTGCCAGCGTCCAATCATACAAAGTAGTTGCCGGCTGGCCATAAGCCGTGCCGATAGACTGCGCAACAATGTTACATACAGCCCACGTGGTGACGCGGTCATGGAGCTGGTCTTTGTTGAGTTCTACAGACACCCTAGAGAAGTCCTGCGTATGATTAGGACGGTGCATGCCAATGCCCGTTGCAGCCTTCATCATCACACCGCATAAGATGTGAGTGGGATCTGCCGTCGTCGTACTCGTTGGCAACGGCCATGTACACAAGAGACATAAGGCCTTGACTACAAAATAGCTATTGGGCACGTCTCCTACTGTTCCCCACAGCAGCCTATTGAGAGGACCGCTTGACAATTCGTGAAGGATAGAAGGTTTAGGGGTATAACGGCGGGATGCAATGGCAATAATGGTCCAGAAGAGGAGCGCATGCTGTTGATAGTACAGGTCGGGCGATTGGTGCTCGTTGAGAAAAGGAAGAAAAGGGTGGTAACAAGTAAAAAACTCTTGGAACAGCCCGTGCACGTCCTGCTCAGTTAGACGTACGTGTTCCAACTCGTAGGCGTAGTGAGTGGTAGGCATGCTATAAGAGCCACCCCTCTTCAAAGTGAGAAGCGATGTCACGGCCTCGTCGGACCCCATGAGGGAAGGGTTTCGGGTGTGAGAATATGTGCTGTTGGCGATGGGCGACTGCAATTGGGATTGGAGGTCCTCCTCTTCTTCCATCACAAAGCCCTGTGCCTTGGCCTGGGCAATATTCCGGCGCAATCGTTCAATCTCCTTTTCCATCTCGGCATGTTTAGAGCGCTTGCCGACGCGCTTGAAATTCGATTCGATTTTGCATTCGAGCTTGAGGCGGTTGCAGCGCGAGCAACTCTGAAACGGATTCTGTACGACATCGCACCGCAACTAGAGACAATTGAAGTAACACGAGTCAGCCTCAGTACAATCCGGAGAATTGCGATGACGCATGTCTGAGATACACCCAGGTGCCTGTTCACACTGCATGGACCTTTGTCATCGCATCTAACACTGGCAGGAGGCGCGGTGCGGGCGGCATCGCGAACTCTAGAGATGCGTGGGGGGTTACGACTTCTCTACGCCGAGTGCGACCCATCGCCATTGAAGCGATTGGGGACCATTGCGAGTATTGCGATGGCGGCGGCGGCGGCGGTGGTGGTCGTACAAGACGAGGCAAAGAAGGTCGATGGTGGGGGGTTGGACTCACTTTCTGCTGGCGACATTCGTTGCAAGCGCGCTTGACGCCAGGTTGTCGCTTCTTTTCGGGCTCGATCAGGGAGTGATCCTCGTCGCCGATGCTGCCGGGACTGCTTTCGACGGTGCTGCGCTTCCTCTTGACGGAGTCGTGGCGATGGAGGCTCATAGGACTAGTCGGACTCATGGACGGGGCCGAAGGGGCGCCGCCGACGACGACGTGGCCATCCATGCATTCAATGGCGAAAGAAGCGGAAGCTATATCCCGAATATGAGGCCGACGCGCAGGGTCGGAACCGCAGCAGTAGCTCCGACCAATGCTGCTGTGCGCTGGGCTGGACTGGGCTGGGCTGGGCTGCTGACTGGTGTCTGGTGTCTGCCGGTGCGCTCTCTACCGTTGTTATTTTTTTTTTTTTCTCCCTCTGCCGTTCACTGCGTTTCTCGGTGTCGCGCGGTGAATGGGAGACTTAGGCACACCGATCACGGAAGGAATTGGGTGAGGGAGGGGTCTTGAACTAATAATAAAAGGGCGGGAGAATGAACTCTCGACACAGGGCCAAATCAAAAGTGCTGAAAATTTGCTTCTGGCACTAAAACGGGCAAGCCGACCAACCATCTATTCCATCCACACCGGCCACGAGCAGCAACCCACTGAAGACTGACTGGTCTGGTCTGGCGTTGCGTGAGCAAAAGCTCTGGTTGGCGGCAGACAGAACAGATGGCGGCCTGAACGGGGTGGTGCCTTGCTAGGTACCTACCTACATGTACAATATACAATGTACTCATGCCTTTTTCACAGCTGGCGGTCAATACTGTATGCTAGCTACTGTGTAACTAGCGAGCTGGCAACCTGGCAACCTGGCAACCTACGAAGTCCACGTGTGTACTTCACTTCTGACCTGACTCGGTGGCTACAGAATACCTACTACAATCAGATCCAATGTAAGTAAGTGAGACAGGCTGCCATTGACAGTCCGGGGAGCAAGCCGTGTGGGTTTCAGATGCGAAAGAAGGCGGACGGGAGTGGCATACCAACTTGAACCAGGTACGATCAAGACCGGGAGAGATAAGAAGACGAATAAGACGTGTGCGCGTGTGAGAGGCGTCGGAGCCCACTTTAGACGACAGAGAGATACCTATACAAAGATAGATACGATGGACACTTACTTATTAGAGCTATCTGCAAGTCTGATTCATCCCACCGACTCCAATATCGAGAACATTTGAGAGGTGGCCGGCCAGAGTTCTGCCTGAGTAGTATAGTCTGGCGAGTCTGGTCGAGGTAGGTAGGTGGTCTGGTGGTACCTAGGTACATAAGAATTGCACTGTGTTTCTTGAACACCCAGCTGACCTGCACTACCCGAGCCGCCCTTGCCCGAAAGGGTCAAGCCGGGCTGTTGCCAAGCCTCGGGAATGAGGGGTATGCTGTGGGTCATCCGTGGGTCTCGTGTGAGGCAATTGACCACTGAGAGCACTGATAGCCCCTTCCATAGGCAGCATAGAAGCAGGCGAGGCAGGTCACTGCGATCCCTCCCTTGGAATGGAATAAATTCATTGTCCACCCAGCTACACGTAAGTGATATTTCCCCAAGGTCAGAAGAATGTCTAGTAGATACTACTTACACCAATGTGCCTGTAGGAACTATTGATTATTTCATATGTAGGCAGTTAACCCAAATATAGTTTCGAACTTCCTTCGTAGGTCCATGTATGGACTTGGTGGTAGCCTGTGGGCATCCTAGCAAAGTTTCATGTACACCAAGTTCCCATGCAAAGTAGCAATATACTTACACGCAAGCTGCATTCGACTGCATCTATCTGCCACCCTATATATCACCATGTAAGTTAAACCCGCCTGCTGTGTAGGTAGGTAGGTATGTACGTAGAGGCATTCCAGGATTTACTTCACTCCCTAGGTAGTAGGTAGTGATAGCTATGGGAACTGTGAAGGGGCCCAGTACGTAGGTAACATACTGGCTGCTTTGGAAAGCAATTCAGAACACGTCAACTCTCACAATCACTATATGTAGTACTACCCTACATACGCTCATCTTGTCAGCAACAATAAAGCCGTTTCGCAATAATCTTATTTCCTGCGTTATATGTGACCGCGCCTGCATGCTTGCAGATTGGAGGTGGCGGCGCATCTATCCGCGATTTACCATGGCAAACAGACAGACAACCTACGGTACCACTAATCATATGCCCCCAATAAAACAGTACGTTATCTCTTTCTCCGTCTGTTTACTACTTTTTAAAAATTTAATTAAAAAAATGAAAGGAAAGAAAGAAAGCAAAAACCCTCAAGTTGGTTCAAATGGCGTAGATTTATGTACATCAACTGCAGATATTACATCAAATTGTGTGAAGTTTCCATCATCATCATACGTTGGGATTACCAAAGCCATGGAGTCATGTGTCAGCTCGGATTTAAGTAAGTAGGAACTAAATAACCCATCTCTTACCCCCGGCAACCAGCAATTGGAACCAGGTTCTCTCAACTCTGCGTCTGACACCCCCCCAGTCTCTCTACATAGCCTTAATGGCCATTGACTCTAATATCATTCCCACAATGAATGAAGAAACTCGTCCCACTCATGAGCCAACAGTGCCGTCTCGCAGACTGTTCAAGGGTACGCTGAGCCCACCCTGCGCCCAACCAGCACACAAGTCATATACCTTGGCCCCGGCATCGATCTCGAAGGTGCACGTCAAAGACCTATCCAAGAAACAAGCGTCAGGTAAGTCCCACCACTTGGCCGACTAGGCGAGCTTGACGTGGAACCTTTCCCATCTTCTCTTGCCATGTCCATTCACTGTGATTGTCTCATATGTCGCCCATCCTCGAGACCCGATCTCTTGCTCAGGCACTCACGCTCTCATTTTAGGCCCCGACCCCATCGCCATCTCATCCACCGCCGTGCGTCAACCCTTTGTGGACCCGGCCGTCCTGCAGCGAGGGCATCCGCCTGCTGCGTGATGAGCGGTCATCAATGATCTAGTTCCATAATTTGCCCCATCAAGGGACCACACCAGCCCGACCTAGTCACCTCGCCGTGCGTGTTATGCCTGGAGGCGGCTACAAGCTATTCGCTCCGGCTTCTCGAGTTGGCCCCTCAATGGGCCACTGGAAGGGCGTACATTGCCAAAACCTAGCCAGTCCGGTGTCCCGGTCGATGCTCCTCCGCTCGGCTGGCCGCATCACGTGGTGCCGGGTCCCTAGCGGTTTCGGGAATGTCTGCAACCTGATTCTTGACACGTGGGGGCCGGCTTCAGACAAGACTCGACAGGTCATCTGAACTATCAACCGACTGTATCACGTTTCTGGCAAAGTCACAAACGACGGTTACTAGTTTTTTCTATGAGTTGTCGACCGAATTTTCAACAATAGCTTGGCGGCCCAGGTCCTGGTTCTATCAGCGAATTTCAACACAACAAACGTCTGCGGAGCTCCGAGTACGGCCTCCTTGACTCGTTGTATTGCCCCACTACACATGCAGAACGACGTATTTGGCTAACAACAACTAAATACGTCCATTAATAGCTAACATGGATGAACGCTCACTGAGTTGTCTAGGTATATGACTCGTACGCCTAGATTTTCTAAATATAAAAGAGTGGACATATACGAAACGGTGCGCTGTAATTTTATAGAATAGGTAGCTATCTGACGGATGGTGTTGATTAGACAAAATCTCACATGTGCTGATTATCTTATACATACGTGTGTCAAGTCAAGTATGCATTCGGCGACAAGTCATAAGCAGTCTCGGTAGTAATGAAATGGGGCCATCCAGCCCTCATCAACAAGCCTCGTTATAATACTGAAATGAAGAGCTGCGCGATAAGAAAACAAGAAACAAGTACGTAATGCAAGATGATACACCATAGTGTTAAACCGTGCACTCACTCGCCATTGAATGAAATGTGTGAATACGACTCTCAATTTGATATGAAGAGATAAATGCTGAACGGCGAATGATCATTGCAATAACTAATCAGATATATATAAGCTTTAATTCTAATCATGAACCGAAACCCCCTGGTAATGTCGATAGAAGAAGTGATTGGGATTTCAATCTCTGCAACCTTCCTTGACAGCAAATGTTGCATTAATGCTGATGTACGCCACTTTTTCAATGAAATCCTCCCATTTCTGTCTTCTACGCTTCCTCAAACTCGTCCTCACTGACCCCTAACATCCACCCAATCCTTCTGCCGCCGCCGATCCTCCGCATCTCCCGTGTTAACAGTATCATTCCGCTCAATCATCAGGACCTCGGCATCCCTAGCGACGGGACGATGTCTCACGGCCCTGGGCACGACGTAGACGTCTCCGGCTTTCATGACCACGGCCTCGACCGTGTCCCCGGACTCGATCTCAAGCGTCAGCTCGCCCGACAGTAGGTAGAATAGTTCGTCTGAGTCGGGGTGTGCGTGGAAGATGAAGGGTCCGTCGAGCCTGGCGATTTTCACGTGCTGGTCGTTCACGGCGGCTACTAGACGCGGGGACCATGTCTCGGTGAAGGAGGCGAATGTTGAGGGGATGGATACGGTGGCCATTGGAGACGTAGGATCTGAGATTTATGCCAACGATGGAGGTTATAATAATAGTTGCGAAGGTGTCTGCTAGGTAGCTAGCTACTGACAATGTAGATATATGAAAGGTGACGGAATTTCAAAGTCAAAGGAGCAGCATGGAAGGGTATGAAACATATCATGAATCTCTTTATATAGTTCCACGCATATTGCTCCTTGTTGTTTGCGAGAGAAAACAAATAAGGTTTAGAGTAAAATATGTGGCTTGACAAGGGCGCGCCCTTCGAAGATGTTAACTCGCGTGAGGGAATACACACACGCAGGACTGATTGATCAAGCCTCATAGCCTTTGATCAGTGAATACATAGTTCAATCTCAAGGGCGTCACTTTGAAACATAATATTTAAGACATACACGATCGAGCATTCATAGTTCTCCAATTGACCCATGACAGGTAATCCAACATGGCTACACTATGGCTACGTCTCAGTTAGTACGGACCTGATAGACGGTAACTCAGTCGTCGCATCCGAGGTAAAAGGCATTTCTCATGAGAAGTTTTTTCCTCGCAGATTTGTGACGTGTATGATGGACCGGTGGTTTGAACCATAATCGCTATCTTCAATTCTAACGTGTGCTAGGCTGATTATGACGCTTGAGTACCGGTATGGATTGCCATATGTCACGAATATAGCTAAAGCTGAAGATTTGCTGGCGGATTACTTGATTGTTGTTAAGGCGATGAGTTGGGCCTCCTTCGTGGGATATGTAACTTCACGTCTCAGCAGCCTCGCCACCATTAGGCGACAGTACGCCTGCTTCAGCTGCACAGGCAGTCGGGCATTGGTTTCAATTACCTGAGGCATGCTGCACCGTCGTGGAATAACAACGAACGAACAATGTTAAATCCGGATTATCAAATGAAACCTTTCGCGGAAAACTATCGAATGCATCAAGTTTTGAGTGCTGTATTGGTCATAAACCATCGTGGCCTTAGCTTGGCGGGGAGAGATGCCAAGCACCTGAAGTCGCGAAGACGCGAGCAGACCCCGCTCATCTCAGCAGCTTTCATAATCACTCCATGTATTACGCCTTTAGCGTATTACATCTCTACTTATCTACCTATATGCAGATTACATGATCAGACGCAATACCTAGGCTATTCTGCCTGGCGTTAGTAACTCGGGTTGCCAAGTAGTTCGACACTTTTCATCAAGTTAGTTGAACACCGGCTTTGAGTAGCTGATCCAATTAACGAACCCGCGCATCTCGTCTAAGTAACGCATTGTACAGTAGTATCGTCGCTAGTTCCCTTGGTAACCCAGGAATAGCATCGTATGTAGGTACTCATCGTACATACGTACACACGTAGGCAAGCGTTACAGGCGTATGCAACATTCTGGTCGGGGTTTGAGCAACGAGAGGCTCAACTTCCCCAGTGTTGTGCTTGCCAAGAGATTGCCTCAAGATGGGCAAACTGACAAATCGATCTGAGCAACTCGCGTTTTCGGTCCAAGTAGGACTTTCCAGGGATCCTACGAGCAAAGCTAGCAACACGCAAGATGGGCATTTGAGTATACAAGACATTATCACGATGGGCTTCATACCTTTGTATAAATGTCGACGATGTCGTCACATTATCGCCATCCCTTTTTTCGCATCTCATCACGAACATACACGGCAAGCCATTGTATACACATTTGACCAGCTTTGAACTTCAACTATCAACTTTCATCTAGAAAGATCAAATTTAATATTTTGACATCTTCGCAACACCAGCATTCACTTCATTAACAATGTCTGCCAAGAGAATAATCACTGTATTTGGTGCCACTGGCAAGCAGGGCGGGGCCATCGTCAAGACCTTTTTGAACGACCCAGAGCTGAACAGCACCTGGACTGTCCGCGCTGTTACCCGTGATGTCTCCAAGGACTCAGCCAAGACACTTGCTTCACAGGGCGCTGAAGTCGTCGCAGTAGGTTATTCACCGGTCGACAGGGTACATGTTTAGTTTTAGTGGCAACTAACTGTTTTCCAGGCCGATCTCACTGATAAAGCCACTCTCGCTAAGGCTCTTGAGGGCTCTGACACGGTCTATGCGGTGACCAACTATTGGGAGAAGCTCGACATGGCGCTCGAGGAGCAGCAGGGCCGCAACATTGCTGACGCTGCCAAGGTTTGTCATAGCAACACAGTTTTTATAAGCTGGAATCGCTAACAATGGAATACAGGAAACTGGTGTGAAGCATCTCATCTGGAGCTCCCTTCTCGATGTTGCTAAATGTACGTTCAAAGAACTAGATCCAATTTTGCTGGTCAGGAATCGGGAAAGAACGCCATACTGACCTTCATCAATAGTATCCAACGGCAAATATACTCACCTCTACCACTTCGACAGCAAAGCCCACGTAGAGGAATACGTGCGCGAGCTCGGGATCCCAGCTACTTTCTTTATGCCAGGCTTCTATATGCCTAATATCCCCGGCCAGATGCTGTCGAAGCGAGGCGAGAACTGGGTCTTCAGCTTGCCTATTGCGTCTACATCGCCTATTCCTCTCTACAACCCAGCCGACACGGGTAACTACGTCAAGGCCATCGTGAACAACAAGGAGGCCTTACTAGGCAAGCGGTTCCTCGGCGCGACCGAGTATCTCACAGCGCAAGGGGTTGTCGACACTTTTAAGAAGGTGTTCCCCGAGGACGGCAGATCCGCGATGTATTACGAGACACCCAAGGAGGGCTACTTCGGCTTCATGAAGAGCACCGGGATGCCTGACTTTGTCGTTGAGGAGTTGTACGAGAACATGGTTCTCATGCAGGATTTCGGATACTATGGCGGCGAGCCGCTTGATGAGTCGCTCGGATTTGTCAAGGACAAGCTCACCACCTGGGCTGAATACACCAAAGAGGCTCCCGCATTTGCTGGTCTGAAGTAAACATGATGCTCGATGTTGGCGGCACATACTAGCATACAAGATAGTTAAATCATAGATGGTTTCCCATCAGTTTCATTGTGTATTGGCGCAAAGTGTCTTGTAATTTGGACAAGGAAGTGAGCATGATGACAGTCAGTAGCTAGGCTGGCTTCGCATCATAAATTGAAAAATAATTCGTTGGACGCAGTGTGCCCAATGTGTATATAGAAGAAATGGTCGGATCGTATTTAGAAGAAGCTGGCATTTTGATGCGAATCAATCAAGATGTTGAACTTGGCACGTGAGTTTGCAAGTCTTGGTAAGTAAATCTGGTCGTTCACAAGCCGAGGCTTCCTTCGCCAGATGCCCCAGATGCCGAGTCACGGCCGTTGTTCCACAGACCACTAGGAAAAGGTACAAGGCCCATAGCCTAGCCGTGGGCGCAATGCAATGTACCAGACTGCTAGCCTCTCTTACCCGAGGTGGCAATACGTACCGATGGTATCAATTAGGCCCGCTTTTCAACAGCGACCCCCAGACGATCACCGCCTCCATCCAGCCTAGTTCTCATTTCCACTCCCATCTCACTCTGTCTGGTCTGGTCTGGCTATATCCAGGTTTGCTGTTAGCCAGTCAGTTAGTCAATCCCTACCTGACTGTCATCGTCACTCTACTCCGTGTCGGCGGTACTCGATTGCCAATTCCCTGTCCTGTCAGGCGCGACGGAGAGATCCCTTTATCGCGCATCCCGGTTCTCGAAAATCCAGGTCGGAGAGTACGGTATCGTTAGATAGACAAAGAGTCCTTCGATCATCGCACTTCGAGTATCAACGCAGACGCATACATCGCCATCGCCCGCTGCGCTCACCGCGGCTCGCGGGCGTCTCAATAGAGTGCATGGCTTCGCCGCCGAAACCCTGGGAACGCGCTGGTGCAGCCGGTGCCGGAACTGGTATGTGCTTCTCTTGTATACCCTCGTTTCCTACCCGTTTGCTATTTGCCGTGTCTGACACCATCTCTTCCATACAGCAACTATGACCGCGCCCATGGCTACCGCGAGTGGCGCCTCTGCATCAACGTCCCCGACCGCCATCACCGCCCCCTCGTCAACAACTAGTGCAATATCCTCTACAACACCCGCCGTACCTCCTCGTCCCGACTCCCTCTCTACGGCTGTCAACCAGAACGCCTCAGCCTATAGTCGCATTGGGACCAATCCTTACAACTCGGCGTATTCATCGCCTTATTCCTCTCCCTACGCAAGGATGGGAGGCATGGGAGGTTACGGGTACGGAAATTACAGCGGATATGGGGGAGGGTATGGAGGGTATGGCGGCATGTATGGTGGTGGCATGTATGGGGGGATGCCAGGCATGATGCCAAATGATCCTAATAACCCCAACAGTTTAACGAGCCGTTTCAGCAACAGCACACAGGCGACCTTTCAGATGTTAGAAGGGATCGTTGGCGCATTCGGCGGCTTCGCTCAGATGCTCGAGAGCACATATATGGCTACTCATTCTAGCTTCTTTGGTATGTGCACTGGGACCGAGCCGTTTGTTTTACTGATGCATTTGCTAACTCAATATAGCAATGGTGTCTGTCGCAGAGCAATTTGGCAATCTACGCGACACTCTCGGTTCCGTGTTAGGGATATTTACGCTAATGCGTTGGATCCGGACGTTGATTGCGAAACTTACCGGTTGTCCTCCCCCAGCCGATGCTACGGCACTCACACCAGCGGCGTTCGCCCGCTTTGAAGGACGACAAACATCTGGCCCCAACGGTGCTCCCGGTCAACCGCGGCCGAGCAAAAAGCCTCTTATCTTCTTCCTCCTCGCTGCCTTCGGCTTGCCGTATCTTATGAGCAAGGCCATACGGTCTCTCGCAGCATCCGCGGAGGAAGAGGAACGCAAACGAATGGAGGCCATGGGCCAGAGCGCTCCACTAGATCCCAGTAAACTCGAGTTCTGCCGTGTCCTCTACGATTTCACTCCCGAGGCTGGCAATGCAACACAGGGGGTGGATCTTGCGGTGAAGAAAGGCGACTTCATCGCAGTCCTAAGCAAGAGCGACCCACTAGGTAACCCTAGCGAATGGTGGCGATGTAGGGCGAGGGATGGCAGGCTAGGCTACTTGCCGGCTACCTTTCTCGAAGTTGCTAGGCGACCTGGCCAGCCGGTTGCAGCAATCAAGGCTGCTCCTACTGACCCTGCAAGCCCTATCACCAGTGCCAGCGCACAGCCGCCGGCTATCACCAGCAAAGCGGGCGACATATCTCCTGAGAGTTTCCAGAAATCTCAGTTCTACTCATAAACACTAGGCTACTATACGGCGGCCTGGAATATCCTCACCAGCGGAGTTACTTATCAAACATAACGGTTATCAAGCGGATTCGCTTATGCATTACTCTTGGGGTTTTCCCAATCAACATTTATATATATATCAACTTCATATGTACATTTAAAAAGTTACAGAGCTTGGTATGGTAGCTTGGCGTCCTTGGGTTTTGGGGGGACTCTTTCTGAAGGTGGTGACGGCCGGTTATATCCATCTTGCCGATGATAATATCAACTCGCCTTACACCTCAGCGAGAGCAATACAGCATTCAATCACGATCTTTGAAATCTCCTAGATTCGTGTTACGTTAGCTTTATATGGTCTTTTACGATTGTGCCTTTGTCTGAAGGTTAAGTTGGAATCGTTCTTACTTTAGACACTATGGTTTGAACTACTTAGGAGTGAGTGCATTCATGTGTAATATCTAGCATGCAATCTAGACGAGCCCAATATGAACACGCACGGGACTGATGATTGGCTGTTTACCGTAGTCGCGCTGAAGGTAATTAACTAAGATTAGACTTACTCTTTAAATCTCTAGAACGTTGTGCGTAATGGAATGATTGGGAGCGCAAACTTGATAGACGTTGGTTGGGATGATATGGCGCAGCTTACTTATAGCTCGGTAGCTATATTTTTCATGTGAGATGTTTAATACCTATTACGAGTCTGTTTGTCAGATGAACATACATACATAGGTTAGCATATGTGTATGTATTAGAATCCGTACGTACTTTGCCGTGAAGTAGGGGTACAACTATTCATTGCAGTAAAACGAAAGCAGTCGAGTGGGATAGACCGTATATATATGTCAATCCTGGGTCGACTATTCACAATAAAAGCATACACTTACTTATAAAGTCAAATCAGTGCAGACATGACGCTTCAATGGTCCGTCCTCCTATACAACCAAGAAGCATGTAAACCTCACCACTCACTGTCAACCCTGACATCTACTGCACCAATTAAGATGTCCAACTTTGCGAGACGAGCAATGAAATCATGTAGTATTGATCCTTGTGATGTCGCTTGCCAACCGAAAAAAAAAAAGACAAGAAAAACAAAAATGCAGTTTCCCTTCATTTTCCAAGCCTGCTAGTTGCAAGAAAGACACACTCAGTAAACCTGACTGACTCCAAACGCGACAAAATGCCGTGGTTTCCAGGAATGAACCAAGAAAAGAACGCCCATTTCCCAAAATTGATTCCTCAAATATGCGTCGTTCAATCATAGACAAAATGAACCGCTCAATCATATACTGAACCACACCACACGACCCATAACCGGCGCCCGCTGCGAACTAGTGAGAGCAACACCCCCACCCCCTATGCATTATCTACTGCGACCATTTCATTCCCATCTACCTCTCATACTCCTCATCCCACTCATCTTCTACATCTTGCTGGTTGCGTTTTCCCCGGTTACTGAACCAGCGGCGTAGCCCACTGGGCTTCTTCTGGGGAGGCTCTGCGACGTCCTGTTCGCCGTCGTCATTCTCTGGCCCCTGTCCATGACTCATCCGCTTCACTAGGCTAGAATCCACCGCAAGCTCTGGTGCTGGTGATCCTTCCCCTTGGTACTCGTACCATAGTCTCGGGACTAGTAACCGGTAGGGCACCGTAATGCCCGCCGGGTCCTTGGGGCTGACCTCGACATTAAGGCAGACTTCTAGACTACCCTCAGTGTTGACTTCATAACGCTCTGAGCCATGCTTCTTAAGCTTCTTCATACTAAGACCCGTGGGTGTGCGTTGGAAGGGTCGAGTTGGGGCGCCGCCATCATCAGAGCCGGTCATATAATACTGCTGAGGTTGCATCATGCTCTGGAGGGGCTGCGTAAATGCACGACGTGGTGAGCGTGCGGTGAAATGCGCCTCATCACCTATCTCATATTCACTACCTGCGCCACCACGGAGTCCCAGACTGTTTCCGCCAGCATGGGAGAAGTAGGACGGGCCAGGTGCCGCAAAAACATCTTCATCGTCGTCTCCCCAGGAGCCGTTGATGCCACCATCATCGGGCCGGCCTTTTTTGCTCTTTCGACGCAAAAGGTTACGAGGGCGGGAGCCGAGGGAGAGTGTACGCTTTAGGCCATTTGATTCTGGGCGTCCTATTTCGCCTGAGACTGAGCCTCGGCGAGAGAATGAGCGCATAAAACCGCCGGAAAGGGGTGGGCGCGAACGATCAGTCGGTTCCCCGGGGATGTCGGGTCGGTAGGCCGGGCCGCGATCCTTAGACAAAGATAGGCGTCGAAACAAACCACCCCGACTGCCGGGCGGAGAAACCTCGGGTGTAATCTCAAACTCTTCCGGCGGTGGTGTGTGGCCTGGTACATATTCTCTTATGGAGCACCAATTTCGATGAGGTAGCAGATGTTTGTTGTTGCGCGGCTTACCATCGACCCCGTGCGCGAACAGTGGCATCATGTCTTCGTCGGTCTCCTTGTCGAAGTGATGTACTTTATTACGCTTGTTTAATACGTCTGCCATGAGGTCGGGGGGTGGTGTATTGGCTATTGCGGATGAAATGACGTTGAGCATGTAGCGGAAATCTTCGTGTTTTGGAATACGAAGCTTAGGATTCGAATAAAACTGCCCAACTGCGGCGAGGTGTACATCACCGCTCAGTATCGTTATACGGACAGACTTGTCTACCGCTAAATCCTGTAGGTCTTCAATAACAAATCGTCGCTCGTCCTTATGGTTTTTAGCTGTCCAATGGTCGTCTAAATCGTCAAGAACCTCGATACCGCCGTCGAAACTATTGACCAAGTTTCCTAGTAGGCCAAATTTACCAAGAGCCTTAACCGGATCCATAAGTCTTGATGTCAAACTGGTAGGCGTCAGCTATGCATCTACTTGGATGGATCGATAGCACTTACATATTTTCCAACCACACTAGCCGTGGGTAGGCGATCGGGACTCCGAGTAATACGAGCAGGTGTTGAGTTTTGCCTTTGACGACCTCTTCGTAGCAGCGATCCATCAGCTTCCTCCAAGTGTCTGGGTGTAGAATTTCCTCTCTTGTCCGCTCTGTGCGGGCATCAACGGCGAGAAGTGCAACTCTCGCCCCCAGGGATACAAACAAGCTGCGACTTAGGTGATTGATATATGGCCCAGGTTTGACGCCCAAGCACCAACTTGGCTCGTCGTCTGTTTCATCAGGGATGCTCTGATGCTGGAACAACAAGTAGTATTTAAATGCAACATTACCTAGTCCCGAGAAGACCGGCGATTTCATGAAATGATGAGGATAAGAGCCAAATCCATCAATGATGTCGTGATCATCATACATGTTCACCATAGGGATTTGAGAGCTAGCAAGGCCGAAGAGGCCTTGCGAGAACCACATCATGTATCTTTCAAGGTAGAAAGCTTCTAACTCATCCTGCAGCGCGGGGGTGAACGGTGCATTGCTCTTGTGAAGAGGGTTTTTCAGCGTAATCCACTCACTGAAAAGTTTGGCCTTGTTGGTGACGGCGTCATTATAAATTTGGTCTCCGCCACCAATCATGACATGGAATGGCCGTGTTTGATGGTCATTCAAGACGTCTCGCCACATTGGATCGGGGCCACTGAAATCATCCGGGTTCACACTCTGGCTGAAACCATTGCAACTGTAGAACATGATGTTCATGGACTCCCCACGAGCGGGTACCCAGAAACCAGTGGCAGGACCACCGTTGATGCGATACGCTATCCGCTGTTGTTTGTCACGTAGCTCAATCTCAATATTGAATCTCCAGAATGTATGGCCACGTTCTGCATGGAGGCGAGATCCACGAACATCCTTGAATTTCCCGAGTTTCTCTCCATCCACCTCAATGCGCCTCTTACGATTGGGAAACGAGCCGGGTGGGTCAGGGGTACCATCGTCGGGTGGGCTCCGGACGAGTTCGAATAAGCCATCATCTGGCTCTACCATCGACAAGTCCTTGGCCTCTTCAAGCTGGTCAACTGGTCGGACGTATAATGTCTCCCCATGATTGCCAACCTTCGGAATGCCCGCAATTGGATCAACATATTCAGGCAATAGTGGCTGCTCTCCTTTAAGCTCGGCTGGGGGAGGGGGTAGCAGCTCAATTGGCTGCACAAATAATCGAAGAATGGGTGCCGGATTGTAAGTAGAACCTGAATCCTGAGTGACTATCATCACAGAGCCCCGCCAGATTTCTTTATTTGACGGAAGATTATCGCGACTCATTCTTGCATGCATTTCCTCAACGCGAATACCACAGTAGCGTAACAATGGACCACACTTGAGGTAAATGGGCGGTTTAAAAGCTGTCCGAGTTTCGTCATCGTCATTTCCGCCATCAAACGTTCTTTTTGGTGGCTGCGTGGAAATGCTGGGTCGACGCTTGTTTCCCGCTTCCCACCATGCTGTGCTCTTGTCGAGCGTTTGAACCGGCTCCTGGCTAAGATCCAGCAAAGGCCCAGACAGCAATCCTACAGCGCCCTGTTTCCACTCATCCGAGTATACTGGAGCTCGATACGTGCCTTGCCCAGGTTTCAGTCCATCATGATGATGTAAGTATTCTCTGACATGATGCCGCGAATGAGTAGCGTCTGACAGATGGTCATTGCTTACCCCGGGTTCTTGTCCGCCATCCTGAAATTTGACGGATTTAGTTCCTCTGTCACCGGGCTGAGTGCCTTGAAATGCTTTAGCGAGTGCAGTGTTATGGCGATTCTGATTGAGTGAAGTCGCCGAACTAAGTTCGCCGGAAGTAGCAGGCTCTTGCTGATGGCTCATAGGCCCATCCAATGTATTATGCTGCATGTTTCGGCCGCTTAAGATGGGCATGTTCTTCGAAGTTGATGAGTAAGGTTGCCGATCTGCTTCCATAGAATTAGATCGCCCAAATCCGATTGCTGCTGCTAGTTCTTTTATCCGACTCGGTGGTTCTTCAGCAGCTCTGTCTTCCCCAAACGTTTTACCTCTAGCTGGTGGTCTCGGATTGTTTATAGGAGACGATCTGTCTTGTGCCATCCCCCCAGCCAACCGCGCCGCTGCATAGCTTGTATCGTGACTAGGAGACTGGGCCCCTGCATAATTGTTACTATCAGTGGCATTGAGTCTATTGTATGTAGCGGATCTCTCTGCAGACCTTTCCTCCGCCTCCCTGCGAGCGGTGTACCAAGGATCGCCCGGCGGGTTTTTCTTCAGTTTATTACTGCCGCTTCTTACAGGGGCAGCATTTTCGCCACGCGCTGCAACCTGTGCAACTGAGTTGACGACCTCATTGGGTTCTTGTGGGAAACCCCGCTCCTGTGTAGCCGCTCTTTCACGGAAACTCAAGTTACGTTGAGGTGTGCCATTAGTCGCCGCAGAAACACTGCGATTCTTGGATATTGGGATTTGTGACCTTGGAGACTGCCCCGGAATTTCATGTTGCTGAACTACCTCTGGCGGGCTTTGGGACAATGTACCGTAAGCAATATCTGTGGCTGGCATAGCCTGAGCTGAGTCTGCCGTGCCTCTATGGCGACTCCGCCCCCCGCCCACCGACAGATCTTTGCTCCGAGCCTGCGTTTGTTGACTAGCTTGGCGCTCAGGAAGTGGTTGATTCTTCTCCACGGCCGCTGTAGACTTGCTAACCTGTGCCGCCCGCTCCCTTGCACGCCTCTCCGCAGCTTCCACACGAGCTCGTTTCTCTTCTTTCGTAATGCTGTCGAGCGTCAGCTCCAACTTTTGTAGGGGCGAACGGTCAGCAGCCCACATTGTCTGCTGTGGTTCTGGGCCTAAGGATTCTCGTCGCTTGGGCGAAGCAGGATCTCGTCTGTCTGGACGGTATCCATTCGGCGGCCGCCGAATAGAGCCCGACCTAACTAATTCCCTTTCCAAATGTTCTGGTGATACTACGCCATCATTGAAATTTTGATAAGCCCGATCATATGCAGGTTGTCTTGATTGCCTCTCGGCAGGGGGGGTAACATCCTTGTAGAAAGTTTCCGGCTCCATGTTGACAGCATTAGTTTGTGATTCTAGTCCATGGAATGAACGGGATAGACTGTGCTGATCGGCAGGGTTGCCAGCATACGGCGAGCCTCTGTTTCCATATATATTTCCGTAATTAATTGGAGGCCCTCTTGGGACGTCAGGGACGGCGGGTGGAGGTGAGGTGTTTGCGACTTCGTATGTATTCTCGCTTGGATTTCGAATCGTCTGTCTTCGGCGGAAATCTGATATCTGCTGGGGCTGCTGGTCCTGTGTATAAGGCAATGATGGCGGACGGGGAGTTAGACCGCTGCCAGGCGCATTAGATGTAGTCGGTGAAGCTAGGGGAGAGAAGGTTGAGTCGGAATGCGCATCGGTAATATTGGTCTGCCTAGAGGCACGATTGGAGCTATAACGTGGTTGGGGCAAGCTAGACTGGTCCAATGATTGTCTGCGGTCTGTCTGGTCTGAGCTCTCTGACAAGCGACGACCTTGAGGAGGCGGTAGCTGGCCCCAGTAGGGAGTGGACATCTTGGCCGCAGGAGACGATGCTCCCCCGGCGGTTAGGCTGGAAAACAAGGCTGGCGGGTCAGGTAAAGATGGCCAGACCTTTTTTTTTGTTCTCTCTCTCTTTAGGTGAGACCTGGGTGAGACTTTAGCCTTTCGTACTTTACTTAGGCGCTCAAGGAACTCATAGGTTGGTTGATGCAAGCTTCGGCCAGAAATAGACTAATGCCACGCATGCTTATGCAATGCAACTGCGTCTAGGCCGGTATAAGAATTCCATAGGTTCTAAAGGGTTGCGAGATATCGCGAGTAGGAAGAAGAGAGGAGGGAAGAAATGAAGATAGAAAAAGAAAGCCGAAAACCCGGTGGCAGGATGTTCGAAGATAGGCAGATATGTCATAGGTCGGGCGATAAGAAGCTACTGATGATACCTATGTAAAGCCAGGTAAAAATGATTAGCTAGAGCAGCTAGAGCAGCTGGAGGGAGAGCTTCGAGCTTCCAAGGTTCCAAGGTTCCCAGGCGAGCCAGGTTCTCTCGTGAACGCCAGCGGTTGCGTTGGGGGCTGGGAGACCGGGATGGTTCCTTGGCGGTTGGCGGGGATTCGCGCAAGAAGCTCTCTCGGCTCTTGTTTGCAGCAACGACGTGCGCCATAGTACTTGCGTACAGTAGGTAGGCCTGCCTCCCGTGACTCCCCGTCTGCCCGACCCAGCACCTACACACGCACCTCATACACACTACATCATATACCTCCTAGTTACCTCTTGCAGAGCTTTTCTAAGCGGGTAGGATCTGACTGCCAAGGTTACCTACTCAGAACAGTTGTGCAGAGGCTGGGGGTTTCTATCTACAGTAGGTCGGTAGGTAGGTAGGTAGGTAGGTAGTGTAGGACCCGGCAATGGGTCCCGACCAGACTCGGGAAGTGCAAGTTTGAAAAGCCCTACATACCGCGACCCGAGCCGAAACATACATGATAAAACGAAACACTGCCTACATAAGTAAGCAAGACATTTTAGTCAGTACTATTTTAGTCAGTACCTACCTACTTTGTACATGTAGCACCTAGGCAATAACAAGTAACGGCTAGACTGGCTGCAGAAGTAGCGGTCAACTCTTGAGCAGCCTCGTCATTGTCATGGTATTGTCTCTTCTCGAGGCGGTTGGCCACAGCTGTGTTAGCCTCGCCCGGCAGGGTACTGGACGGTTAGCCGTTTGGCTATGGACGGGACGATTTCAGGCACCCGTGGCCTTACCTACTAATAAGAGGTACAGTAGGCGAGGTAGGTTGTCCGAATAGAAAGTAGCTGGGACTTACGAAGATGAATATGTACAACGCCATCAACAACATTAGTCAACCCAATACAATACCACATGCTGTAGGGAGGGAAGTTGACTCAGAATTGACAAACGTTTGGCATGCCTGGGTCCATGACCTCGGGAGTTGTTAGTAGTACCTAAACGCTCATTTTACAGTACTGCATCAACGTTATATAGTCATCTATATGTAGATCGTGGAGTCCAAGCGCCTGTAACCGTTTGCATATCCGACAACCTTTCGACCTAAAGCTCCTACATATGATGCTTTCATTCATTCGGTTCAGTGTTGAATCGTCATGTTGTCACCTCCAAGCTGCTAAGCGTACTCTGTCCCTACTTAAGTATGTAAGTATGAAATGCCCACCAGCAAGTGGCCCCACAAACTCAGCACGGAGGCTAAGCTAACGCAACAAGACATTGATTGTCAATTTGCATGCTTTCTTCATGAACTAGGTACTAAATGCATGGATTCCATCTACATAGCATAAGCTAATAGAACGCCTCCCTCGCCTCCGTAGGTGCGTATCTCTGTGCGTATTATATCCACTTAGGCACTTGCCTATTGCACCTACTGCGCCATCAATGGGTTACTTTATGTACTTATATGTATATACCTACCGCTAAGTATACCTAGTAATACCTTAATAAGTACCTAGTACGAACGAATGTATCTAGGAATCAAGTACCGGTAGGGAGGTGACAGCCCTGATAGTTAAGAGTAATTAAATAGGTATCTAATTATATGTAAGTCCTATCAGATCCTATGGTAGATAGGTACATTGAATAGAACATACCTACCTACCTGTAAGATAGCACCTATCACACTGAGGGTATGTAGGTATATGTACCTACCTAGCTACCCTGAGAGTCCCGCTTTTCTCAGGTGGGCAACAACTTGGCCCAGAGGCGTCCAAGGCGCCCTCGAGCGCCAAGCAAGTCCCCGAGGTCCACTGTTGGTCCGTTACAGCCTGGAGCCACGTACTCCCTATCTCTCTCCCTGCCCAGGTGGTTTACTGACTTTGGAAAGTTTCGATTAATTCAAGCCTCAGACCTCTCCGCATCTAGCGACCGCCATCTCACTCACTGTACATCGTCATCGTCGTCGTCGTCGGCATTGTCGCGTCCTATCAACGAGAGGCGACAACCTAAACAGAAATTTCTCTCCTTATTGCTCCCATTTGCTCTTCCCTGAACTGCATAGCGCGAATGGTTTCTTAGATTCAGTCTCCTTTGATTGCCGTCCCGCACGGGATCCCTCCTTCATCCGTTGTATTGCCGTCCAAGAAGCCTCCTCCTACCGTGTATAGTCTTCTCTGTGGCTCTTCGTCGGTATTCGATAGTTAGACTTCGTCCACCCATCACTCCGAAATGAAGTTCGCCCCCATCGTCGGCCTCGTTGTAGGCAGCCTAGCTGGACTGGGTACATCATCCCTCCACCGCCGCGACTTCGACTCCAACGACTACTACGTCCTCCATCTCGAACGTAGCACAAATCCAGATGATGTCGCATCGCGGCTAGGGTTGAGAAACGAGGGTCAGCTCGGTGAATTGGCAGATCACTTCGTTTTCCGCGCCCCCAGGGCAGACCACGATGTTGTCCGCAGGGAAGTCCAGGAGCGCCGGAGAAGACGCTCGCTAGGTGATGTGGATGTACTTGATTCTGTCAGGTTTTCTCAAAAACAAAAACTACACCCTCCAATGCAGAAAAGGGTGATACCGCCACCTCCACACGGCTTCTTCCCGCGACAGAAACGAGCTGATGAAGCGGATGCTGAGGCGCTCAAGAAGCAGAAATCGGTTATGAAAACGCTGGGCATCAGCGACCCCATTTTCAATGAGCAATGGCATCTGTTTAATCCCATTCAGCTGGGTCACGATGTCAATGTTACTGGCGTGTGGTTGTCAGGAGTCACGGGCAAGAACGCAACCGTTGCCATGGTTGATGATGGTCTTGACATGTATAGCAATGATTTGAAACCAAACTACTATGCATTCGGGAGCTGGGATTTCAACGACAATCGAGCGGAACCAAGACCAACCTTGAGTGACGACAGGCACGGCACACGATGTGCAGGAGAGGTGTCTGCAGCAAAGAACGATGTTTGTGGTGTGGGTGTAGCGTACGACTCTAAAATTGCCGGCATTCGCATTCTCAGCAAGCAAATCAGCGATGCTGATGAGGCTGCTGCTTTAAATTACGACTACCAGCACAACCAAATCTATTCGTGCTCATGGGGCCCTCCTGACGATGGAAGATCAATGGATGCTCCCGGCACTCTCATCAAAAGGGCCATGCTAAACGGCGTCCAAAAGGGTCGCGATGGGCTTGGGTCCATTTACGTGTTTGCGAGCGGGAACGGCGCCCAAAGTGATGATAATTGCAACTTCGACGGCTATACCAATAGCATTTACAGTATCACTGTCGGTGCTATTGACCGACAGGGGCTCCACCCCTACTATTCGGAGAAATGTTCCGCTCAGCTTGTGGTGACTTACAGCAGCGGCAGTGGCGATGCAATTGTAAGCTGATGTCAAACGAGAGAGAACTTGGGAACTGATCATATCACAGCATACCACTGATGTTGGAGAAAACCAATGTTATAGTGGCCATGGCGGCACATCTGCAGCTGCGCCTTTGGCTGCCGGGATATTCGCTCTAGCGTTGGAGGTCCGGCCAGACTTGTCGTGGAGAGATATGCAATATATTGCTTTGGAGAGTGCCGTTCCCGTCGATCTTGAAACTGGTGAGTGGCAGCCGACTACTATGGGTAAACAATACAGCCACACCTTTGGATACGGCAAGGTTGACAGCTACGCTCTCGTTGAAACTGCAAAGACCTGGAAAAACGTCAAGCCTCAGGCGTGGTTCTACTCCCCATGGCTTCACGTTAAGAAAGAGATTCCTCAAGGCGACCAAGGGTTGTCGGTTAATTTTAAAGTCACAAAGCAGATGCTTGAAGAAGCTAATCTCGAGCGACTGGAACACGTAACCATCACCATGAATGTAGAGCATACCCAACGTGGGGATTTGAGCGTTGACCTTATCAGTCCTGATAATGTCATTAGTCATATTTCAGCGGTCAGGAAGCTCGACAAGAGTGATCAGGGCTATGATGACTGGACATTTATGAGTGTTGTGCATTGGTAAGCGCTCTCCGTGTGAGTATATTTTTCGGAAGGCTAATACTTGACAGGGGAGAATCTGGTGTTGGCACTTGGACAATCGTTATTCGTGACACCAAGGTTAACGAACACAAAGGTGTATTCATTGATTGGCATCTCAAGCTATGGGGTGAAAGCATTGATGCTTCGAAGGCTAAATTACTACCAATGCCGAAAGATGACGACGATGCTGACCATGACGTGACTACTACTGCGACACCCACGGCTGTCACAACTAGTTTGCCTCCTCATCCTGACGCCACCAACACTGCCGTGACTACGTCATTGCCAGATGATCATCCGACAAGACCCGTGAAACCCAGCAAAACAGCAAGCAGCAGCGGGTCGTCGGCGGCTAGCACTAACACTCAGTCCACAGCTGCTGAAACAACTACCGAGAGCTCCTGGCTACCATCTTTCTTACCTACGTTTGGCGTTTCATCCAGAACTCAAGCGTGGATATACGGTGCTCTAGGTCTGATCATTACGTTCTGCGTTGGCCTTGGCGCATGGTTATGGTTGGTACGCCGCAGACGCCTCCGAAATAACCCCCGAGAGAGCTACGGATTTGAGCCTCTGAACCCAGATGATTCATCGGGTCTGAATGGAGACCGGGAGAAGAGCAACAAGCGCCGGGGAGGTGAACTGTACGATGCTTTTGCTGGCGGAAGCGATGATGAAGAACTTGACGATGGAGATCACAGCAGCTTGGTCAGTGCAGACTCAGACGATGAGAGGGATGAGTCACCTAGAGACCAACAGAGCTCAAAGCTGCTTGGTAGTCGGACATAAGCCCAAGTAATATTATAGGCAGCTGGGTCCAGCCGCTTTCCGTCCCTTGAGCTTTATACTGAAGCCGGGTTCTAGTTATTTGATTTCTGCTTACACAATGCATGAGGGTGTATTACTTGTCCTATAGAGATAGCATAGGTTTCCATAATTTGTACATAGTGGGTTTATTGAGAAACGTGATACATGGCGCTTATTAAAAAGCGGCGTTGACATGCTTCATCCGTCCTTGGCCTTGTGCTGGAAAACTGTATCGATCAGTATAGACTCGAAGGATAGTAGTCGCATCAATAGACACGATCACAACGAAGCACTCAGAACGCTACTGATAAAAGTGGGATTGGCATAGATAGTACCGTGGTAGAGTTCTATCCACGTGCATCCTAATGAACTTGAGACTGTTGATCAAGGCTGTTCAGGGCACATACCTAGCATGTCCAAGGTATTTCCAACCCAACCAGATATTGACTATTTTATATATACAGATTGGTTGATAGTGAAGGTGTAGAAAGATAAATAGAGTAAACACCCCCCAAGGTCAGTCAACTGCACCTAAGCGCCCGAAGAAAAGGAGGAACCTGCTCAGGTTTGCACTTTCCGTACACCGTTTTCATATTTGGACATTGTATTGTCATACGCCGGGAAGACGAAATTCCATATCGCCCAGGAATTCGGGTGGCCCGCGCGCGCCCCTGATAGCGCGCCGCTGCTGGCGCAGGTCCTCGGTGGTCTCGCGGATCAGAGAGGGAGAGGCCTAGATTGCGCAGGTTGACCACGCAGTCGAGATAGGCCCACTTGAGTGAAGCCCGCGATGGCACCCTCTCTATCGCGCTTCAGCGGGTCGTAGAACACGTTACCCGGTTCCCGGAGTGATCTCCTCGGCCGCTCCAAAATCCCATGTGATCTGGGAGGGCGATTCGCCGCTCCGGCCTCGATGCTAGGGACGAGTTTCAAAGTAGACGCAAGCACCACGTCTGTGTCTTCCCTTGTCTCGCGGCCAACATGAGAAGACCTGGATGACTTCATGTTAGAGTATTGAATCACTCAGACTTGCGGGGGGTGGGAAGGAGGAATTTGGGATATCATTACCTATTGCACGGTAAACCCATACCTGTCGATCTCGATGAAATGGTGGCAAGCTTGGATATAGGCGTATTTGCCCTGGTTATATCTCGCCAAGGCGGTGAGACCGCGGGCTATGCTTCGGGCATCGTAGCTCATCCTTCAGGTCAAAGGTATTGTTGAATTCGAATGTCGATATCCTTGGTTTGATACCTACATGCCCACAATTAAAAGGGGGTTAAAAAATAAAAATTAGGAAACTCTTACACGCTCCAGATTGTGCACCTGTCTTCGCATCCAGTTGATGGGCGGGAACTGTGCTGGCCAAGACATGTCAAGCTTTCGTCTTCTAATTGAAGCATGGAACATTTCGGGTATGAACTGTCACTGGGTTCAGTAATGGGCCAATCTTCCACGACAAAAACTCAGCAGGAAGCCAGAGAACATACTATCACCGCGACCACATAACGTAGCATACATCGTTCTGTTAGTGTTATATCGTTGCTTATGAGGTACCTTAGAGGTCTAATATCCAAAGGAATCAAATTAGTGCCAAGGGTAGCGCTCCAAGTTTCGGTTTCTTCCCCGGGTCCATCTACGAAGGAACAAACTTTGAACTGCCACCAGATCCTCGAGCCTTGCCGTCCAGTATTCCGTGGTGTTGGGAATGTAGTCTAGGGCATATTCCTTCCTGCGCAGAGTACAAAGCTCTCTATGTAGGTTCTGTGAGAAGGAGAATATGGGCCCCTGGCATGGGTTCAGGCCGAGCAGTCACATAATGCCAATTGCCTATTAAGCCAAACAGCATCATTTCAATACTACGGAGGTCGAATTAGTTAAACTTGTTTCGCTGGTTGCGCAAGGATAGCAAATATACGTGTCGTTCTTATCCTCTATCGAGGCCTTCAACATCCGGTCTACAAGTTCCAGTGAAATACTCAACACTTCCCAGACCTTGGCATTGTCCACGCTCCAGTTACCACCGTTCAACAGCGGGTCAGCTATGTCGGGGTCGTACCACCTATCCTTCTTCAAGAAATTGAACCATTTGCTTTGATCGACTTGTATTCTGTAAGGGTGGAATATCTGAAGAGCAGCATCTTCCTTCGTCGAACTAGACGATGTTTCCATAGTTGAATCAACTGCATCTGTGACGGTCGCAGGGTCTACCGGGCCGTAGTCATCCTTTCGATGCCCTCCGGACATGATACCAATCTAGTCCGAGAACCAGACATGTCTCATCAGAGGCCCAACTTCCCATGAAAAGATACCTTTTAGGTAATAACTACGGAATAATTCAGATATAAAATAGTGATCGAATTGTTGTTTCGTCAGTTTTAACGCATCCCAACTCTCTTGGGGAAGTGTATCTGCATAATACTTGGGCTACAAAGCAGGGAGTTGAGGTGCAAGGCTCGAGTAGATTTCATTGTCATCTACCAAGGTACATCGACCGCCGATATTATGATAAAACCACTCCGCCCAAGGAGGCAGTGGTCTGGGTGGAAGTGAGCTAGATACTATTGGAGACTGTGCTATAATAAGTTACTATGAATCAGTACCACCAACAGGATTCTGAATATAACGCCTAGTTAAAGTATAGATGAATGTGTCGTCAGTGATGATCCATCTAGTGAGATATACAATATCAATCGAGTAGCGAATAGCGCCGCGTATATCATCTAGTGAATTGAAAACCAAAAGGAATCAGCTGAGGAGAGAATCTCTCAGTGCCCTACAATTCTGCTTTGTTTGAACCGATTGGTCAAGCTCACTTCTCGCTTGCAGCTTATTAGCCATTTGTTTCCCCGCGCACCGAGGAAAAAATAGTCCATGGTAGGGTGCAGAATATAACAATGGTCAATGCAAGACAATAGGCCTTCAAAGCGCGATCTGTGAATCAAAGCATACACCTAGTCTCAGTGAAAGCTACAGGATATGGCATCTACACAATTCATTCATCTATAACCCCGGGGAGTTAGACAAACTGCCATTAACTGATCATTATTTCTGCGAGTACCAGTCTACTATATACAGTACAGTGTTTGATTGTGAAACTGGGCTGTGCTCTGTTCGTCATGATAAGAACCGGCTTCTATTCTCAGAACCCTTACTCATATGTTATAGTTCTGTAAAAACGCCGCATCCAGGTTAATTGTAATGCCAGTGACACCTTCCAATTCGGCACCAACACTTTTCTAGATCACTACCTAGTCGGCATTAGTAGACGTCTGTGAAATAGTGTCACGCCACCAGTACTTAAAGCGTCTTACAACCTAGCAGATTTCGAAATATCAACTACCACCGGAAGATTTTGGTGGCTTCGTGCCTTCCTTTTCTGTATCGCGAATGTACTGCTCCCATACATCAACAATACCCCCATAGAAGTCGACGTGGGCGCCAGCAAGAGCCCCGAGCTGATTCTTAAGTTCAATGCGCTTGATACGCTCGAAATCAACTACCTCTTTAACGACCTCCTCATCAAACATTTCTGACGTCTTTTTCGCACGTTCCACTTCTGTCGTCAGCTCGTCGATGCGAATCTCAAGTTTACGTTGACGTTCGCGCCGACTCGCCTCATGGTCCACGCCACGAACGTCCTCGATTTTGGACCGTATGAAGCCGCCAGCGCCACCCAGTGCGCCAGAGCTTCCGTGCCCTGAGGCTAGTGAATCCCTGTCTATTGTCGACTTGTTGAGATACTCCGTCAGCTGTTCGTGATCTAGCTGCTTCTGCTCACGTGCTTTAAGAAGATTTTTAAGGGCAAGGCTATATGCTTGCATATCTCGTAGGCTGCCAAGGTAATCCTGGTCCGTATGCTCCCGTAGTTTTCTGAGCCCTGTGGCTGAATCTTCGATACTAGCGGCAAAGCCGTGTACGGCAGATTCAACACCAGGTTCTAATGTGACCAGTTTTTGGAATTGTTCTGTAAGATCACGCAGGTCGGTTTCTAGGTCGGTTTCACGCCGCACGACACGAGCCACAACTTTTTCAACCTGAGCAAGATCCTCATCCAGCTTATCGCTCTTCTCCCGCACCTCGATGAACCGCTTGTCATGCTTATGTACCTTTGTGAAAGCATTGATGAATGTATCCGCGAAATTGTCGAACACGCCACCGCTCCCTTGCTCAGAAGTAATGCTTGTCCTACCAGCGCGAGACTTCATCGTAGCGTTCCAATCAGGCGATTCAAGGAAGGTGTGTAAAATGGGGGCGCGTCGTAAGATGGGGTGGAGAGTTATGCGTGACAAGAAACGCTGGAGCGAATAAGCTCGGCGGTTTGTGAAGTCTGGACCAAAGCGATCTCCTCGAACATACTCCATACGCTGCTTATCGGGCAGTGGAGGTACGGCACATGCCGGATAGTCTTTTGACAATGTCTTGGAGAGAAACAGGAAGTCGGTAAAGCGTCGGCGACAGGTGAAGGTCGGTTTCTGGAAGGAAGGAAATGTTGACTGTGTCGACGGGAGGTCAGTGACCAGGCCAAAGGGAAGAGATGGCGGAATTGCACAGCGGCGCGCTCGCCGCCGCACTTACTTACATTCGTAGTGATCAGATATGATACAAAAGCATCCTTGGTACCATCGCTCTCCTTGCGGGGCTCCGACACGGTACACTCGAGGATATCACCGGAAAGGCCGGGGTCCTGGCGTTCTAGATCTTGACCATGATGTTGGTCCTCGGCGCTCGGCGGCTCAGCCTCGATGTTTGGCAAAGAAGCGCTCGACTCGGCAGCTTCGGGGCCGTTGTTGGTCTCGATCTGCCACGAGATGTTGGAGAAGTTATCCTGGTCGATGACGGCCATTGTGTCGGCAAGTCTTTCGGAAGACTTGCGGGTTGCCGGCGTACGCGGCGATATCCGGGCTATATATCAATTGTCGGCGATTCAACGATCAAACTGAATCGATATTACTTTTAGGAAGACTGCGGAGGCGGTTGATCAGTTCATCGGTGTAGACGGGAAGATGAATATGACGCTTGTTCCTTTGGCTCAGTTCGCGCGCGGGATGATAGAGAGGTCGGCTGTGGTGGGTACCTACATACGTAGGCAGGCGTCAAACATGCTACCTACCTACTAAGTACCTGTTTAAGTACCTAGGTAGGCTAGGTAGGTAGTTGGGATTGGTGGGGAGCACTACTGCCTCGTTGGTACTTGCTTTCTTACTTACGTCACGCCTCTCTATATGCATACCTATAAAGCAAGGCATTTTCATCTAAAGAGCACCTTGCGTACGTTCCAAAGGTACCGAAGTAGGTACCTACCTAGGTAGTCAGCATTGAGTGAGGCATCTCTTTATGTACCTTACTTAGGTATGTAAGTGAGTAGATAGGTAGAGTACGCAAACAAGTTGGATTTTACATACAAGTAGGTAGTGTTACATGAATGCCTCGAGGTAGATATCTCTATCCTTTTAGTATGAAGTTCATATTATCCCGATCGTCATCGATCACTCGCCCCCATTCCAGCAACAGCCTAAACAAGTACACTTCCATGTCTTCTCTTCTTATTGCTTTCTCTGCCCATTTGCGACCTTGTTGAGCGATCCATCGAGCATCCTCTGTTCGACCCGGTGTGATTTGTTTCCGTCCGTTGAGCGTGCCGCGACCATCCAAGCCGATAAAATAGGACATCGTGCTGTGCAAAGCGTGGTACCGCGTATCGATGGGGATGAAATGCACCCAGGGCATCAACCGCTCCGTGAACCACTGGTGGAATATAGAGGAAAGAACCGGTACGCTGTTTGATCGTAAAACTGGGAGTAGGTCTGGTGGTGGTCCGTCGCTGGTGTCGAGTAGCATTACATATCGACCTTCCACCTCGGTGTTTAGCAGCTTTAATCCAAACTCACGCCGTAGAAACTCGCAGTTCACATCTTTACAACCCTCGGGTGGTCCGGTCAACGTTATTTGAAGAGGTAAAATACTATTTCCCTCCGTGACGGGCACGTGTTCGTAGCGAAACCTGCTGTTCTTGCCCGCTCCGATTCCTAATAGCATGGGAATTTTGTCCGTCGCTTTGGCATTCTGGACAAGGTGTACCAAGCGCAATCTATGGCTTCCGTGGAGAAGTTCGTGAGTGACCATTGGTACATCTTTGGCATCACCCTGCCACAAGACAAGGTCTTGTTTTTGATCAAAAGTTCTACTATCATAATATTCGTCCGGCTCACTTCGGGGCAGAGGGATCAAGAGATCACTAAACCCTGCCGTTTTCGACCCACTGAAGAGGGGTATAAGCTCTTGATAGAGATCGAATCGATGGGGAGTAGTATAAAACTCGTGAAGATGGAACAAGTCTGGCTGATGGCAAGGGTCAAGTGCCATTTGCCAATCATCGAGGAACTGCTCTTTACTGTGAGGAGATGTACACGAGGCACAAAAGTCTCTTACATCCCAGTTCTCACCACTGCGGCTTGGTGAGCCGGGAGGGCAGGCGAGGGCTTCGAGGTGCTGAAATCGGTGAGCTGCGATAGGGGATTGAGTTTGATGCGCCGGTGACATTTGCTTATTGGTTCTGATACCTCTCCCTGTAGAGGTGTCGGATTTTATCGAATTCCAAGGGACTAAAACCCTTGGCCTCTCCTGCATATTGATGGCAATATCCATCGCTGGCAGATGCTCTGCAAAACTTGAGATTAGAGTAATGATTCCATCGAGTGTTCTTTGTTGCGAAGGATCAGCCGGATTATTGTGAGATACTTTGCCGTTGGCAATACTAATGATGCCAATATTGGACTGACTCTTGAGGAAATCAAGCCCGTCTCGAATCTTTTGCGGTTGTAAACCCCAGAACGGAGATACATCCTTCTCTATCTGATCAAATTTGTCAATGACGACCGATTTCCTCTGACGAGCAAACTCAAACCATTTTTCAAAATTCCGAGGAGGTTTACGCCCATGGTGTCTTTCTTCGTATTCCTTCACTGCGAGCTTCAAAGTTGTGCTAACGGTTGCATGCCGTAGCCATCGATCTGCTTCTATCCGGTTTTTATAGACAAGATCATCGACAGGGTGACGAGTAAATACCTTCGGCGTTATGGAGGTGTAAATGGCTGAGGAAATTAGAATGCTCAATAATAACAGAAGGAGCAACACCCGTCGTATGAAGATAACCGAGCGCATATTGTTAGCGTATATGAAGATAATAAACCCCAGCGAGGTTGTTCCCAACATTGCTAGTGGCTGAGCTGCAGATGTTTGCTGGTATGTGCCGACGAGAAGCAAATTACCAACGCCAGAAAAAATACTATATACAAGGGTAGCAATCGTAACGGGTTCAAGTGGCGAGGTATCGCATATCATTAGGGACGTGGATATGACCAGAACAGCCACAATCATGCCGGTACTCAATGTGTCGAAGATATAAATAGGATTGACACCGTCAAGGAGCCTCGAGGGCTGGCTCATTACTGAAGGAATGCAGGTCGCAAACGAAGAGATTATCAGAATATCACCAAGGATCCGCAGGCGACTCTTAGTCGTTCGCGCCCAGGACAACACTCTCCATAATAGGATGATGATAGTTGTTTCCATGAGAAGACCAACCAACTGGGCTAAGACGACAATTGCTCCTTGATCGACTAAAGACGAACAGAAGTATGTGGATCGCATGGTAGAGCTACCAGCCAAAAACGCGCCATAGCTGAGCAGAGCAGCCCCAAACAGCAACATGAAAGGAGAGGCCGTAAACCATGCCACGATGTCTTCCATGAGATTTCCCCACATCTCTTCGGGTTCATCTGACTCTACTTGCGGTGCACGATAAGAGAAGAATCGGTACGCTGTTAATGACAACGGCAAAAATGCCTGTGAAACTGAGTCAGCCATATTTGACTTTCCCAATTAATAGACGGAAGCTGACCTCAATGCCTGCGGTGGAACATTGGAAATCATGCACGACTCTGTAATAAAGCTCGAGTCTAAATACGATGAGGATGATAACACAAGGTACGTAGAATCGACGGGGTCTAGGAGGCAAGGAGGACGATGCTTTTAAGACAGCATCAGAATCTATAGCAACGTCAACCACCATGACCTTTACATTAGTAGAGATGATGAGGTATACCAAATCGACCATGGGACCCCGGAAGCCATTTTGAAAATATGCTCACGACAAGAGCCAAGGAACCAGATATGAGAAGGAGTAAGAAGGAGGAGAGACGGGGTTGACCTGACCACGTTGTCAGCAGACCCGGCCTGGGCTATGGGCTATGAGATATGAGCAAGTACTGAATAAAGTGTGTCTTTGCAAGGTACACAAAAGCCAGACAAACGAAGCTAGAAACCTTTCACATGTTAGCGAGATTATTCATTGGCGCTGTGCCGGGTGTTAAGGCTTCAGCAGAGTGACCTCGGGTGAAGCTCACCAAACGCCTGTTAAGCGCGTGCCGCTGCCAGAAGCCATTGAGGCGGCATTGGTCACAACTCGGCTGAGAACAATGGTATAGAAGTCTGTCTACACTGTCTTCATATCACCTAATCTGTAAGAGGTTGATCTTGTAGGCGGACGAGTTTGCTTGTGGACGATGAGAGCTGAAATAATTTCTGACTAGGTACATACAGGTACGAATCTGCATCGTCAAGCTCAAGTAGGGGATTCCAGTCCTCTAACGCTTACGTGTAGGCATGCTGTAGGTACCTAGGCAGGAGCGCTGCTGCTAGGAGTGTAGCGGTAAATACAGTGCTGTAGTCAATGCACACTGTCTCAACAAAGGGATGTGGTTATATCTACTCATCAATGTTGACTTAATACTTCTTATCCTTTATTAAGCTCATTAAGTTAATAAATATTTAATTCTTTATATAACTTAATACTTAAGTTTATGTTTAACCTTAAAATCTAAGGGTGTTGATTCCATTTATTGTGGTTGGCTTACAGCATCAGATCATGATTTGATTATGATTGGGCAATTGGTCTAGGGGTATGATATTCGCTTCGCACTGAATCTAAAGATGTGTTTGCGAAGGGTCCGGGGTTCAATTCCCCGATTGTCCAGAAACTTTTGCAAGCAAGTGCAATTATACTCATGTTTTTCTTTTTTTTTATCATTTTAAGATCTCGGTGTCTTGGTGCAAGGTTAAGTTTTCACTACTTACTTAATTGATCAAATATGCCTCGATCATTATAAAAGATAATGCTCAATTTAATGGCTAAGATGCTGTGTGTTTTAATAGGTATAGGTCTTAGTTATCATCTACGTTAGCAATCAATTAATCCAAGGTGTGTATGACTTCTTACACCATGATTGAGCAAGGCCTAAAATCAAAACAGCAATTGTAAACGATGAGATACCATTCGGCACAGTTAAGTATTTATTCACACCAGATACCCCTCTGAATAACTGTATACTACTCGTAGAATTACTCATGCGCCATGTTACCAATATGGCTGACCACAGGTACAGCACGTCTGGAGAACCATATCTAGCTCATCTGCGTGACAACATAGTCAGCCAGCTTTTGTTTGGCTCGCTTCGGCGACAAGTCTGATTTGTGCTGACTGCATTGGCCAAACGCCGCCACCAAATCAAATGGCCGCCCAGATCAGCCCTATAAGTACCCGGATGGCAACCTGGATGGTCAGTCTAATTTGATAAAGGATGCGGCACAGCACGTTACCTGCCCTAAAAATAACAATATGTAAGCGTTTACGCTTCCTACACTGCGAACGTGAACAGTAATGAACTACCGGTATGTACATATAATACTACCAATACTCCCAGCTCGCTGGGTCATTGAAGTTGTTTCTCAAATGTATTATGATGGAGTTGCGCCGGATGGACTTCGAGCATCTTCATTAACCGCCAGACCACGTGACTACGATTCAAGACAGGACAGACACGAGCCAAGCAGTACGGTACCGATCACTAGATGAAGGCTGATTCACCATCAAGATCAAGTGTCCACAGTCTTTTAGAGACGACATCTGATGTTGCTCAGGAAATACCGATCAAGTCAACGAGTGACCCCTCACGTTGTTTCACCAACTTCAACACCTTGCATGCCAACGTCGCGAATAACAACAGGGAACAAGTGACATTGAAGTTGGAATGACGATAGGAATACCGGCTCTCTACTCCTCGACGAATGGACCCCGACTATACCCTTCTTCTTTCACGGAAATTACGTTGTCCAATGAGACTCCCTCGAGTCCACAACTTCAAACAATGTTGGCAATATGAGAGACTTGAGCGGCTGAATATTCAATTGGGCTTTTGGAAAATCAGACTGCTGAACGATCAATGTCACCAAAGGCTCACATATACTATAACAAGGGCAGTAATACTGAGCTTGGAATCTAGGCAATTCGGATTATAATGATCAACTAGGGCTGCATTAGTCCTTGACCAACCAACTCCTTCTCGGCTGTTGGTGGCTTGACTTGACTCTATATACAATTGGTCTGCCAGCCTAGACCGTCTGGGTCTCTAGGGTCTGTTTCAAGAAGCGAAGTCTGTATAACCTCATTTTCCAATATTGCCCAATATTGCCTACATGTCTTGAAAGATCATGAACAGCCTGCAATGGTCCTTCGTACGGCCGAAGTGCAAGGCGAACTGCATATTTCAGCCGGCACAGAGGTTGCACGTGTAATATATACAGCACTACCTGAGCTACACAAAATCGTTAACACAGTTGCTGACAATAACTGAGGAAGAAGAGACTTACTTGATTGCAGCGAGGATGTAATTGTCGAAAAATATGCTTTTTGAAAAGCAGCAAGTTACGAATTATAATATTTCAACGAAAACTGGCCACTCCACGAACAAGATCGTTTCCAATCAACTCGATAACGAAACAGCAACTTCTACTGAATGAAGGTCAAGACGACTTGAAACCGAACCATACGAGTCATCGACGATTCCGTCTAGGCAGGAGGGAAAGGCACGAATGCCCAAGTCAATGTCACCAAGACAGCTCCACCAAGAACAGAGATGAAGCAATTCCGATCTGCTTGAGTAAACACTGTTACATTACTGCGAGCCACTATTGCCTTGATATTTCACCAACATAGATCAGCTTGTTATAGGAGAGGCCCTACTGTATAGGAAGACCTTGCAAGTGAAAGCATGATGGCCACCTACCTCGCCGCAGTACACTCGAGCCCCGAGGTGTAGGAGCAAAGCAAGAGGCGTGCTTGAGTAGAAGATGCTGGAATTCGAAGACTGAAACTGGCAGGCATACAATTCTCGAGGCGATGCGAATTTTTTAACCTGGTCAGATAAAAGCGAGGGTTCGGCGGAGGATTTCCGGCTCATCAATGCGTTCCTGAGTGGCTGACTACCTATCCGTCTCAGCTCAAAGAATTACGTCTTGGCGGCGACCCCAGAACCGCGTTAGCAACATTGGCCGAAGGATTGCCCAGCAAAGGCCAAGCAGGAGAGCTAGCTGTATATGCTAGTAAACTGTGCACTACGACAAGATGTTATTTCCTCTCGATGTGTCGAAGATTCAACAGATATCAATTAGTCTTACGGTGGTGGCAGGCCGATGGCAAATCTGACGAAGATGACTAAAGCTGGGGAACCGATCACTCCCTTTTTGGGCGACTTGAAGACAACCAAACGGGCTTAAAAGCAACCAGGAAGGTCGGGCGATCCGCAAGCGCAGCGACCCCTGCTCCTAATAATCACGATGGAACCATCGCGTGGCTTTGTTCGCCACTTACGCCATGGGCAGATCTTTCGCGCGACTAGGGTTGATGCACAGGAACACTAAGTGGCCAACTTTCGGCATGTTCAGATTTGGTAGTACAGCATGTACTATGTGGTACCTATTTTACTAAATGGTGATTTCTGGTGGGTAGGAGAGCATTCAGTTATAATCAGAACCCTGAAGCGCGTTACACGGCGTATGCTCATGCAAACTATTCGGGCTGACGGGCGGTGTACAGATGATATTGCAAAGGGTAAAGGGAGCCGTCAGCATATCAGCCAGTTGCTTACTTCAGGATATGTACCCGTCCTCATACTTACACTAGGATCCGAAGGTAAGAAAGGCTGTGCTTGTATACACAATGTATAAGAGGATTCTGCTCCAAGCAGGTACCTGGTGCATGCCTATACCTTCACTAGTGTGCTAGGTAACCTAGAGTCTGCTAGAGTAACCCAAGGGTCGGCCGGCATTTCCAAGTTCGAAAGTTCATTGGCTCCCGCGATGGGATGAGGTGATCTTTCGTGTTTTTGTCCAGTTTAAATTATGGTTATGCACTAAGAGGTAGATAGGAATCCTACAGGCTCTGCCACGGGAAAAAAGGGGCATCTTCCTGGGCACCCGGCAAGATTATGCCAATACACTGCTTGCGTTAGTCCTCACTCTCTAGTCCCGTTGCGGCATTGTCCAGGTTGTCAGCTTGCGCGTCTAGTCTTGCTAGAAGGCCAAGAGTATACGCTGACCGACAAATCTACACTATTTGTTTTTGCCTTCATCAAACTTCTACCCTAGTATCGACTTTTTTGCAATTAATAAATGAAGAGTTTGAAGTTCAGTCCAGACGCGAAATTGAGCTCTTAGTAATTATTGTCTAGGTCCTTTGCACTGAAACGATGTCAAACGACAAGCCCGTGGAACTACGCTTTTGTTCCGGGCTAGCCCAATTGCGGCACAGGATATTAGCGTCTTATGTCATCTTCGGCAGTAGTCTCAGTCCTGGCAATGAGCCTTACTTAGTTGCAGTCACCCCTGGTCCTACCCCGGTCGTGGTTGAGCGATGGAACACGGCGATGATTATGTCGGTCAGGCCTGGGGTCGATGAAGGGCATCTAACCTGAAAACCTCGAATCAGATGCGTTAACTACTATATGTTGTAGTACACTAGGTTACTGTTTAATAAGCATGAGTAGCGTGGTTAAGCTATGGTCCTGACGGCGGCATTAGCCGAACACTTGTCTTTGCACGCTACAGTAACTGAAACTAGTAGTAGGACATTCAGTTATTTACATGCAGACTGCTTACATATAAACACTTTGGATGATGGTAACGCCATTCGGACTACTAAGACAACCGAACTTGCACTGGTTTTCCTAGCGTCATTTCCCGTCATTACACGTGCAGATTGAAAACTGCTCGGATCCAATACCTAAGTAAGTGCAAGGGTTCGTCATATGCTGCGGAAGAGTAGGAAAGGCGGACGATCGTAGTCAGCTTGCAGACGCCAAGGCACAAGCCAAGGGACACTAAAGTTTCCGTTCGGTACCTCCACATTCTACGGGCGCCGGAGACTCGAGAGGGAAGAGATAGACAGTCAGCCTCATCCACTGGAGACGCTAGAAGTTCTATTTTGGGTGAATTGCACGCTACAAGGGATGGGCGGCGTCGATGGGTAACGGGTGCGTGGGAGGGCTCGGCTCCGGTGAGCTGTGAGACGAGTTGAATATATAAAGCTATTCAACACCTCATGATAATCACATTCCCTTTTTGCCTACCACCCCTCTCACCACATTCATTCCTTTACCAATCCATTAACCATTCTCTTCTCTCGACAATTCCTTGTCCTTCACATAGCTCACAATGAAGTTCTCTACCGGAGTCGTTTCCACCCTGGCTGTGGCCAGCGCCACCATGGCTGCTCCCTCCAAGAAGTGCCGCAACGAGGACCTCCCCACCACCTTCATTGCCGGTGTTGAGGTTGTTGACACCCAGCTCGTCCGTGATGCCCACGAGCTTGTCAAGGAGTTCATCCCGCTCCAGCCTTACTTGTACAACCACGTTGTCCGAACATGGCTCCTCGGTGCTGCTGCCCTGAACAACAACGCCACTCTTAAGAGCGAGGTCGACCTTGAGCTGCACGCTGTCGGCTCTCTCCTTCACGATCTTGCCTGGGACCGTAAGTTTTCTTCACTCCCACTACATCACTGGACTCTTTACTAATTAACTGCTTTAGAGCGTGACGACTCTCCCTACAACAGCCACGCTTACCGTTTCGAGATTGACAGTGGTGTTGCCGCTGTCAACTTCGTCAAGGGCCACAAGGATGGTGGCAAGTGGAGCGCTGCCCGTCTTGAGAAGCTCTACGATGGTATCTCTCTACAGACCATCCTCGGTGTTTCCGACTTCAAGAACATCGACACCCAGTGGATCGTCAAGTCCATTGGTTTCGAGTTCCCCCAGCCGCGGTCTCCCCTCATCCCTGAGCAGTTCTACGACAGCGTCCAGGGCAACTTCACCAACAGCACTCTCTTCCGTGGTACCAACGACACCTTCACCCGCTTCTGTGTTAAGGACCCTGAGACCACCTACAACACCTTCCTCTCTGTCTTCGGTGATGAGTACGTTGCTGGCTACACTGAGCAGGGTGCCCGTCTCTTCGACCTCATCCAGGGTGGTATCCAGCTCGAGCTCGGCCAGTACCCCGATGTCTCCTTCACCCCTCTTCCTCCCGTCAGCGCTTAAGTTAATGCGACCGTTCCTCTCTGAGGGGGTAATATTCTTGTAACTATGTTTACTCTTATATAAATAGACTTGATATGAGGTGGTCAAAACTACGAGCATTGTTTGGGGCGTGACGTGAGCAATGGTTAATGGAGTGGCATCTATCTAGCATCACGAAAAAAAAATATTAATGATCGTGTCGCTGAGCATTTCAAACCTTCCATTTTGGAACTTTGTGACGTCCTCATCAATCCTTGACTCTTGGCCTGTCTCGGGCTTGCTTGTAAGTGGTGCATGTGGGTACAGCAGGGTGAAAGCTTAAATTATCATAAGCACTAACTACCTAGTTATCCATCTCGCCTCGCGTTGGGTGTGGTTGCAGCAGAGGTCATAGCATCGACGTGAAATCGCCTAAGCCAGCCGTTTGCGCACTATCCGAGCTCCCCGCAGTATAAACAGTAATCTGTACTACCCACACGCGTACTTGAAAGACGCTGTCGCGTTGGTCTGCGTTGGGTAACATTTGACGATGAGCACTAACCAGGACTAAGTGGATATAAAGGATGCTTGCTCATTTCCGAGACGGGGTCACATTGATTTGGTCTTAGACGTAGCAAACTTACCTATCCAGCTTATCCCTGAGCAATAATCGGCCTTTCGTGAATGGGAACATGATTCGTTTACATAGCGTAAAGAAAGTTTATTCGACACAATACAACAAACTCAAGAAGAAGATAGTTAACTTCACTTTTTTATAGTTTTGACAATAGTTTCGATATCACGGCTGCAGCCGCCGACTACAGATTCTATGTACACTATCTTACTCTTATCTAGTACTAAGGTTAGGCCCGTACATAGCGTACACACCTGAATCCCAGCGTACTCTCAGTCTCCACCCAAGTTCAGCCATACTCGGTATGTACACTAGATTTTCAGGTTCCAAAGGAGTTTGTTTACAGCTGGTTTGTGAACATGGCCATAGGCTATAGCTACGTAATATCATTACTCTATCACGTTACTCAGACCCCCTCTGACGGAGCTGAGGTCCATGCGAGCACAATCCTTGCTCTCTATTTTCCCAGAAATCATAGAAACGTAAAGAGAGAGGTCAGCGGATATACTCCGTAGAAGCCGCGAAAGTGTTTTCTGTACTGAACGGAGTTAAGGGAAAAGCGATGTACATAGTATGGTAGTCGGATACGTAAGAGCGAGGGTGACTATTTCCTTACCGTACAGGGCTATGTACCTGACGTGCATCCTAATGTAGATAGTACGCTGCAACCCCCTCTGCGGCTGACGAGAAACTCCTTTTCCAGCCAAAGTAGCTGGGACAGGAGTGGAATAAGATGAATAAGATGGCCTTCATCGACATCTACCTAGTGTAGATAATCAATCAAGATGTCAACCGGTCCTTGCCGACTTAGCTACTGATGCTCTAAGTAAGGAATTGCATATCGTAGATTACTTGTTGTGATACGAAGGTTCATAGTAAACTGTATTATGAACTAATCCTCATCACATGCAGCCCGCCTCTTACCCCCTTACAACTATAGCTGAAACGGTCATAGGGATCTGCAAATATGAGAACAAACGAAACACAATAGTCACATGGCTGTTTTTCTCTTTTCTTGTTCAGTAATTGGCTAGAGATACTTTTCCCATAATGAAGTCGAGGCAGGCTATCGCGTATTTAACCATGTGATAAGTACACCGTACTACTTACGTAGTAAGTAGTAAGTAGCAATAAAGATCGGTATTGTTGAGGCATATTGAGGTTCCTTGGAGTTTAGGAACATCAGTTGAAGTAATCATATATACGCTACCAAGACATCCACGGGCGCTGCAGCAGGGATCCGAATGGACCGTATGGGGTTCTAAGTGATATAACAGATTACCTAGTGTATGGTTTTCTGTTATATGTCGGTGTGCCGGTATTGCTTCCGTAGCGCAGGATATCAGAGTCACCTAAGTAACAAGAGTCGACAGATAGACACTGGAAACTGTACCAGGTTTACCAGTCTGACCAGGAGTACAACTACTTCGTAATGAATGGTCAATAAGCGCCTCGGTTATAGGCGTTTGGAGAATATCGGGCTTAAGGATAGTAATTACCGATCTACTACAGCAGTTTGTTCGTAGTATCGTAAGATCTTTTCTAGCACAAGCAACCAGTTGCCTTAACCAACTTCGGCGTCGGACATTCCTACATGCCGATAGCCGTCAATCCAGCAGTTTGAAATAAAACGTGACTATTGTATTATCCTGGTTGAAGGATATGTTCACATTACCTCTACGCCGTACTACGTATAGTATACGGCGTATACTATCAGGAAGCCAACAGCTCTTCCACTGCGAATCAGATCTGCACTGATCCAACATGCCTGGCAGACATAGACATGTACTTGGTAAATATGAGAGACGATGGAAGATGGCGACAACAAGACAATCTACCTATAGCTGAGTATCTAAGGGAAAACACGAAGCTAATATCTCATACAGAGCTATACTTCGTGATTAAATTTATTAAGTCGTCTTCAAAAGCCTATCCCTTTAGGCCCTAGGTACCTCCATAGTAAGGGGGGCCTGAAGTGTCCAAATGTGTTACACCGTCACAGTGAATTGGAGTACGTGACGTGACCTAGACATATTCTCGTAACCCAGCAGCAAGCCTTAAGCCTTATCATAGAGGTCCAATTATGTACCGCTGGGTACATGTAGGTACTTGCGATAAGATACCGGTACCAGCTCCTAACAGAATAGTACGTAAAACGTCATAGAGCGAATTGTAGAAGGCTACAATTATTTGATATTCAGCTTCAAATCTTTGAATACATTCGCCCTCTTAGCAAAACGCGCGCTCGCTTCGACGTTTCCTTGGCCAATTGATTTGCCACACCATAGGACCATAGGATAACGGAGCGCATCGCAAGCCCTCCATTTAGCAGTACTACGGGCGGCGAACTAGAATGGGCGCCAAAGCTTCGAAACCCGCGCAGGCGGTATCGCGCAAATTCCCGACCAGGACTCCAGGCAATGCCGTGCCGCCCCGGTCGACAGGAGGACCACCTACTAGACGAGCGGAGCCGAGAACCGTGAAAGATGAAGGTGGGTGAACTTGAGTGCTTTACCGTGCCCTGCGGCTATGTTACCCGGGGAAGAGCTTCTAGTGGGAGAGTACCAGGGGACTGGTCTGAACGGTAGTTCGAAGCTGGCTACAAGTTGAAAGAGGGTCACCGCGTTTACGAACAATAGCTAAACTAGCTAACACGTGTCCTACTGAAGCAATCCGCTCGGACGGCCGGGATCCAGACCTCGACCTTGACGCGAGCACGAACCCGGCATACTCAGAGCGCCTACGACAGATGGGTGTAGCGACGCCATTCCCAACGTTATCCAACTCTTCAACAGCTGGGCCCTTCTCATCTCCTTCGCCATCAACTTACACACAAACTTCATCTTCTTTATCGCCGCCCTCACAGGCGCCGTCTCGGTCCCCACCGCCCAACACAACGACCACCACATCATTCTATCCACCGCCATCTCAAAATCGTACTCTCAACGCCTTAGAGGCAAGACGCGAACTACAGGCCCGCGCCGACGCAGAATTCCAGGATCCTTCACGTGGCCGCGAATTCTTGGATGTCGAGACACTGAGGAAGGCCTTATTACTCCAACATCGCGGCGCTACAGCCAACGATATTGAGGCGAGACTGCGGCTCAAGAGCGGCGTGCTTGCGCGGTTGGGGCCCCGTGGTGTTACTGTTCCCATCAACACAGAGACAATGATCAAACAGACCTGGGGTGGTTTACACGAATGAATAGGAAATTTCACAACCAAAAAAAATTAAATAAATGAATAAAAATTGAAGAGAAAGGCAAGTTGAATTGACGCATTGATGGCATTTACTGTACAGCATGAAAATAGGTGAGGACCTTAGAATGGATAATGAGCCACCTTGTATATGTAGTAGTACCACATCTCCGACGTCAATTGGTATCCGTATTATTATATTTAAACAACAGCTATTATGCAGTAGACAGGTGAAAGATGCTAAGGGATTAATCTGCATAGTTCGATATATTAAATATATCCTCGCCTTCAAAATGCCGTGAGACTCCACCGCTATACGAAACCGCCTGTCTTGTCTTTTCTTTGGGCCTCGCAACCCGTCTTTCATCGGGATCCGGATGAGGAACGTCTCCTGTTTCTACCACGCAGCATGCCCACCATCTATCCGCAGGTCTGCTCCCGTCATAAACCGGCTGGCGTCGCTAAGCAAGAAGACGGCGGCACCGCGATAATCTTCTGGCTTGCTGAGGGCGTTCAGCATGTTCTGCTTGGGCCATTCCGTCTCGCGCTCCGGGAACTGCATGAACAGCTTCTGCACCATCTCCGTCACGATGTACCCAGGGGAGATGGTGTTCACGCGGATCCCCTTGGGGCCCCACTCCATCGCTAAGTTGCGTCCCAGCTGTATCACGGCTGCCTTTGATGCATTGTACACTCTGTAGTTTCGGAAAGATGGCGTTAGCGGGTTTACGTGATACCTACCGGGCTTTTCAAAGGCTTTGGGCACGACTACCTATATGACGGGAGAAAACGGTGTGTAACTTACGGGCATATTAAACCGCGATTGGCAACTGTGCCACTCATGCTGGCAATCAAGACGAGGCTGCCGCTCGATCCGAAACGGGTCATCTGACGGGCTACTGCCTGCGCTGTCATGAGCACTCCCGTTACGTTAACGCCTAGCATGCGGTCGGCGTCTGCCGCGGTGTACTCCAGAGCGGGTGTCTCTTGCTGAATCCCCGCGGCCGCGATAAGGCCGTCAATCCGACCATGCCTCTCAGCAATTTCCTCCACGAGAGAGTTGAGGGTGTCGACACCCGTCCGCACGTCTACCTGGTGGTAGAATACCGCCGTACCTAGCTCGTCCCTCGCCCGTTGGGCTATTCTCTGATACTGTGAACCAGCCGGTGGTTCTGACTGCCGGTCAAGCACATGTACTGAGTCTGCGTGTGAGAAATTCTGGCTATACGAGACTGTGAGAAGCCGAATTGGACGGGATGGATACTGACCTGTGGCGCCGACCTCTAGGAGTGCTTCCGCTTGTACCACACCTAACCCTTGAGCCCCGCCGGAAACTATGATCACCTTGCCGCGTAGGTTGAATTCGGGTAATATTCCCTTAGCGGGAGGAGAGAAGCTGTGTGCAACAACATCACCCTTGGGTGACGAGGGAGACTGCGATGACGCAAAGCGTAGCTGGTTCTCAAGTACATGTGGTGTTCTTAAAGCCACGATCCCCGCTACTCGACGAACTATAGCACCCCCTAAGGCGAAACTTGGCGTACCTCTGGAGAGCCCGCTTAACGAAAGAGCAACTCGGAGGGTTCTGGGTACAATGGTTGCCATTGTGTTGATGAGCGCCACGAATGTTATATCCTCATAAATGGTTTATATTGTTGAGATACGTAGATTTTATGTCTGCCCTAGTATAAAATGAAGACACGGACCGGCAACGAAAAGTGTCTGAAAACGATAGCTGTCAACAATGCAATGGTAGCAACCTACCGTCTCGTTTTATACTTCTAGCCATCTCTGTCTAAGAACACAGGGGGTTGGACGGGACGGTAGCAAGCAAGGTTGTAGATACCCGCCCAGCAGCCGTGTCTGCTAAGCAAAACGAGAAAAGGATTGAATCCATTGCCGTCACGCGTACAGCGAGCACTTTCTCGACGAACATAGCTCTGAGCCAAGAATGTTAGCCCCGTACAACGTCATACGGTATATAGTTAGGCAACTCCAGTTTACCCGCCGGTGTCCCCCCGGGGGCACGCGTGATGGTTTCCTTGGTGTTGTTACAGCTAGATACCCCCTGGGCTTGCTTGTGGTGAGCCCCTCGTAGGGCGGAAGAAGCGGACATAGGTCCTGAAGGGTTACGTAGAGGAAGAGTCGGCGCTCTCGTCTCGAGCCTACTTAAGCACTACTCCACGCAGAAGATCCACTTTCCACGCATGCTGGGGACTAGAAATCTGGAGGGTGAAGCTGTTTGTGAGGGGGACGGCCAAAGGACCCGAAGGTATGTAACCACGAAGTTTGGAGTCTGGGGTTCTTGCCCGCTAGCGTGGACGTAGCATACCGTGTGGTCAGTTGTCTACATAGTAGACGTACACTGAGGAGATCCTTGTCAGACTCTGGGGGGCCTTTACTTACTACCACGCGGGCGGACAAGAAGGGCGTTTGAAATTCCATAGGAGAAGTCCTTGATCGGATTACCTGAATAGGGAATCCAAGAAGGGATCTAAGGCAGTCAGGGAGGCGGGTAGAACAGTCTGGGCCATCTCGATGCGTACTCGTGCTAGTGTACAAGCGCGCTCCCATTGTTGTATATCATACTTCTCTGATATCATGACTTGTCATGAGTAGTAGTATTGGTACTATCGCCGGCTCTCACCGGTCCGCAGATACGTGCGCGGAACGATTGGCAAATCAAGGAGTTCTTGGTCCATGTTACTGCCATGAGTTACATGTAGGTAATATTTTCCTAGTTGTCGACGAGTATCCCTATGTCGTGGCGGTGGATAGGCGCTAACCTAGCCGGATCTTTATGGGAGTTGGGATGCAAGCAGGAGTGCTACCCTGCGAAGACATGCAGCCATTGGGACGGCAAGGAGAATTATCCCCGTTGTCATTGCAGCAGCAGCCGTTCCTGGTCTGATGGTGTGACAATGATCCACATATGACAATTCAACTGGTACAGTGGTATTTTATGTGCAATCTCTTCAGACAAAGCCAAATGACCTGAACTTTACTAGGCATGTGGACTGCCCAAGTTCACGTGGGGTTGTCGTTCGATCGAGATGCGATATAGGAGGTGGGTTGTATTCATGTCTAATCGCCCAGTCTACCAGTGTATCCCAAAGGGCCCCCTGCAGTGACAGCGTCCCGTTTGTCGATGATATCTGGAATTCAGGATGTGTTCTCTTTGTGTTAAGTGTCATCAGTACCACACCCATCACTACATCACTCGGGTGGCTTGATGCTATTGGTTCCACTTTGAGCATTAGTCCGGTTCAATCTCAGAGTTGACTGTGTAAACTTTGCTGGCAGAAGCCGTGATTTGCCGGGTCGGGGAGAAGGGATGCGCATCGACACGAAGGGGAAAACATGGGTAATATAAGAAACTTTAATATTGAGTTGCATGATACAGCGCGAAGCAGATGGTTGTCACTTACTAACTGTATGCAGGCGGAACGGTCTCGCGCTGCAACGAGACGTATGATGCGACGTGTGATGCGACGTACAGTAACAGCTGGCGAAACTACACAGAGTTTGCTTTGTTGGAGAACGAGGTATATAGAGATATACAAGTCTAGAGTACGCATCTTTTCTCGAGATCGCAGATCTTCCTACTGTAGTGAAACCCCCACAGCACTGCATGCAAAGTCATTAAAGGGATCATAGATCTAGATCTCTTCCTTAAAGATGCAGGCAAGAGGCAATTGAAAGCGAATTCAAGCAGATCTCCTTGTCGGACGACGCATTGCTTCCTACCTAATGCACTACCGGTAGATCTGCTTCCAGTCTAGGCGCTTCTCCAACTCTGAGATGTGATCTATCTACTACTGTACATATTTATCGCAGAACTCCGCTTGCGCGCATTAGAATTAGAACTGCCAATATGATTAGCCCTTCCAAGTGACTACCTTTGTCCTCAAATACTCTTCGAGCCCGACTGACGCGTTGAATCTTCCGTAACCACTAGCCTTCGCTCCCCCGTGGGGTAAGGCTGCTTCGTCGTGAACCGACATGCTATTGATATGGACTGCTCCCGTTTCTATGTTCTTGGCGAATCGGAGTCCAGTTCTCAAGTCCTCGGTAAATACAGCCGATGAGAGCCCATACTCGGTATCGTTGGCGATGCGCAGCGCTTCCTCCTCACTCTCAATCTCCAGCAAGCTCACCGTTGCGCCGAATGACTCTTCCTTATATATGTCCATGTTAGGAGTAACTCCAGCGATGACAACAGGCTTCAAGTGTGTATTTAATGACTCTTCGGCGTTGATCTCCCCGTTCAGAATGGATGCACCCTTGTTGGCTGCATCTTGTGCCAGCCTCCTATTCTTCTCGACTGCTTGTGCGTTAATGTGGACCTGGGCTCCAGACCACTTCTTTGAAACTGTTTCTCTAAGCTTGCTTTGAAACGCCTCGCTAATTTTCTTGTGGACAATAATCCGTTCGGTGCTCACTATAATATTCAGAGCTAGTGTTCAGCGCCAATACGGAATGAACGTCTATAGACGCTGAAGAGTGCTTGAACAGAGAAGGAGAGGAATATAAGTCACTACTCACTACAGATCTGGCCCGAATTCAGAAAAGCCCCTAACGAACATTCATCCGCAGCGAGGTCTAAGTTGGCGTCCTCCCTATTTACACACTGGGGTCAGCAGATACCGGAAGGAGTAAGGATTTGGCCAATTTCTCGGGAGCGTGCAGCTGCAATGAGGTCCTGAAACTTGCTCAAGAAGAGAGAGTAAATGTTTTCAGAGGACTGACCAGACGATGGCCGGAGCCTTGCCGCCAAGTTCTAATACGATAGGCTTGAGATACTGGCCGGCTAACTTGCCCACTATTCTTCCAACGCCCGTACTCCCGGTGAAATTAATCTTCTTGACGGATGGGTGGGCGATGAGTGCCTCAGTCACAGCGGGGGCATTAGCTCTGTTGGTTGATATCAAGTTAAGCACACCCTTCGGCAGACCGGCGTCGTTAAAGATAGAAGCAATGGCATGCATGACTCTGGGCGAGACTTCAGATCCTTTCAATACCACGGTGCACCCAGCGGCAATGGGATATAGGACCGAGCGAACACCCAGGATATAAGGGGCATTCCTGTCCGTCAGTTTATCCGTCTCGCCAAATTCTCGACAGAAAACTTACCACGGGGCAATCGCCAACACGACGCCGTACGGCTCACGCCATACCATGGCGCCCATACTTGGGTCCGAAGGCCTGGGCACAGAGCCTTCAACCGATGCTCCTATGCGGCCGGCGGCATCCTTGATCAAGTCGATGCCAACATCTAGGTTAAAAGTAGCCCAGCCCTGGGGCTGGCCAATCTCGTCTACCAGGTACTGGGATAGCTCCGACCGCCGTTCTGTCATAAGCTCGGCAGCCTTGAGAAGAATGTCTCTACGCGAACTGGTCGTCGTATCTCGCCAGGCGCTGGCAGCGGCGGCGGCGGCATCAACGGCTGCATCGGCATCTGATACGGTCGCTACACCACATAGATGCACAACCTGGCCAGAGGCGGGTGACTTGACTTCGAAGGTCTCTTTGCCAATGAGCTCCTCGCCGTTGACAATGAATGGGACAGTGTATGGCGCCATTGGTGGCTGATTTGCGGAGAACTTGGTATCACCGAGATGAGGGGCCAGGTAACACGGTAACTTGCAAAGACTTGTCGTAGTTGAGGAGAACACCACCTAACACCTAAATAATAACAACGTGAAGTAGTGTTCCGCGCTGATTCTGTGGCAGACTGTGGCAGACTGTGGAGGAAGCAAAACTGTAGTTGGCACTGTAACAATATTGAGTCGCGCTGGCCGTTTTAAACCAACCCTCGATCCATCATCGACACTATACTACCTATGTACTTACTTACATACTAGTAGTATTAGGAGTATTGCCGGGCATATTGCCGGCACAGATCAGATAAGCGAATGGGAAGAGGGGCACAGGGAGGGGGAGGAAGGAATAACATTCCTTACAGTACGTAGACTACGTAGACCTAGGTATATCAAAAATCTACAACTACTGTAAGCACCTACGTCTTGATGCTGTGGAGAGGATGCAGCCCGCGATTCTGACGTGAGCGTCTCATACAAGGGTGTTGATATATATTATCTATTAGGTAAGTAGTATACAGAACCTTGCCCCAGAATGCGTCACCCTTTGAATACCTACTCGACCCAGTTACAGATAGATGTTATCGTAGTGTAAAACCCCTTAAATTCTTCCATTATCATTAACTTTGGCATAGCATTACGCAGTTTTACGTATACCTAACCTAGTATACCTATATATACCGATATCCCTTGCCGGCCGCTAAAGCTACGCCACTTTCAACGGCTCTGCACTCCGCACCTCCACCCACGCATGCGACCCCAGGAACCACATGGGCATACTTACAGTACCTACATGTACATTAAACCATTGCCAGTCGGCGGAATTCAGCCAGGCATGCGTTGGAGACCCCTGATTATAACATGCACTGAGCGTACACCGGCATCAAGCGATATGCGTTTCAAGACTCGTCGGCTGGTTGCCCACCGAGATTACATACAGGAAGAGACCACAAACATAAGTCTGCCACCATTCATTCTACATAATACTGTACAGGACTAGGTATATAAAGGCAATAGCCAAGCCTGCGTTAAGGGATAGACAGAGAGCCGGGCGAGTTATAGTAACTGGCAACGTGCACTAAATTGCGTAGAACGGATACAAAAAGTGGAAGTCTCTCGAGTCATGATGCCACCAACAAATCCCATCCCCTGGCCCTCAATACAAAGTATAAACGAACCAAACTTGTGGCTCTAGGGCTACCTACATAGGTACCATGGCCCGCAGCCCGGTGACTAGGTACTCACACACCCTGATTGAATCCGGGATTATCAAAATAGATTGGGTCGCACCAGGCGCCTCCTTCAACATACTTCTTCTCTATAGACACATAGAAACCACGTGGGAATATTCGTTCTGATAGAAAAGTGCTAATTCTGAACTTGATTTGCTGGAAGTTCTCGTTGACCTGTATCTCATCGTGCCGCAGTCTCTACAGTTCTCATTGGAGCCGCCAACAAGAACGCTGTTGTGTATCTCACGCACTTACTTACATACGATTCCGGTGGAAATATACAGATGTAGTATTGCTTCTCTTGTGGTCGGTACCTACTTACCTAACGACAGCGGGTTCAACCGCTCGCATATCAATCTGACTATGGCGTCTCGTTACACCTCAGGGTTAGCTGCTGTCACCATGAGCATGACCTATGTATGATTGATAAAAAGGTTTGATATGTCCCCTGCCCCAAGGGAACTGGAGCTTTTCCACGCATTGCCAATTAGATGCAATCTGCAAGGGTTACCGACAGACACGTCCAATCAACAGTCAGTTGACAGGTTCGGTTGAGATGTAAATAGAATACCCCTTATGAGGTATTCAAATTTTTGGTATGCTGAAGAAGTAGGCGGTCAGCGTTGATTGTTATGTGTACTACATACTGTGGGATTTGGCTTGAAGTCTGGAATGACCGGGATTTTGAAAACAAATTATTGACGACGGACATAGTCTAGCCAGTTACACACCTTACAATCTAGTAGTTCATACTGCGGTTCAAGAAACATCACGGTTGCAAGCAACTGAACTGAAGGCGGTAAGGTGTTTCGAAGCATTGGTAAGCTGGCTGGTTCTGGTTCAACCTAGGCTTATTGGGCCAACCAGCCCAAGTTTCACCATCAATGATGTTATCTAAATGCTCTGTTCACGAATCTACCCACGAAGTCCAATCCTGTGCCTTCTGCGATGTCCCCTTTGCCAATCGGCGCAGACAATAATTGTATAGAAGATACGGGACCTCTTTATCTCCAAGGCGAGGGGAGGCATATGCCGTACAAGCGAGTTTTATTTACTCGCTCTCTATTGGTGTTTTGCTGGATATCATCGTACATAGTAAGTCGTTCAGTGTGTCCTTCGAGACGCTAAGTGCTGGTCTATAACTAGTTCTCGGTTGAGCCTCGAAACAGGCGTTTGTAATCAAATTTGCGCCTGATTTGTATCGTAGAGCGCCCTCACAAAGCTCAAGAGGTGAACAACCCGCTAAAGCGCATATGGCTAGGTTCTATTGGAATTCCCAGTCGGTTGAGTGCAAGGATAGAAAACCCATGTCCGAGGACTAAGCCGGTGCTGTAACTGTTTACATATTTGGGAAATCGATACTCTCGCTTGGTGGCGAGGGCTGAGCCATTGTAGGGCAAGGAATAGATCTGAGAGACACTGTCAGACTCGGAAGTAGTGGGCGGCTCGTCACTAGGAGGAGGATCGGAAGCCTTCACTGCGTGTTAGAACTAGCCTCACGCCGTCCCAATATGGAGCGAGTTTTCACCTGGCTAGTGAACTCCTCGACTTCCATCTTCACTATGTGCTTGCCAGGCACCACGACGAGACCCAGATATCTAGAGGTCATGTCGACTTTCACGGTGGCCGCGCTTGCGTCGTCAGCGGCAGTAGAAGCAGCCCTAGCAATCTCTCGCTGAGATGGGTGTCGGTACTCAAACGTGTTAGAGATGACGACGTTGCGATCCTGAATGAACACGACGGGTAAGTCAACAAAGCCATGGACTCGGGCGGGTTCGGTGTACGGGCCGAGGTGGGGGTGTAGGCGAAGGTGTAGGCGAGCCCAGATGGACTCACGGTGTCAGTACATTTGAATGTGCCGGTGAACATACGGCCATCAGTAACTTGAATGCGTAATGTTTTATTAAGAAGAGATCTGAGGTAAGCCTCCGCTCCAGTTTTCGAGAAAGCCTCGCTCATGGTTGCTCGGCCTAGCTGCTCCGTCACGGCCTCCTGCATGTTCAATTATATGATGTAGGGTGGTGTGTGATAGTACGATGACGGTATACTGGATGGTATATTGAATGGGTTCACGCAGAAACAGAACTGAAAGCAGGCGAGGAAGCATAAAATTGCGTGAGTGCTTTGTATCGGATCAAACCTTAGAAGTATGTAGGTGCCCATGTAATTGAGATGCTGATAGAGTAACTGCAGTGTGTAGGTACAATGAGGACCTAAATAGGGCACCTACCCACTGTACGTAGGTAGGTACAGGTACCTACAGATACCTAGGTATAGGGCAGTCTCCCACAGTGATGCTTAGAGGTAAGTCCAGAGACTTTACTTGTATATCTTCATCCACAATACACATGCTCGTATGTAGGTACAGAGAGTCTCGTCCTTTCCTGTCATCGCATCGCCATACCGTTTCTTTTCTTCTGCCAATAAACACCAGGGTAACAGTTACCTATTTAAGAGGCCTAAGTAAGCAGTGCATGTAAGTACCTACTATACTGAGTGCCTACCTAGGTAGGTACCTTAATCTACAGGTGGGGAATCGGGTATTAGGAGGTACCTACATACCTACCTTAGGTACTTGCAGGTAGGTAGGTACGCACTAAAGCTACCTGGGTATCGGCGTCGAGTCACCACCGTCAGTCAGTCATCTTGGTCGTCGTGATCTTTCAGCATGACGCCTCACACAGGTCTTGCCACTCTCCTTCTTCAACCCTCCGAAAATCTAGGCCGCGCAGGCTGCAGGCTCCTGCCCTCAAATTCTGACCCTGGAAACCGTATTGAGATCCTCTGACGATTCCCCCCTCAACTATGCTTCCAGATATCCCGCCTTGACGTCACGTTCCTGACCTGGCTCCGGTCGCCATTTCGTCATCATCATGGGTGTGAACGGCCTCTGGACTGTCATCCAACCATGCGCACGCCCGACAAACCTCGCTACACTGAATCGTAAACGTCTCGCCGTAGATGCCTCCATCTGGATCTACCAATTTCTGAAGGCCGTACGAGATAAAGAGGGCAATGCGCTCCGCAATTCCCATGTTGTCGGCTTCTTCCGTCGCATTTGCAAGCTCCTTTGGTTCGGCATCCGCCCCGTCTTCGTATTCGATGGCGGTGCTCCGGCTTTAAAACGCCAGACCATCACGAATCGTAAGCGAAGAAGGGAAGGCCGCCGTGATGATGCTGTGCGAACGGCTGGCAAGTTGCTGGCTGTACAGATGCACCGCATCGCCGAGGAGGAGGAAGAGAAACGTCGCCGTCGCCTAGAACTCGAGGCCACCGAACGAGCTGTACCCCAAGAGCCGGTCGAGGATATCCCCGATGTTGAAAACCTCGTCTACGTGGACGAACTAGGTATGAGCCAGCAGGAGCGCCAGAAGACGCGAAAGTTCTACAAGCAAGATGCGTATCATCTTCCGGATCTGGATGGTGGTATCGAAGGTATGGGCCGACCCGAAGATCCCCGCATCATGAGCATCGAGGAACTAGAGGAATACGCCCGGCAGTTTCATAGCGGTGAAGACATCAATCTTTATGACTTCAGCAAGATTGATTTTGAGGGCGAGTTTTTTAAGAGCCTTCCACCTGCAGATAGGTATAACATACTGAATGCGGCAAGGCTGCGCAGCCGGCTGAGAATGGGACTGAGCAAAGACCAGCTTGACGGCATGTTCCCTGACCGTATGGCTTTTTCGAGGTTTCAAATTGAGAGGGTCCGGGAGAGGAATCATTTGACCCAAAGGTTGATGCAAGAAGCCGGTATGACAGGTACTGATCTTACACTTGGTGTTAATGGGCGCATTGCTGGCGAAAAAGATCGCGAGTATATCCTCGTAAAAAACGAAGGCGCTGAAGGTGGCTGGGCTCTTGGTGTTGTCAGTAGAGAAAAGGATAGGGGAGAGATACACAAGCCTATCGACGTTGATGCTCTCGATTTTCAATATCAGGCCAAAGATGAAGATGCAGACGATGACGATGATTTCGAAGATGTACCAATCGAAGGTTTGAATCGGCTCCCGAAGTCACATGGTAGTCTCAAGGCTCAAAATGCTATGAGCGGACCTACTTCGGTGGACATCGAAGATGACTCTCTTTTTGTTGATGGTGATATTGAAAGAGATAACACAACAGGGGTTGGAACAAGTGATGAAACATTGATGCAAGATGAGGAGGACGACTTAAACCGAGCAATCGCTCTGTCACTCAGGAACCAGCATGGAGTTGGGTCTCCTGCACAGGAACAATTAGAGGAGGAGGGCGAGGAATTTGAGGATGTGCCTGCCCCTGAGTGGACTCAAAGAGCGGTTGAACAGCCGAAAGCAGTAACCACGACGAATGGCAGCATCATCGCCCACATTGTCAATAACCGAGCAAATGCGGCGATACATAAGCGACGCGAGAGCAATGCCAGCAGCGACAGCGAGGTAGATCTTCGGTCAGCTGTGTCCGCTGCGAGAAAAAAGAAGCCGATAGTGGATAAGCCCCAACCAAATCCTAGCCCCGTCGTACGTAATGTGAACTTCGACGGCCCCCTGCCGTTTGAAAAGCTCGACTGGAGATCAAGCATTTTTGGAAACAAGCAAGTGACCTCACAGCCTTCTGTAGACAGTGCCGATAAGGACCTGGATGTTGATGAGAGCCTTGCTGGCGGCTTTCTGAAAGATGTCGAAGATGATGACAAGCCTCGACCGCTGCCACCATGGATGATGCAAGATGACTCAGATATTCGAGACTCGATGAAAGCTCAACAAGAGCATGAAAGGGAAAACAACCAAGCAGACTTGGAGGCTGCAATTGAGGAAGAAAGACAACGACAGAGAGACGCCATTATAGAGATCGACTCTTCTGATAGCGGTAATGAGAGTGATGTTGAGATCATCGATGCTCTCCCTATACTTCAGAAAACTCCTATCAATCTAAATGGAACCGAAGATTCATCACAGCCATCGAATGCTACACCATCAAAACTTGACTCTACGCCGATAAATTCAATTGCATTGCCCCCAGAGACTCACGCAAGACAAGGCGGCGATATCTTAGAAGATGAAGGCGAAGATGAAGATTTGTCAGATACTATTGTGCCAAGCCCCCAAGTAGTGTCTGAAATATCCTCGCCGGAGCCAGAGTTTGAGACGGTTGAGATAGCACAACCTCCAGAGGAACTCCACGTAAACCAAAGTAGCCCTGCGATCGCCGAGGACCTAGCCGAGGGAAGAGAAACGGATGAAAGGCAAGGACTTTCAAATGAAGAGTCTTTAGAAGATCTCAGCGGTTTAGTTTTTGGCCAAGATGATCTTGATGACGAATTCAGTGATCCTGAGGAAGAGGAGTTGCTCACGCGAATGGCCCAAGAGGCTGAAGAGCATGCACGTTTCGCCAGCCAGCTGAATAACAAATCAGAAAAGGAAAACCAAGAGGCCTATGAACGAGAGTTGAAAGCTCTTCGTACACAGCAGAAGAAAGATCGTAGAGATGCGGATGAAGTCACACAAATTATGATCACTGAATGCCAGGCTCTTCTTAGATATTTTGGCATCCCGTACATTGCTGCGCCGATGGAGGCTGAGGCACAATGCGCGGAGCTTGTGAGACTGGGCCTGGTCGATGGAATTGTAACAGATGATTCTGATATTTTTCTCTTCGGAGGCACGCGCGTATATAAGAACATGTTCAACAGTAACAAGTTTGTTGAGTGCTACCTTGGGAGCGACCTAGAGAGGGAGTTATCGCTGTCTCGCGAACAGCTAATTTCCATTGCCCAATTGCTGGGTTCTGACTACACGGAAGGGTTACCAGGCGTCGGTCCCGTCACCGCCGTGGAAATTCTCTCCGAGTTTCCTGGTAGGGATGGACTCCAAAAGTTTCGTGATTGGTGGCGAGATGTTCAAGCACACAATCGCCCAAAAGAAGCCGACAAAGCGTCGAATTTTAGAAAAAAATTTCGGAAGTCTCAGGCTACTAAGCTATTCCTTCCAACCGGGTTCCCTAGCTCGGCTGTTTTCGACGCTTACTTACATCCTGAGGTTGACCACAGCACTGAGCCATTTCAATGGGGTTCTCCTGATGTAGAAGGCCTTCGACAGTTTCTCATGGCTACCATCGGCTGGAGCCAAGAACGGACTGATGAAGTTCTCGTGCCTGTCATTCGCGACATAAATCGCCGTGAAGCGGAAGGCACACAAAGCAACATAACACGATATTTTGAAGGAGGTGTCGGTGTTGGGGCTAAAGAAGCATTTGCGCCGAAGCAGAGGGTGCAAAGTAGCAAGCGCATGACACAAGCTGTGAATAGGCTGCGTGCCCATGCAGTCGCCAACGAGATTGGGTCGGAGGGACCGGTTGACAACGAGAATCCCATCCCCATATCAGGAGGACGAAAACGCAAAACCAGGGGCGACGCGGCTGACGACGACGACGACGATGGCCAGGGAAATGAGCGCCAAAACTACGAGGCCATTGACAGTCAAACCAGTAATAGACGGAAGAGAGGTGGAAAGGCTAGGGAGACTAAAACGTCGATGTAACATACAATGTAATAATAATCCTTTTCATCAATGAGGCCAATATGCATCTTTTACCTACTGAGTTCACCTTGGCGAGGAGTTTCTCCCGTAAGGACACTAAGTAACACGCTCATATCAGTATCACTATCAAGTAAACTACATTCACTCATACATTTCGTAAAACTTCTGACACAACCTAGATTCTTTACGGGCCAGGAAAGTGTTTGCGCTTTCGTTGACTTGACCATTTTAGATAACCCGCGAGATTTGGGTTCAAAACTAAGCGAGAAATGCACAGCCAAACCTCAGGAATGAAAGGGGTCACCGCACACCCCAATGATCAATTGAACAATCTACCATCCTATATAGTGCCTTACCATCCAACCTCCTCGCTCAACCCCGGGAAATCAGGCGCGTTGCAGTTCGGCGTTCCTCTACAGAACGTCATGGCATGAATCCACCTTATCTCCCCCTTCTCCACGCGAAACTCATGGCTGTCCGGCCCCAGAATCCCGAACTCGCTCAGCACGTTCACCGAGCCGACCGACTCGTCGATCACGTAGCGCCGGTCGCGCATCTCGACGCTGAAAGGCGGGAGTCCCGCGTCACATGTATCGTTCGCAAGGCCCTGGCCCATGTACGCGCCGCCCTCCAGCCGATCGCACGGCGCCCCCCACGGCACGACGGTAGACCCGTTGCTGAAATACGCATAGTACGCGTCGGCTGCCGCCTGTATCGTCGCGCGGGAGTCGCGGTTCTCAGGCGCGATCAACCCCCAGTCTTCCCGCAGGAGGTAGTGCAGCGCGTGGGTGGTGTTGAAGTATAGATCCCCCGTGGTCGTCACGATGCTGTCGATCTTAGTGATCTTCCTCGTGGCCGCGTCGAGACGTAGCTGTGTCCCGATCTGGTATCCTGGGCCCGGGGCGAGGGAGACGAGCTCGGAGAACGAGGCGCATGCCACGGTGTCGTAGATATGTCGGACGTGCGCGATTGCGAGCGATTGATTGAGAACGAGACTTGCTGGTATCGAACTCTCCGCGTTGTTTTCTATCACGGTTGTGTTATCGGAGAGCAATGTCGATAGCCATTGTGGCTGTCCTGTGCTTTGCGCTGCGATGTATCGACTTGTAGCCTCTTGCAGAAGTGCCCGGTCACAAGTCTGGTCCTGGTACCACCGGGATTGAGCGACTGCCGTCTGGATGAACAGGATGATCAGAAGCTTCATTATATATCCTGATTAAGGATAATGTATATCTAAGTTGCTGCCGCGTTCGATAGTAGGTATTAGAACAGGAGCTGTCATATAGAAAAGAGCATCTATTCTGTTATCTCAAATAGGTACATTAGAGATTGCCTCGCTTTACATTATATGTTCTATATATTTCAAGTCTTGAAACTGCATTTTACTTCATGATCACCACTCGTAGTGACTGGCTAAAGCAACAACGGATTATAGGGGGGTATCTGCCGAAAAGGGGCGCGGGGAACATCTTCACATATAACCGTCTCGGCTACTCAGCACCCCTAGTCTGGAGTACACTGTAATGATACAAAGCCATTCAGTAGAGTTGCACCCCGATCTTTTGAGGCAATCGATTCTTTGATACTATGGAACTAGTGCTCGCTCAGTTGCGATTCTACCAAGGTTACTGTTGATTCAATATTGTATAACTCGGTATTAGCATGATTTTCACACGAAAAGATCCTATTGACGGGCGGATGGACCGGGGCTTCCGGTGGCGAGTAGTTGTCTCACCTAACAACTTTCTGTATTGCAATCATGTCCATATTCGCGATCTCGGGAGTCCGTCGATATGTTTTATATTAGCGAGAGCTGGGTAGCCTCGTACTACTGAGTCAATCTATGACGACTCGCCAGGGTCTATATTTCAGCTATGTCAGCTTGGTGTGGAACTGCCAGGTATCGCCAGAGACCCTAAATCAAGCAGCTTGCAGTACCTACACCTATTATGAAGGCTACTGGGTCCTCCAGAACAGGATAGTGACGCAAATAGAGTGCGACCAACAGCACCTTGCGAATAATAAGACCCAAGGGGCGAAATAATACGATGACGTGTACAACTGAGAAACATCCCAATATCCCAACATCTAGCTCTCGTCTGGCTGCTCGCAGTCCTTGTCCTGCTCTTCCTTCAAATCGTTGCTATAAAAAAACACTTGGCTGTTGAGAGTAGCTGGTCAATCCTAGGTCAGAAACGGCGGGTTTTCCCGAGACTCATCCTGGTGACTCGTTAGTACGCCGCGTTCTCCGTTAGTTTACGGTATCCTGTAACCCCATGTTATCAATCGTGGATCCGATAGCTATGAACCCGTACTTATGGCTGCATCGGTCTTGTTACGGCCGTAAGTTGACTCTAAGCATACCTCACTTACTGATACACATCAGTCGTGCAGCTGATTCATAAAGAAGCCGTACAAGAAGCCACACCTAAGATAAGTATCGTACGTCAATTACTTAGCTCCGTACTTAGGAATACCTAGTGTAATAATGGTGGATGTTGTCACGTAGGTACTTACCAGGATCATGTTGCTAAATCCGGAGGATTGGTAGACCCATTATTTCTTTCTTTAGGAAACAATTTTGAGCTTTTCCATGTAGGTAGATCTGTTAATCAAGCTGAGAGATACTTGTTTAGATTTACGATCTCAATGAAGTGCGTATGTCTCGGATTTACTATTAACCCTTTCTATTAGCCAATAGGATAGCTAGAAGTTTAGCCACATGCCGGATTTCCCCAGTATCAGCCAGGCTGGAAGAGATGATGTCTTGAGAAAGGTGGGTTCTGCCAATCAGAAATTCTACCGCAGTATCCTCGCCGCCTCAACTAACGCCCGCGCGAAATGCTTCCGTATTAGGCAATGCCCAGGATCACGAGAAGAAAGGGAAAGAAGAACGGCGTAGCAGCTTTCGCATATAGAGATAGAAGAAACTTGGTGAATTGATTGCGTTTCTTTTTCGTTTTTATTTTATATAAGAAGCATGCGGTGTATTTACATTCAACAATTTCCAAGCCATCTTCTACCACCTTGAGTTATTAGCATCATCGTCGCCCAGTGCTCATAATCTTATTCCCCTTAAAGGCACTGATATAAATCCATTGGCTCTACCTCATCGCCTCAACAGCTTCATCGTCCCTGGTGTGAAGGAGTGTAGGGACGCCTGCCTTGCTCTTGACCTCCCTAATAAGTCTGGTGTCGCTCAAACCACGCCCCAAGACTGCATCAGCTATTAGATCAAAATGCCCCAAAGCAAATTCCGCGCTATTGTTATTGGCGGTGGTCCAATTGGCCTCATGATTGCCAACGGCCTAGATAGGGCAGGCATAGACTTCCTGGTCATTGAGCGAAACCCTAACATCATCTCCAAGTCGGGAGCGTGTATCATGGCTGTATGCTACCTCTGGATTTCATTTTCTTCCTATTCGAGACGCTCATAGAGGTCATAGTAGCCTGCTAGAGCCACAAGCATGTCTCAGCAATACACAAAGCTCCCCAAACCTGCTCCCGTTCTACCTTGAATAACAAAATTACTGACTCCAACGCATTGTAGTGGCCGCATACGACAAGGATATTCGACCAGCTAGGCCTCACTGCTGCTTGCCAGGGTCGTTACCTTCCCTTGCAGAGCAAGTCCGTTGCACATCTTGATGGGAGGCCGATAAGAGCAAACCCGATCTTCGAATATCTGAACGACAAGTATGTAAGATCCATTATACTCTCCACAATCTCTATGCTGACCCAGCTCCTAGTCATGGCTACCCGTGCATGAATTTCCCCCGGCCATCGTTGACTCAAACATTATTTGAGGGTCTGGGTACGAACCAGGCCAAGGTCCGCACAGGTGCAGGCATAGAGGGTATCGAAATGACAGATAACGGCGTGCGAGTTCGTTTAACCGACGGTAGCTTCGAAGATGGTTCTATCGTCATCGGCGCTGATGGTGTCCACTCCAAAACCCGAGCTATTATGCACAAGCTAGCCGAAGAAGCAGGCAAGGATTTTGTGAAGGAAGAGGACCCCATCGTATCTAACTATCAAATCTTGGTATGTATCCAAACCTGCTGCCGTCTTTCCCAGAGTTAGACTCCCTCGTATCCCCATGTTGCCGATCGATGTCCAGCTAACTCAAGTCGCCCATCAAGTACGGACGAGCGAAGTATGTCCCCGGCGTCAAAGTCGGGCAGTTCTTCGAGACACACGGCACACATAGGAGTTCTCAAATATCGGCAGATAAAAACCGTATGCATTTCGGTATTTACCGGAAATTGCCGAACCCAACGACCGAGGCGAAGGAGTATAGCGAAGATGAGGTGGCCGAGTTCGCAGAAGCCTTCTCTGACGTTATGGTTATGCCAAACCTTTCGTTTACAGAGCTTTACAAGAACTGCGAGTGGACAAAGCTTGCCAACCAGCAAGAAGGCGTTTTGAAACATTGGTACTATAATCGTATAGTACTGGCTGGTGACTCGACTGTTCAAATGACTGCGGCTATGGGTATGGGCCTTAACAACGGCATCCAGTCTGCTGTATTCTTGGTGAACAAGCTCCAGGAGCTGTTGAGCAAGGATTCGAACCCTGATACGGCTGCGCTTGGATGTGCATTTGAAGAATACCAGGTCAGTACATATCTCCAGACGCTCTCCCAACACGACTTAGGTGCTGGGCTTGTCATACAAGAAAGGCTCCCAGGGCCATTCTTCTGGGATTACATGCAATATAAATAGCAACCCGCTAACGATTGTTGTATAAATAGAATACTCGCCGCGAAGAATCTCAAGTAATAACCGGCCACGCTGCCAGACTCATACGAAACAACACTTGGGATACGTATTTGGGCTGGTTCATGCATGAATACGTTGTCCCATGGATGATGACGGAAGAAAAGCTCATAGCAACAGTGGGCAACCATCTTCTAAGCAAGATGCACAAATTCGATTTCATCGACATCGAGTTCAAGTCGGGTAAAATACCATGGGCGATCGCGTAAGTTCTGGGCAGCCTCGAGTAAGGGGTGTACTATATGCAATGTAATACAGATTGGAGAGAATAGCTATCACTTTAGATCATCACTCAATTCTACTTAGATACCATTATTCGTCTAATGCCCTGTGATTCTACATGGTGTACCAACTCCTGAAAATGTTGAGAGAATGGGTCGCTGTTGATTGTAGATTTTGAGCTGAAAGATAGGAATGGAGGAAAAGATGCTTCTTAAGCTTGATAACTGGCCAGATCGCATGTAATAAGCTATATTAATCAAGGAATAAAAGTCTTCCTAGGTATAAGTAAATGAGCTCCCTTACATAATCTCCATTTGCGTAGTCTACTTTGACTTGCCGACCACTCGGGCCTAACGTCGAGAAGTGAATTGAACTCCGAAATTGCAACCTAAATATATGTAATTACAGTGCAACTTCCTATTGGTTAAGTTTTCCTACCTTACGGTTTAGAAATTCGCCCAAGTCATCATCAACAAGATGGCAATTTACGCTTAGACAATGATCACAAGTAAGCTTTTTGAAACTCAAGAAGTTCATGTCACCAGGCAAGTACAAATGTTTTATCCCTCTAGGAGTTGGAATTCGCGAGAGATATCAAAAAGAAACGGTAGAAGTAACAAGAGAAATGGAAGTGGAAAAAAATGGGTTCCTTTTCTCAATCCGAAACTATCGTAAGATGGTAAATTAAACCTTGGATACTCTGTTACACGCGTACAAGCTGCACAAGCTGTACTATCTGAACATGCAGCTCGCCTTGCGCTTCGGCCGTACGAAGGACCATTGCAGGCTGTTCATGATCATTCAAAGACATGCAGGCAATATTGAGCAATATTGGAAAGTGAGGGAATACAGACTTCACTTCTTGAAACAAACCCTAGAGACCTTGGGCAGGCAGACCAATTGTATATAGAGTTGAGTCAAGCCACCAACATCCGAGCAGTAGTTGGTTGATCAAGGACTCATGCAGCCCTAGTTGTTCATTATAATCTGAATGGCTCAAGTTCCAAGCCCAGTAATCTGCCCTTGTTATATACTCTTAGTAACAAAAAGGGACCCAAGTTGCTTCGAACACGCAGAATTTAAAACCAAATCTATAGCAGTGAAGATGAATTGAAACCCTACTGCAATACACACACTATTATAATGGTCTTCCAGATTTATTGCGTGTCTTATTGACAGACCGGTAGACTGATAAAACGGGAGGAGATACCAAGTCAATTGGCTTTCATCTAGTCTAGGTACTAATAGGAGTTGAAAACCTTGTATTCTAGAGAGTACGTATCGGCTGTCCAGAACCACATCTCAATTCATCGCTGGTTATACCACGCAAAGCGTGAGATTCCCAAGTCATAAGCATACTCATTTCCTACAACTGGAGAAATTAGTACACTATGGTTACTCAAATGACACAAAAATGCATATTCGACGGATAGATATCCCAAAGTAAAAAGCAACGAGCATTATAAGTGAGCTATGTTACGGATGGTAATGTACAATAAATATGATTCCTGGCGACCATCAAAGCGGCCGGCTCCAGTCATGTACAACGACCTCTATGCCTATGCGGTTACAGCGCTATCCATGAACCCCGAGCACCAGGAACGAAGCAATATCATACGAGAATATGGCCAAATGTTTAATAACACAGCCAGCCTAGGAACTCGCAACCATCTCGCCGCCGCGAACAGCTTAGTCTTCGTATCTAGCGGGCCGGCGTCTCCGTCGGCGGCGATCAATAGGTCCTGAATCATCGTCACTGTCGTCTTGACCACCTAAGTGTCTAACCCCATCACTATCTGTCCAACTGCAGCCGTTATACTCGGCATCCCCGGTTCTGCTTTTCCTTCTACGACCCCTTTTGCGTGGTTGGGGTACATCAGAATCGGAAATCTCAGGTTCTGTATAGTTAGGACCCGAATCACCCGGTGTTGATAGGGGGCTGGACTCTAGTGTTGCATTGTTTGTGCGCCGAGCCCTAAGCCGTGATGGGGTTTCGTCGGCATGTGATCTATCATCTAGTTCAAGGCGAGCTTCCGTGTGGCTATAACGGCCACTGTTCTGGATACTAGCTCGCGTACTGCTATAATTGCTCTCATGCATAAAAGAATTCTTCTCATCGTGCGCAGATGGGGTATTGTGGTTCTTTGGCTTCCTACCTCGCCGTTTTGGGGTAGTGAAGATAGGAGCTGGCTGGTCTTCATTCGCTCCTGTTGACATGTCCTCCAGTAGCGTGCGCATCTTCTTAGCTGCTAGTCCCGGTGAATCATCCCCCTTATCTTCCCCATCATCTTTACTTGAGTCCAAATATGAACCAGCAGCGAACGTTCCGTTCGGTAAGCGCTTCCGTTTAATTTTGCCCACTGGTGTCAAGCGGGGAAGGGGTCGGAACGGAGCTGCCGGTGCAGTCCCAGATTGGGTATCATCCTGAGAATCGACAACCTCGGGACGGTATTCAGCTGAGTCTGAGTCGTTGACGACCCCTCGCTTGCGTTTACGTGGAAGTAGAGCAATATCGGTGAATGGGTCGTCTATGGGGCCCTCGTTGACCTCATCATTGTCTACTTCAGAGTCAAGACTGGCAAATGTCTTTTTCGGCTTTCTACCCGGTTTCCCCCCCGGCTTCCTCCCCGGCTTCCTCCCTGGTTTACGACCTGGCTTCTTCTTAATCTTCACGCCATTATCAAACGTTGCTACCTGTTCTTTGGCTTTGCGTCGTTTCTTCTCAGCCTTTTCTTCTTGTAGCAACTTCTTGGTCAAGTTCGGAAAGTTGTCTCCGTAATGGAAGAACAGCTCTTCACCAGCCTTAATATCGCGTAATGACGTGAACTTGATGCGGTATTCGCCATTCACGTACATTATCTTGGGCGTCACATTGCAGTTTGTATCCTGATGATTGATATACCGGCTAAGATTCCCATAGATTGCCGCGTCGACCCAGATACCCTCTTGCTCTAGCAGAGTAAAGAGGTATGAAGAATTCGAACTCTCATCGAATACGTCCCCACGCCGAGCTTCACGGCGGACTCCTTCATCTTGACTGATAAGCTCCCCGACGTATTCAATGACAAATTCATCTTGGGCAATATCTTCGGTTGCGAAGAGGCCGTATCCGGAAACTGCCGACTTTCCAAGAACAACAGCCTTCGATTTGCCGCGCTGTAGAGCACAATTCTGGCACCCACTTGCATGTAAAATCTCATCGTCTGAATTTTTTGGCATTGCTCTTTCGTCAGCACCACAAGATCCACATAAAGCAGGATCGCATTCTCGATTTAGCAGTACGCAAATGCAAGGCTTGTCTTTCTGCTTGGGGAGACAGGATTTCCCGAGAGCATGGCAGGCACACCCAGTAAACTTGTTAGCACATGTCTCCGCCGTACAGCGGCAAAATCGCTCGCACATGATACGATTCTGGACACAAGGGCAGTTTTTATCACAGGGGCCATCATGATGGCATGGGTCGAAGTGATCTTTTCGCTGGTGCTCATGAGTTTTTGTATGTTCCTGCCAATCACCTATAAGTATTTTCTTCTGCCGATCATACCACGGCAATGGTTTGACCTGAATTGGAGGGGGCTTAGAAACATTGGGAAGGGACAGATCAAGCTTATCCATCTGTCGTTGTACATCCCAGCATGGGCGACCCGTAGCTACAGCAGTAGCGCATTGCACTTCAATAGAAGTGCCGTGAAAACACAGATAGAAGGACTTGAGAAGCATGAGCTCGGTTTCGTTCCATGGACGAGAGCGAGTGCCTGGTCGCCCTCTTAGGAAACATTCTTCACCACAGGGGGTTCTCGTGTTAAATGCATAGGCTCCATCGAATCGCTGGGCGAGTTGTTGCCGTATCATTGGTGACAGACCACCAACAACTTCGACGGAAAATCGCTTTCGTTCATTGTCAACACCATACTCGCCATGTTCGCAGGAGTGGCTAGTGCAAACTAAACAGCCAAGGAGCGAGTAAGTTTCGAGGAACGATTCGACTGATGTATCCTCCTCTGCAGCTTTGGCTTGACTTGGGGTGTCTTTCATGTATTTCTTTGAATCAACAATTGTGTCAACAGACTTGTCGAGGAGCAAAACGTCGCGAAGAGGGACAGCGTATTCGCCTAGGTCCTTGCTATGGAAAACTCGATCGAATGCATCCTTAAAAACTCGAACTACTCTGGCTGACCTTGGCGAGTTGGATTCGTCATTGCACGAGTTTAGGATACTCGACTTCTGCTGAGGCGTGACTGCATCACTTTGAGTAGCCACATAACGAATGAGTGCTGACTTTGTGCAATGTTCAATACCAAGTCTAGCTAGCCATGATTCGAGATACTCTAAGAGTGTGGTGGCACGTTCCTTCTGGATAGTCTTAACCACTTTCTCGTGGCGACTCAGAGTGGCAAAGCCGGAAGTTTTATCCATGGATTCCAGATTCTCAAGCCATCGTGTATAGGTGCTTTCTTCGTTGTCTGCTAGATCTCGCAAATGTGGCACGTAAGTGAGCATCGTGTTTGGTGAAAGAATATTCTTTCTTATCTCGACATGATGAAAGCTGTACCGAGGTGTCGCCTCCTTATCGGTCTTGATGCACCTGACTGGATAACGTTCTCGTTTTTCTTGCTTGCCTGATCTACCTTGGCCGACTTGCTAAAATACAATGTCAGACATTTCTTCAAATATGTTTTTGAAAATTTTGAACAAACCTTCGTCTTTATGCGCATGGTTTCTGAGGGCTGGCTCCCCGGGCCAGCGGGTTCGAGTTTCACCCCGGCGAACCAATCCTTCTTGCTGACCAACTGTTGCTGCGGGGCATCCCTTTTCCAAGCATCGTGGATTAGCCGTGCAGTAAGCTTGGCATGGTTGACGCCAATCTCGCGGGAGAACTCGCGCAGTGACGCCTCAATTTTCGCTTGATTAACTTCGCCCTTCTTTGGGGTTTGGGTCCTGGGGGTCCTCTGGTGTGCTTGTTGTGGAGAAATGGAAGGAACATTCGCCTCATCATTTGTCACCCCTTTTGTGGCGCCTGATGGCCAAAAGGAAAGGCTACTACCTTTCACATCCTGGGTAGCTGATTTTTGTGAAGAACCCAAGCTTGTCCTCGTAGGAGTTGCAGCATTTAGCGACACGGGCTCAGTCTGACTAGTCCCCGATGGCTGTCGAGTGAGAGGTGGAGGACTGATAGGCTTGCGACTTCGATAAGCGGGAGAAGGCACCAGATCATCAGGCTCACTATCTGAGATGACGATATGGTGATGAAAGCCCGCTCGCGCCATCGTGAGTGTTCATGCCCTGATGCCGACCGATGCTCAGGGCTAGAGTCAAATGCATAAATTGATAATGGTGATGGTGATGGTGATGATGGCGAATATCTTGGGCTTCAGTACTGGGAGGTCGTAGTATGTTGTTAATGATTATTACCTCCCTCCAACAGGCTCTGTTCCGTTAAGGCCCAATCAGGCTAACTTAGTTACTTGTCAGGCAATGCAAAGTTCAGCGAATCAGATTAAGCACAGATGCGAGAGTAAAACCGATGAATTAAATAGTTCGATGATCATGAATTAAACAGTAGAATGGAAATGCGATCCCTCGGAAGCGGTCACCGCGGTTTCACAAGCGCGTCCTCATCGCCCCAGAGATAGGTAGCCCAATGGAGAATCTAATGGGAATTAGTGAACGTGTTATAATCAGAAAGGTTGGGAGAAAAGACAGATTGAGATGATGTCTTACATGGCGATGTGTGAAAACATCGTCTCTAGCACGGGACCCGGGCCAAAATGGGTAGATGGAGTTTGGTATGTTGCAGCATTTACGTGGCTCTTATTCAGCGACGCGCTTTCCTGAGGCGATGGAGTAAAGTTTATAAAAGGCAAGAATAGGTAGGGACCCTTGCGACTTGTGGCGAGTGAGGATGGTAGGGGGGTTGTGTGGCTTTGGTCATTGTGGCGTATGTTCGCTCTCCCAACCCACCCGTGTATCTTATATAAAATGCCACATTGTCTTTCATGCTTTTCACACATATTCGTTCTACTTTATATTTGGCCAGTGTCAGTGTCTACTTGGGTGAATCCTCTCAATTTTCGATGATTCGATTCTTTAGGCGGCAGCACCATCTATGAAATCAGGAGGAAACATTTTGTAATGCACAATACCTAGGTACCTAGAGTTGAGTAGGTAGGTATATACTATTGCTGTATTTACTCTCCTCCATCCAAAGTCTGTAGGTCAAGCAGTAAGGCTATGTAAACATGATTAGGCTTGATGAACCCTCCATGACCAAGAGAGTCCATATGGATTGAAGCGAACGAGGGCACGATAGGGCAATGATGACCATTCGCGATAGTGAGCAGAAGTGAGTACGGTGCATGTTAGTCAGTCCATGGTCTATAAAGATACATACTACGTACAGACTACATATAGACTACGTACATGTCCGGAGTATGGTCCCCTGTAGATCTCTCATCTCGGCATCTTCCCCCATCTAGGTGTCTATTCCTCATCGAGTCATTACCTACGGCTGTGCAGACTCATGTCTGCCTTTTGCAACGTGGATGGCAGACCTTCATTGTACTCATCCGAGAAACTACGCCTGTTATGGTCTCTACCTAATTAAGGTTAGGTAGGTAGGTACCTAGAACTAGCGTGTCTCTACTTAGGTAGAGTACAGTTGGTAGATAGCGCTGTGTCTAGCGCCCTCCTAGCTTCTGTTAGGCGATATAGTGCGCCCAGATGACGTAGTTGGATGAAACACGGCGCCACCAGCCCAACACATCCACACCAGCACCCTTGTTACATGTCTCTCCATCCATTGTCCATTTCCGTACTTCACTATTTATGTGCGACAACGAGTCGGTCACTTCAAGCCTGACCACCAACATCCAACATCTCTTCCTCTCAATTCCAGCTGCCTTTTACATAGTATTTCGCCCCGTTGCATCCTGTTAGCTTTACATCATACCGCGCCTTGAGGTGAGTCATTCAGCTTCCTTTGCTTCCGTCGGATTCATCCCAGCGTCTACGTACAAGTCTCTTACTATGTAGTTAAAAGCTGACAGCCAGACATCATTTCAGTCCCCTCGATTCTGCTACGACCGCCTCCATCTACACGACGTACCCGCCCTGGTATCCGAAACCCCTTCATCGCAATGCATCGTACATATTCTATGCGCCAATCGAGGGCGCCGACTGCCTCCCAGATCCAAGTGAGCGAATGAATCTGCACTGCCCATTGCTATGCATGGCGAGGCGCTGACCGTGCGCGCAAAATAGAACCCTCCTCCACCACCGTCCTCAACCAAGTCCGGCCGAATCTTCGGCAAAGGAGGCTTTGGTATGTAGGCGCATCCCTTGGAATCGGGAATTCGGTCAGCTTATACCATAGTGTAGGACATGCCCTTCGTCGAAATGCTGCTGGCGCGTTTGGCCCCGACCTGGCTAAGAAGCTAACCCAGCTTGTCAAGATGGAGAAGAATGTAATGCGCAGCCTAGAGCTTGTGGCTAAGGAGCGCATGGAAGTCGCCGTACGTAATTCTCTGTAATTGAGCCATATTGTTCTCCAAGCTGACCACATACTCCAGCAACAACTCTCGATCTGGGGCGAGGCTGGTGACGAAGACGTTTCCGATGTCACCGACAAACTAGGTGTCCTCCTGTACGAAATCGGCGAGCTCGAAGATCAGTATGTGGATCGCTACGATCAATATCGTGTGACCATGAAGAGCATTAGGAACATCGAAGCATCGGTGCAACCCAGCAGAGACCGTGAGTTTAGAAGGACAACCCACATGCCACGCACTCAATATTGCGGTACTAACACGCGAATTCAGGCAAGCAGAAGATTGCCGACCAGATTGCTCAGCTCAAGTATAAAGAGCCGAACTCGCCCAAGATCGTTGTCCTTGAACAGGAGCTTGTCCGTGCCGAGGCTGAGTCTCTTGTCGCCGAAGCACAGCTATCGAACATCACCCGCGAAAAGATTAAAGCGGCATACACCTATCAATTTGACGCTCTACGTGAGCACAGTGAGAAAGTCGCCATCATTGCTGGATTCGGAAAGCATCTGTTAGAGCTGATTGATGACACCCCGGTTACTCCTGGTGAGACACGTCCTGCGTACGACGGCTACGAAGCGAGCAAGGCCATCATTCAGGACTGCGAAGAGGCACTGACCAATTGGGTTACATCAAACGCTGCTGTTAGCGCTAAGCTCTCGACGCGCGCCAGAACACTTTCGACCAGGCGCCGTAACAACATCAAGGCCCGATCAGAAGGTCTAGACTTGTCTGGCCAAGATGTACCACTGAATGATCGTGACTCCTGGGTTGCCGCCGGTGATCACAAGGGCGAGGAGTACGAGGAAGAGTCCGATATAGATGACCAGGCCCACTCCGTCCTCGACTCTGACAACAGCTTAAACGGCGGCGAGCAGCGTGGCAGGCAGCCAATAGCAGCTTGAAAATAGGAGCCAAACAAAGGAAGTAATAAATCACCTAATGTCTAATGCGACCCAGCGCCGTGCAGAGAGATTAATGGGTACTACTTGGGCCACGTTCTATGGCTCTACGGAATAGTTGCGGATGTGGACGGGCTGGGCCTGGCGGGTTGCTTATCGCGTATTGGAATATTCTGTCTGGATACGCAAAATCGCTTAGATATCTTCATTCGTTCAAACCGGCTGTAAGGCAGTAAAAGGTTTCGTGTACTGTTAACGAGCTATTCGTTGCTACTGTAATATTTGCTACGCTGAGACCAGAAACCACTGTATGAATGAATGAATGTTAATTTCTCACCAAGACTGTTTCTACAAAAATGAAGTAGGAACCCGGGTAATTCAGATTCTACCTACAACAGACATTACAGCTTCTTATTGTTCATCCATACATTATATTCACATGCGGTGCCAATATAGTTGAGTTAAAACCTTTTATTTCATCCGTGTTGCCAACTACCTATATTAATATACAATAACTACACGCCGGAGTTGTATTGTAGTCTTTTCATTGCTGTATAAAGCCATCTCAGTACTTGAGAGATATCCTGGATACTCGACCATGTTTGGATCTTTTACTCCCCTGCTCTTTTCATTATGTACAGAATTTCATCGAGGCTCAGATGGCATTCTTCTTCTCAATATCCAAAATGTAGAGATTTCTCTCCTCGAAACATTTAAGTCATCACGGACCAAACCACGTCTACTTCTAGATACAGAGACAGTCAATCACCCCTTGCGCCATGTATAACCAACAACTATACAAGGAGCGAGCGGGCTGTGTAGAACATAAGCTAACAACTGACTCATGTACTTGGTGGCAATATATGTGTTGAGCTTGCTAATGCTTGTCTTCACTGATGCTCCATACCTCAAGCGTTGCAAAGGTTCGCCATGACAATAGGTTTCGAACTATCTTTTATGAGAATTTCGTTGTGAGGACAATATAGCGAATTGCCTCAGTATCCCCAGAGTCGGGTTATAATGGCTATGTATCAACCTGGGACATATTACCAAACATCGACATCATTCTATATGTGTTATTCTACACAATAAGATCCCTCGAGAGGATATAATACGAGGTTCGATGTCGATTTCAAAGTAATACCAAAGATTGATCAAGGCAGTGTTAATAGAACCTAATGCTTATTAGAATTTTCATAGCTATTTAACTAGAAGTAAGGCGCTACATGTAAACATAGAAATCGAACTAATACCCCAAAGTTATTAATTTTAACAGGGGTATTGTTTAAACAGTGGTGTGCACAATGCAACGGAAAACATTATTTTTCAACTCTACTCTATTTTCCTTAGACCACTGTACCAATTCCAATGTTATTAATAGTATACTAGTATACTAGACCTAAGCATAAAAAGATGTCTTTGATATATATACATAACCACTTATACATAATTATATCATTAATATCATAATATAGTACTATACAATGAATGTAAAGATGTTAAGCCCTCGACTTAATAACTTGTCGTTACCTTTTAATAGTACAATGGTATAGTACTGCACTCCTTATATCATTCCGTAACAATTTATCAAGTTATACGGTTACGTATTCGATTCCATAATTGGGCAGCTATATTCTATTCGTAAAGGGATTAGGAACCCCTCGTATAAACAACCCTTAACATAGTTTTCAAAAGTGGAAAATTTAACTTATTTATATAATTAAAAAATTACTATAGGGGTTTTTAAGTATTAATTATATATATTACCTTTAGTTAGATATACATTTTTTTATATATAATTAGGTTTATTATATTTAAAGTAAGGGGTACTGTTATAATACAGTACTATATAATGAGTGCAGAGACGTCAAGCCCTCGACTTAATAACTCGTCGTTACCTTTTAGTAGCGCAATGGCATAGTACTGCACTCCTTATGTCGTTCCGTAACAATAGAGTACTATTAGACCTAACAAAACAACGAATTCCTAATAAATCTATTTTACTTTTCTATGATAACAGTATAACTATCTGGAATTGCGATACACATGAAGTTCTAAGAGCAGAATTCTTGAGATCAGCCATCGGATGAGTTATCACAATCAGCACGAGCCTCGCACTCCCAGGCTCCGACTAGTTATACCTCTAGCTACGTGTTTAATCATACATTATCATCATCAGATACTCGTAACGACGCGAGCACGGACCATCAGGCTAGTTGATGACGCATAATCACTTTCCCCGAGGAAGACATACGACAAGCCAAGTGAGGTTATACAGGCTCCACTAGCACGAGACGTACTCGCTGGCTTTGGAGTTTAGCAAAGGCTATACCAATGGTAATATAGAGAGAGTCAAGTCAGCCACCGTGGGACCTGATAGCCAGAGACCTCCGCAGACCCAGCAGATTCCCATATTATGAGTATCCTTCATTCTAAACCCTGATTCCTCACCCCTTGTTATCATGTTACTATAGTTGACGTTCTTTCGAAACCGCCTACCCAACAGCGGCTGTGAAACCAAATGCGCCCTGCTATATCTCGTAATAACCATTCCATCTAGATTACATATTCTGCGCCACATATATCCGATGGAAGTACGGTATGTATGTATGCATGTATGTATGTGTGTAGGTAGGTATTACCTACCCATCCACATCCCGCCCGTTCAACTCAACTCAAAATGTGCGGCTGAGCCGGCCGCATTCAAGCTGGCCATGAGATGACGCGCGTGGCTAAGTGACGGGAAGTAAACTGTGCTAAAAATATCCAAGTAGACACCTAAGTAGGTAGGTATTGCCTAATCCGAAAACAAGCATTATGGTATGTATGCCTACGAAGTACGGCATACCCAAGTTTAATCAATGGCTCGTTCTGTCTGTCTGTCCACGTACCTACCCGAACGACATGCCGCACGCACGCACCCATCGAGAATGCGATGGAACGCTGCCGTCACATCAGCGCATCCTATCTAGGTATCTACATACCTACAGCACGCATTGATTGATCTCAACAAATCATTCCCAGCCGCAAAAGAAGCAGAGACATGAATACCTAATCAAATTTGATTTTCCTTACAGTACCGTAGTAGTACCTACTCCAGTAAGCAGAACGACTAAGATGCCCAATACTTTCCCAGTTTGGAGAGCGTCTCACACAGCCTTTCCGTAAGAAAGCTGGGTAGGTAGTGTAAGTATGCTCCAGTCAGCTGGGATAGAAAGTAAATACGAGATATAGTATGTATTGATGTGTTCGGCGCTTTCTTGGCGTGGTGGCGGTGGGTTGTTGAACCAATATCCCCCATCGGCATATAACCCTCGCCTGCAGGCCCCTCGGCTATGCGCGTAACGCTGGTATAGCCAATGGTGCTTGCTTAGACGCTCGTCTAGCTGATAATACGTATGTATGTATGTAGGTGATTTTTTTCAGCATAGTCCCTTAGATCAATTTATTCAAGGGTGCATTTGGATATTGTATTGGTTGCTGCGGCATGCTGGGTTTCCTAACGGTTGGTAAGAAGCGATCGGCAAAGGCACGTTCCGGCTTGCAGACGACTTAGTCAGGCGTCCGTATTCGATATTGTAGTTTTTTTAGGTAGGTCGTATTTACGTGGTCGGCGATGAATCTGATGTCTATTGGTCCTCTATTACATGTATTATTGGATGCGTGTGTCATGTTCCTACAACGAAAACTGTTCATGGGCTGTGAATGGGGAAATTTGAAGACAGATCAGTACGATTCGGCAAAGGAAAGAGAGGAATTAAATACAAAGAAAGAGACGAGTATAGTGTAGAATGACATAATTTAATATAGGGATCAACCCTAACATGATAAAACAAGATAAATCGCATCCAATGCTTCCCCTGTAACGGTCTACATCTCGCTCGCTTTAGCTTGATTTTCTTTCTGCCGAGCCTCCAAGAAGGCCCTCAAGCCCCCCGTCTCAGCTGGTCTACTTCTCTTCTCTCTAGTCATCCTCGCCTTGATTCTAGCAAGTAATCCTCCCCCTTTGGTAGGTCCATCCACGCCAAACGACTTCCCCATGTAAGGCCCCTCTCCTGTAAATGTGACTCGCTGGACGCGCGCTCGCCTATTCTGCCACCCGTCGCTTGGTCCGTCTGTGGCATGATATACGGCAATCACTTCCCCCTCACCAACGTCCAGGAAGCTGCCGTGGCCTGGCCCGAAGGGTCCTGAGCCCGAGTGCTTGTGCGTCTGCAGGAGCGGAGCTTTGGACTTCTGCCAGGACGATGGGTCGAGCGGCTCGCCGCCGCGGTACTTGAGTGTTGCCATCTTGTACTCATGCGTCCAGGACCCAGCACACGAGTACACGAGCCCTCGCCACCGCCCGTCGGGCGACGAGAGCCATTGCGGCCCTTCGTTGATAGCGTGGGCGCCGTTGCTGTCATGCGTGACTTCCCACGACTGACGCGGTATGCTAAGTACGGCAGGATTGCTGCCGGCGGTCCAGGGGTCGTTCAGTTTTATCAAGAAGAGGTACTGCTTGAACCCTGAGGTATCAGCCCCTGTGGTCGCATTACCTTTACTACTACTCGTATTTTTGTGGCAGCTGCGATGCTCGTCGTCGTTGATGCTGCCAATATTGTGCTGTGCCGGGTATCCATACTCATATCTAACGTACTCGGAACCAGGGTGGTACAGCTCGCTGCTGTTGAGTGGCCAGCCCGAATATGCTAGATATAGCTGGTCCTCTAATTCGAACACTGTTCCGTCTATTGCCCACTGGTCCGGCATCTCGCGTATTGGCCCCAGAAACTCCCATTGTTCCGAACACGGGTCCTCGGTCGCCGGCGGCCCTCCTAATACGTACATTCGGTGACTTTTTCTGCCTTGCTTCGGATCGGCTGCGGCATAGTAAATGTACCATCGTTCACGAAGGGAATGGAGCTCTGGAGCCCATAAATGGGCTGAGTGGTTTGTTCCATGTGGCGGTTTCCTAGATGCCAATTTAGCTATGGTTTCGAAGCATAGGTGTGTGTTGATAGGATGGAATCTTTATCGTTGTCCTTGGTAATAACGTACCAGATGAGATGTCTATCAGCAGATGTTTCTATGTCCACAAGACTGCTCGAGGACCAGATCTCGATCCGATCACCTGCTGTGTATGTCTAGAGATCTGTTAGCCAGTCGCAGTCGCTAGCCACTCTTGCACCCCAACTCACGAAATAATAGCGGCCACAGAAGCTATTAATGTGTGGATCCGGTGCCCCGGCAGACGTAAGGGTGAGCATAGAATCATCGTAGGGCTGATGCATGGCCATTAGCCTTCCCAGTGAGAGGAGCCAGAGCAATGCCCAAGTAAACGCCATTGGCAGTGGACATTGCTTGCGGTCAATGATCATAAACTGCCACGATCAAAATCTGTTGATAAGCGTGATACTATCAAGAAGAGCGGATTTCGTGGACAGTCCGGATTTCGCCAGCGTTGTTGGGGTTGTTCTTGCATAGAGTTTCGCTTACGCCAGACAGCACCGGGTTGTTGTCGCGACCGCCGTGCTGGTGGGAGGAACATGTACATACCTAGGGCAGGGTACGCAGCCGAAAACGTGTATCTCGATACAAGCTGCGATGACTTCCCCACCAAGATCGTGGCGGGGAGAAGGTCTCCTTAAACGGAAGAGCATGAGTTGATAACAAGATCGATCAGCGGGAGACTGTCTCATCATTGAGCCTTGCTGTTGGGGTGAGTGGACAACAGAAAGTCCACTGGTCTCGCTTGTTATCGTAGCAGAACATGGGAAGCTGGAGGATCAATGCGACCAACCTTATGCGACCTCATCTGCAAGTGGTGTTCCTGAACTGTGGCAGCTTTTGGCTGGGGGGATTTTGGGGAGAGGGTAGACGTGGCCTTTCTTTTTAACCTTAAACTTGCTCACTTTTGATTGTTTAAGTTGGAAACCAGGATCGAGCTGTATTTGCGTATTGTTGAGGGCGGTTTTGGTAGTGACATCTGGTGTTGTTGGTCTTGTCTAGGTGTCGTGAGAAGAATATCGCATGGCCTGGCTGCTTTTTGAAGTTACCCGCCAAAATGCACTCAAGACGCCACAGCGGTACTTGGTTTCAGTAGTTCCTGATACCAATGAACCCCTTTTTTCCAAAGCTGGACTTCAACACCACATAGCAAATAAGTGTGAATGGTAGTAGTTTAGTATTCTTTGCCTTATACACACCTTCCTCTCCTGGTGGCGATACTGTATATCGAAATATTCCTATAGACATCAAGTATGTTGTATGCTTGATAAATTTTTATGAGCCAATCGATATGAAGATAAGTCCAGCATCATTCACGAGCGCATGAAGATATTTGCTGAACGGACAAGCAGTCAGCCTTGACTAGGTACTGAATTCTGTTCACCTAGCTTCAACTCACAAGTGTGCATGAAATCTCATGGCTAAGCAACTCTAGCGTAGGGACTACATGATACAGCGTTTGACCCGCGGGTAAAGATCCAAACTCCACGCGGTATAAGGAGGCTCGATCTCGTTGCTGTGATTGATGCTCACGAGAGGCAATTGGCTAGGTAGCCCTAGAGCAATCGTGCCCTATCAAGGAGTGGCTCCGAAATCAGCGGAAAGGACTCTTGCGAGCAGAGGAGTCATCAAGATCTACATACCTACTTAGTAGAAGGACCATAACGGTACACATTTGCATTGATATTGAGCACTGCCTCTTCATCTATCTCCAGATGATGATGACCTGCATGCATAAAATAGGCTCGTGTACAGGGGCTGCATCCTATAAAACAGTTGTTTCTCAGCTGGCCCTCTTTCGTTCATTGCCATTCCTCCTCGTCGGTGATGATTCGCCTCTCGACTAACCTGGTCCGCGTTGTTACACTACCGCCAGTGCAGTGCGTTTGCTTACAGTACATCCATCCCTTTGCATTGCATAGCTGCAGCCATGCTAGGGTACCAGTACTCTTCCGCGGCCTTGAATACTACACCTGACAGATTGTCAAGCTACGGTACCCATGACGGGTACATGCTACTAAGCACGTAGTATGTAGGACAAGGGAGCTTCGGAATCACAGCCGGAGTGAGCTCGCTCTGGCGTTGCGAGTGCGAAGGTGAATGTGACGATGGCGGTGCCATGAAGAAGAAGAGGAAGGGAGGTAAGTACCTGTTGCCTGCTGAAATGCCACAACAGTCCAGTCACCCGCCGTTACTTTGTAGCTGACGGATTAGGTACCTAAGACGTACCTAGTCTGGACGTATGTAGACTCTGGTAGACATATGTTAGCCTCATGTCAGGCCGTTTGTCAATCAATTGTCGATCTTTCTTCTGCCTTGCCGTTGCCTGCCTGCCGCAGAGCTGGGTCGGGATCGTCTTGTCGGTCGAGGCCTGAACAGCTACTTACCTAAGTACCCACTGTCCACCGTCGGTAGTGCAACCCGGACCGGGTATTTACTGGCAGATACTGGCGTCCATTTAGGTGGAGATAGCTGCCGCGGGCGCTAGCTTGGCTGGCTTACTCAGTGGATAATTACCTGTAAATATGTACTTAGGTACCTGCACAGCCTAACCTACCTACATCTACATGTAGGCCTGGCACTGCCTGCACGTGTATCCATCTATCTATCAGTGATACAGTGAGTACCTAGGTACCTAGAATACACAGAAGAAGAATTAATCGTCTGTGCATCGTACTCAAGATACAGGGCAGTTTTCACATGTTTGGAAAAGCCAAAAGGGAGCGCAAGAGAGAGAGAGAGAGCGGCAAAAAGCGACGGGCAAGAGGCGAGTGAGCGCGGGGCATTACTAAGTACCTACACGGGCATGTAACCCGACGATACCTATCTAAACCCCCCAGGCTCTCTCCCTCCCTCCCTCACTTACGAATCCGGTGAAACAACCCGGTCGACGGACCCCTCGGGGACTTGCGGCGATGGGCAAATGGTGATTGATTGATTGATTGATTGATTGCTGAGTGCTACCTACCTAGGTCGCCAGAACAATCTTTGTACCCTTTTCTCTGAAGGTTTCAGCGCGCATTAACGGTCGTCCGACGGACAGGATACGAGATAGAGTTTTTTCGCTGCCCACGTCCATCCCTGTGCTTGGGAGCCTGATGGCGCTATCATGACCATTGGACCTAACAACTCTGGCAGCCCGTTGTTCCACTTGCGTCTTCTGACGCCACGGTGATTCCGTGGCTAGAGGTTTGTTTGTACTGCCGTGAACAAGTCACTACCGACGGTGCTTACTTAGGTATAAGCACCTCGGCAGGCAGATAGCGTTGTCGTTGTCATACTGGAGAAAAAGACTTCGTGATTCAATGCGTATGTAGAATCGTGGTTTTTATTTTTTATTTTCACTCGGCATGAGCGTGGTAGCTACCTAAGTATCTATAAAGATGTAGTACAAGGTAGGTAGGTAGATAGGCAAGTAAGTTAAAAAAAAAAAAAGCCTTGGGAGCCTATAGATGTTTGCTCTATCGCCGCCAAACATCGCTGAGGGTATCAATCGCCTTTATCCAAGGGACCTAATCATGCGCCGTTTCCATTATATTCCCCATATTTGACTCCGGACCAGTGAAACGCAACGAAATCAGTGGCGGACATCCAGACCGGTTACTCCCAATCCAACCAACCACTCAAAAATAAAAGAAACATTCAAGAGAGAGACGTTCGTAGTTTCTACATGAGTCCGGGCGATGAATTGAAATCGCCCGCAAAGGCGTGTTCGGCCTCCCATTTCAAGAAGTCGCCCAGGTCATGCCCCAGATTATAACCCATGGGCACGACGTCCAAATCATCGCCGCTAGGGCTGCGAATGACCCGTAAGTCTAGCATGGGGCTAGGCGGCAGGCTTTGTATACTCTGACGGTTGATTGCGGCTTGTTTCTGTTCGCCATCTCTTGGCCAGGTGTCGTCATTCGCATTGCCGCCCGGTCCATTTGTGTAGTATTGCGACGACAGATGGCTCTTCTCCTTTGTAAACCCGAGATCGAGATGTAAACCCGCCGCGCTGATTCTGTGTTGCGCACTCTGCCATTTGAGGTGCGGGCTATTCTGGTTGTCGCTGTCGATTTCGCTATACGAGAGGTCCGGGATCTCATCTCCCGACAGCGTACTCGTAGGGCTTGATGCCTCGTATTCTGTGGTGACGAGTTCCCCGGAGCTTTCAAAGTGCCACGAGTCCCACCACGCGGCGATGTCGGCAACCTCTTCTTCTTCCCTTTGGCGCATCACGTCATCACTCTCTGAAAACAGGTCGCCAGCGCCGCCAGAGATCGCCATTTGGAATGCTGTCCAATCGAGATCCTCGTCATGGCTTAATTTCATGGCCGGTAATAGGTCGTACTTGGATAGTCGGATGGGTCCATGCTGAAAAGTAGGTGCGATTGCAGATAATGATGGTGATGGAAGATATATGTATTCGGAAAAATTACTCAGGGACTCGTTGGAATCGTTACTGAAGTAAAAGTCTCCGGCTGTCTGTGGCGTAGTGCTCGTTTCAGGAATGATGGGAAGTTCAGTCATTACTTTACGCGACGAAGACCTTACGTGTCTCGACGGTATGTTGGGGGATGAATTGGTCTTATGAAACGTCGGCCGGTGGCGGACAGGAATGGGAGGGGTGCTAGATGTATGCTGTCTCTCGAATGAGGGGTTTCGCTGCATGACGCCTTCAGAAAACGCAATCTCGGGTTTCTCTTCCGCTGGCAGCTCTATGCGGGCATCGGCATCTGCTGACCCGGGGGGCGATGGAAAATCGTCGAGGTGCAAAGGCTCTAGTATGCTCCCTGCCAACTCTTGTTCCAGCGCTTCTGCCATTTTGTCCACTTGGAATTTCGTTATCCTCTGTTGCTTAAACGCCTCGATCTGGTCGGGCGTAAGCATCTCATCCACTTCGATTTTGTGGAACAGCTTGCCCGTAAGCAGTTCCGAAACATTTTCTGTGAGTGTCCATCGTGGGCCACTCTTGGCGGCTGGTTTCGCCGCCGTAGGTTTCCGTGAAGGCCTCATGGATCTTGTTCTCTTGGATTTTTTGGATCGCTTCCTCTTGGGCACCTGTGAAGAGGGGTTGTCCTTGGGAGGACTCTTAGGCGAAGAACTGAACATGGATGGTGCTTTGCCCGGAGGGCTCTTTGAAAGCGATACTGGAACTTCCTTTGGGGGTGGAGTAGGTGGCGGAGGTTCTATGTCGCCAGATACATCCGTAGAGTATGTCTTTGTGGTCTGAAAGATGGGAGCTTGGTTAACGGGTACTTCAGACAGGGTAACACCGATAGTTTTGAAAGCGTCTTCGGTCTCCTGCATGAATTGTCTGACGTCGCTCAGGAGCCCTGGAGATAAAGTGCCATCCGGTTGCTGATCCTTCACCGTCTCTACTTTGTCCTCTCTTCTAGGGGACGAAGCTTGAGCCGCCTCTTCTTTTGAGGTGGCGTCGCTAAACGAGTTAAACCGAGATCTTGGAATATGATTTGTGAGAGAATCATCGGGGTCACTACTGTTGACGCAAGAGATCAATGTGACTTCTTCTCTGGGTTCCTTTGGTGATATCGTATAGAGCGGCGATCTTCTTCTCGAATTCAACAATGGACAATCGCACCTAGCATGACGCTCACATCTACAGGATGAGCTTGCTGAGGAACGTGGTGTCTCGCTCGGAAGCGGTGGTAGCGGTCTTAAGACATCGGAATGTGTCAGAGGGCTCGTGGCTATGATCGGAGCCGGCGCTTGCTTTTTGCGACTAGATCGTCTGTTTGCCGCGTATATACTCCCGCCACCATCTTGACCTATCCTCGAAACAAGGGAGTTCTCTTCTTTCCTCAGTTCGGCTCCACTAATATCCTCATCGCTCAACCGTCGGTTGGGTATGAGCTTCCGGATACTCAGACCCGATCGAGAAAGCATCATGACAGCGCTATGCAAGGGAAATGGATGTAATCAAACATGTAGACCTCGGGAAGAGACATCTCATATATGGACTTAGTCTGGGGTATTATGAGGCTGGTCATGTAAGTATGCCGCCAGGGAGGACAGGCAACGACAGGGGCAGCATGGCAGGCAGGCAGGTAGGTAGGTAGGTAAGTATATGCATTTGTGCTTGAACCCCGTTGCTCCGCCTGCCATGCCACGGCACAGAGACTGGGAGCGAACGGGGCGTGACGTGACATGGATGGATCGACACTCTGCACGTCGGTCCCCAGCAAAAGCCTACATGACTGGACAGACTGGACTACAAGTCGATGCCTACGCTCCCTTGCCCGGCTGAGTGCAGGTAGAGTTGACTTTTGCTACAAACAGGGGCGGCCCTGTCGTGGCTCGGTGGAGCAGGGCGGGAAGGCCGGGGGGGGGGGCAGCCCAGCCAAGCCTCCCACGCAGAACAAGGGTGCGAATGCCCTTTGGGCTGCCTGTTCTGTTATTTTTGTCGTCTGCCGGCGAAGTTCTACATACTTACATACAGTACACAAGTAACAATGTACCTAACTAAGTATGTAAGGATACTGAGTATTTGCGAACCTTGGCGTAGATCGTATGTCTTTTGTTAGTGTACCGTACCGAACTTACATGCTTGAACACCCAAAGCCGAAGGGCACGGGTGGCTTGACGTCAACATTCGGACACCATTGCTGGAATCTACCCAGCTTTCCCGGCCTACGCAGAATGCCTACTACTATGAATGTACCCGTCGCCTAGGTAGTACGTATATGATCGAAGAATGCGATGAATCCCGACAGACTGAATGCCTACCTACCTAGGCAGCTTCGCGAGATATGCTACCTACTTACAGTGCATAGTGCTCGCTACACTCTCCCTTGACAATTCCAGAGACAGGGGCCAAAACCAACATCTAACTTACCACAACAGGCGGGCGCGAGATATTTGGGGGGAGGGAGGGGAGAGGCAGCTAGCCGGGGTAGGCAACTGGTTGGGTTTGCGCTCTTCCCTCGAAATGGTGGCGATACTTACAGTACGAGAGGGCGATTCAACAGCTGACTCCCGATGTTGGTGTGGAGATCTGGCCCGTCGAGACGGAAAAGGCGTGCTCTTTGTACTATGTAATACACTACATATGTAATACCCTATTGTTAGTACTCGCCTGCTTCCATCCTGTAGTAGTAGGTAGGTACTCCTTACATTCATGTACATTGCTGTATCCACGAGACACCCGGCATAAGTAATGCTATTGTACGCTAGTCGAATATATTACACCTCGTAACCAGATTAGCATCTGTCACACCAGCCCGCCTAGCTGGTAATTGTCAACGAGGGAGACCAATCATGGCTGCGTGTGCGAGGCGACCGCGTGGTAGACGGGAACAAAACAGGGAACAATGGAGAGAGTATTGGATAATAAATTCATTCAGCTACATATACTTCGTACATGGTTTGTGAAGAAGGCGGGTATGTATAGAAGCGGCAAGCCTGGATACAAGTTTGCGCGAGCGAAAAAGTATTGGAAATGATAGGTGTAGAAAGGTGCCCTCCGGTCGGGCCAAGATCTCGCAGCCCCCGTGTCGGTCCGATGTACTGACGAGGTAGAAGAACCCAAGCGGGTGGGCGCGGGAATGGTTGCAAATACTTTGCACAAATACCTACGCGTTAAAGAAAAAAAGTGTGACTTACTGTGAGACTCGCTACATACTTCCAACCTACTTACATTGGAATACCATACATACTCACATACCTTATTGTAGGTAGTAAGTAAGGTAGCGGGAGGCACGTAGGAAGATACATACTACGCATACTTGGCACATGTTCCTGAAGGAAGAACATGCGTACTCACACGCCGTGTCCCTACCTATTCTACCTACCTACCTACCTAGGTATTCTACTTACTTTACTCTACTTACCTATGTAGGTAGGTATCGAACACACAATCCAATCGCTATCATAGATGCGGCATAATATGTTTGGTGGAGGGACGAAGGGATGGAGGTTTCGTTTGTGGATGGCGGCAGAGAATACGTACAACGTACTACCTCGTAGTAGGAGTCGGGTTAGGGTTAGTAAATGCAAGCGATATCAGAATAGAAACACTTATTCCCAAGGTACTCCCGACTTGGAAGTACAGCGAGCATGCACTGCACAGACACTGCACCTGTGGCATATCCCCATCGGCCCATTTTTGCTACCTATTCCAGTATATGCCAATAATACTATTAGAATAGTATTAGAATACCGAGTACCGGTAGACGGGAGTCGATGAAGATTCGGGATATACAATGAGAATATGACTCTGTCCAGCTCTGTCCAGGGTACATGGTTGGTCAACTTGACTCTTCAGCAGCCAACTCCCGTAGCAGCGACTACAGTAAGAGGTAGGTAGATCGCGATGATTGCTCCAGGGAAGTCAAATGTGGCCGAACTCGCAACCCCCTCCGACACGCAATCGATGCCAGATATCTCCACGTCGAGCTCACCAACATGAAACCCCCAAGTGGACTTTGGTATATACCTATCATATTAGGTAGTGCTGTAGTAAGGACACCTCTATCGGTCTAAATATACTATAGTTGGTTTGTCTGCATGTATTTGCATAGGTACCGTAGATATGTATGGATGGATGGATACGATCAGAACCGTTATTTCATACATCTACATGACCAAGTACGGGGCAGATATTTGCGGACATCAAGCGAATCGAACGAGTCGCCAACCTCCCTCGGCGCCTGTTGTTCACGCCGCCCGTTGCTTCCGAGAAATTCCCGCACAAACCCGCATCAGGCCACGGTGACGAGAAACACCGATTGTCTACCTACAGTAAGTAGTGTAAGTAGGTACGCTTCAGTTCCTTTGGTGTTGGAAGGATGCGATGCTGGAGAGGTGCTGGGCCAGAATCTCGTGGGTGACGCAGACAGTCATTCCTATTCCTACAGTCCGTGACGACTGAAGGCCCACTCAGCAATGGAAAATCCTGCTTTCCAACAATTCTCGAGTACAGAGTAATAATATCCCAACCAACCGCCAGTTGCGAGGTGCGTATCTCGAATACGTACTACTCGGCATTGACTGACCTTAGCGCATTACATATATATTACATGGTCGTGGTCAGTCTCGCAGGCTTGACATACTTACATATACCTTCGCGCAGCATGACATTGGGCTGCTGGTATGACGACAACGGCAGCGTCTGACCATGGCAGTAAAATACCGTACATGAGGTAGGTGACACTGACTGAGTATGCCTTGTCGTTGTTCTGCGCTTAATCATCTAGTCGAGTGCATTGCTAAAGGATACTATACTACCTTATGCGACCGTACTACCCGGTTCATAGCCGTTGGTTTTATTGATCGATCTGGCGGGGTGTAGCCCTGGGCCCCAGCCAGCACTTGTAACGACGTAGCCAACATCGAGTCTACTTACGTGTACACGGGCATCACATGAGCAGAAAACTGTGCCGTCAATGATAAGAATGTCCCTAGTCGAAGGGACTCTGGCGGCTTGAAGGGCAGCCAGTGGCGGGAGCATAATCCAGATGACAGATGACAGATGTCAGAACGCCTGGCGTCATCGTCGTGTAAGCGGCCAATTGGGAAATACCTACCCATCTATCTCCTGTGCCTCGTCGACCTCGGCCGCCCCAGACAGTCCCTGCGGGGAGTCTGTCTGCAGTGCACTGCCCATCTCGACGATGGAGCGAGATGGCATGACATGATGCAGTGATACCGCAGACCCCACGACATCTACTTATCTACTTACCTACTTACTTACTTACAGTTACCTACTGTAGCATGCAGGCAGGGATCGAAGGCCTGACTGAATACAGAGACTTACTCCAGATGGATCCTTTGCCAAGCTGACTCTCAGCACCAATGAGCAAAGCCTCCCTTAGCCCCTTCTTACGATTGTGTGCCTACTGACTTCACTAGCTGGTGTACAGTCATCACTCGGTTTCCATTGATTCAACTCGGCTTTTCTCGTCCTGAGCAAGAAAACCCCAACAGTCCTTGCTGGTTAATTCGATTGCTGAGGGTTGTTGGTATGATACCTACAACTGTTGCGAAAAAAGCGTTGGATCTGTTGCCTGTGGCTTGCAGCAGGGTCGTCTTGGCCTTCTAAATAGGGATGTAGAAATCCCCTAGCCTAGTGGGGAGAAAGTTCCCTACAGACGATGATGCGGCAAGGTCGTCCGAGACATGTTCGGCTCCGGAACCAAGAACAGTATACTCACCTCACGAGAGCGCATCTTCCTCTCGCCAACAACTAACCGAAACTAAAAACAGTACTGGGTGGATATCCAGATGCGTCTCCCTCGTTAGATCAGCGAACCCTCGACAGCCATGTGCAATCGCCCAGGGTAGAGCCAGGGCTTTTCCTCGTGGTTGACGATCCTTTCTATTTTCTGCAGCACTCGATAGAAAAGATGGTAGCTGGGAATACATCGCGGATTGGTACTTGCCTTCCCGAATTGGCCACCGGAATTCCAACGCCTTTAAGACCAGTCAGTCTACTAGTAAACCAAATAGCTGTAAACAAACTGTTGTACAGAACTGAAGAGCTTCAATTCGTTCGTCGAGGGCGATGATAGAGAGCGAACGGCTGGGAAATTCCGAGCTGAGCTACATACTCACATTCCAGCGTCGTAGTGTAATGTCTCATGAATCGGCGACGCTGCAGATGTTTCGCTCTCGCTCACCCACCCGACGTGGTATTTGTGCCGCCATAGCTGAATCCGTCGTCGACTGCAAAATCTCGCTACCCATGGGACTGAATGCGGACATACTCTGAAACAGCCGAGGAATCTGCAAGCAGACGCCAGGTGACATCGTCCACGTTCCAAGCGAATCTCACATTGCCTATCTCGAGCCATTCACCACCGCCATCCGACCTAACCTACCGAGCACGAGTTTGCTTGCAAGGCAGAAATCTGTTTTAGTCCTATTGGGTAGGTAGAGCTTCGCTCAGGAAGAGCCTACATGCACAAAAACCGCTCCTCTCCGCACGTGTTTGAAACCAAGGCGATGCGTGGCGGCAGAGTAGGCAGTTTTAATACATAAGTAGATCTCAAAATAGGATGAGACTCGACTGCTACTTCTTCTGATTGAGAATCATGTTTTATTATCGTCCCATTGCGAGCGAAGTATCATATCAGTATAGTTAGTTAGTTCGTTCGTTCCAAGCATCAACGTCTTAATCGTAATTCGCCATGCGTGAGTGGAATGCGCAAAGTTCCCCGAGTACGAGAGAAAAGTCAAATCGTCCAACGATGAGGACGCCGCAAGTACACCCACCGGAATGGTTTATTTCGTTTCGCGATCTAGACCCGGACCCGTTTAGGTATGCCACCAAATTACCCAGAAGCCCACGCCGAATCCTTCGAGCTGGGAGCCTTCCTTCCCCCCTCCCCCTTACAGAGAAAACGTTTGCGGCGTAAACACCGCTGGGCGCGCAGCGTGCCAACGCCTCCCGATTCATTCCTTACCCCTGGCGTAAAAAAACAAAAAAAAAATTGATATGCAGCGTCTCAGATATGGTTCGGCGAGCCGCCTACACTTTCCAAGCACACGAATCAAGTTGTGTCAGCCGATAAGCTAAGTAAGCTTCTTGTTTTTGTGCGGCACTTGAGCCAACGATGAGGCTGCAGCCGGCACACGTGCGAGTGGATTCCGCCGTGCCGGATCAGTTTCTTCTCATGGCCTCACTACCAACCAACGACCCATCTGTAACCGGTATCGGGATTTGGAAAACCTCAACGATCTCTGTCGACCAACCAACAATCTGGGGGGGCATAGATGTATGTCTTTGAGAGAGGAGGGAGTGGGAGGGTAGTGCGCCGCAGTGGCGTTATGTGCTTTCCCGCCCCAACAACCCCCAAGCAAAAGTTGGTGTTGGGTGTGTCCATTTAGCCCCCGTGGTTTGTACGAAGCTTATTAACGCTCCCAACTGATTGGAGTAAGATAGGGGGCCGATGATGAGATCAGATATGACATGAAAGACAATGTCAAATAGTGTCCAGATGGATGGATATTGGCAGAACCGGCGGATGAGCTCAGCGGGAGGAAAGCCAAGACAAGACGCCTTTTACTCGCGCGCTACACGCTTTACAATATTTCATTCTGGCTTCTCATCTGCCGTGGCGTCGCCGTCCTCGAGAACGACGCGGCGGCGTGCTGTGGCACGTACGGCGCCGAGCGGATGACCTGCTTCTCAACAGCATTGTGTTCGTCCTGCTGGATGTCAGTGTTGGGATCTCGGCGCCCTTGCAGGAGGGACGAGAGCCAAGATTGGATCCCACCGAGCCAGCTTGATGCGGACTCTTTCCTATCCTGAGCTTCTGAGAATGCAGCCATTGTTTGAGATTGGGAGATAGAAGTGGGGGTATGCCGTGTGTCGACGTTCGCAGGGGGGGTAGTCAAGACGGCAAGGTCGAATGTGTTTTATGATACCTAGCTACCTAGGTGTTTCTGACAATAGAAATGCTTGGTGATTGTATATAAGGATAGGACGGGCAATAGGCTCAAGCTATTGCAGGGTATAACTGTTAAAAGGAATGAGTTATGGCCCCGAGAGTAGGTATTATGTGGGTGAATTATAGATTGAGGGGAACGGTAAAGAGGACGAGGATCAAGAGTGAAAAGGAGTGCGATATTAGGTTGGAACACGTCCAGAAGTGACTCGGAATGTCCGTGGGATAGGGATAGGGATATCTAGATATATAAAGAGATGTCTCACATGAACTAAAGTTCAATCGTAAAGACAAAGGTACTAGTTATCATGAGCCTCTAGCTTTGTTGTTTTTTTTACCCCAACTTCAACACTAAAAGTTGCTGGAGATTCGACTGCATGGTAGATGCCGTTCCTCCTAATTCGGGACACCAGTCCGATAAATATAATGCTTCTTACGCACGAATTACCATGACTCGTACGTCATTGAATCGATCACCGGGTGAACATTCCTAATCATGCGGACGCCTCTCAGTCTAGCTTTACCAAAGAACTGGAAACTCTGTGTCGTAACGTCCGTAAAGCAAGACAAGACCAGCCACATCGCGTGACCGGAGAGACGATCTTACAGTAAGATCGCGAAAGCTGGGCGTCGATTGCTCGCGGTAGACTTACCTGTACAGAACAGGATGAGACATGGCACAGGCATAAGCCACACACATCAAGCTGAAGACGATTCAGGCCTTGATTTGCTGGCCCCGGGTAGTGTGGGATCAATACTGATCAGGCCTTGTTCAGTTGATGCTAGAACAATCGCTACGGGCTCTTCACACATCTCCTTCCTACATCATCCCGTAATGGCGTGGCGTTAGAGCCGGAGGGATGTCATGCTTTTCTGTACACGGCTTCTTAGCCACTACTATTAGAGCAGCTAGTTGCAATAGTACAAAACACGGCTAACTGAAAAGTAGAAGTTGTATAGAAGTGGTAGGAACGAGTGGCTGCCAGTGAAGGACGAGCAGAGCTGGAGGTGCGTATCAAGACGACCGGCCTCGGGATAATCATGACATGCTGACTTGGTCCACCTCAGGGCTGGGGTAAGCGGAGCTATAGGACCGGAAAGGGCTGTGAAGAAGAACATCTCGGGCCTCTCTTCCCACAGATATACCAGAGTACGCGCTATGGTGCTCTATAATCAAGCTAATGCCATAAGCGACGGTTAGGTGCCTACCACACCAGGAACTATGCTTAGCTTAGCAACTTATGTGGTGGACTTCTTAACCACATAACACAAACTCCCTGTTTCTCCCCATTCACTAAAGAATAGCGCATGATATTAGCTCTATTGAGCTAACCCCACGGATAGGCTCCTGTCAAATCGAGCTGAGGTAATTTTTCTCCAGGTCAGTTGAGAGCATGGACCAGAGGGGGTAGCAGAACAAGATAATACTAATGCTCTCGTTGCAAGGCGGGTATAGCAATAGTGAGAGAAGAATAGCAAAAGGCGATGAGAGGCACGGGAGTGACTACTATATGGTATCTAGTATCGTCATCGTGTGTTTCGTCAACAGCACAGGGCTGCCATTCTGCCGTCGAATTTCTTTATTTATAGTCACACGTGCCCTACAGCTCTTGTACTATGTAAGCGTGGATCTCCAGATCCAAGTCAACGGTCTGAAAATGATCTTGAGGCAGTCATTGGTCAGACACCGTAGGGCTGGATGGTCTAGTCTTTTTTGATCAAGATTAAGTGATATGTGCTTAGCTGAATGGCCGATGAGGGAAATCAACGAGCTAAGATGACTAACTTCAACGCATCCGAGCATGCGACTTGGCGTACCGCCGTGTAGGTTGTTGGTTGTTGTTTTATTTGTATTTACTTGTGTGTATCTTCGTCTCTCATATAGATGTAATAGTGAAGAAGCGGACTTGAGAGAACCCAGATATAGTGAAATATGCACACTGAACACAACTTCAATGTACGCTGATCGGAGCAATCGATCCCTATCACGTATTCGCAAATAATAACAAGTTAACAATAGTGATGATTGAGATACTAAGCTGGGCAATGGTGTCGGACATGCCCGTGATCTAATCTGCATAGGGTGTAGTATCAGCGAGCGGAGAAGAAAGTGATCGAACGATGTAATTCAACATAGCTGATACTCAATAACCTTCGTCACTTTCAGATTCAGACTCATCTTCGTCTTCTTGTGTGATATATGGAACGAACCGAAAGTCAAGAAAGCTAGTCAAACCACCCTCCCCTTCTACCATGAATTGTAGGCTTAGGACACCCTGCGCATCCCCACGGAAACTGACCTTGGTTGCTATGCGCATTGCTTCACTTGCAGATTTGACCAGGTCGAATTTAAAACTCTGAATCCACGGTTCTCGCACGGAGAAAGTTTCGAGAAGATCCCGACCGTTTGAAAAATCCACGCTCGCGCTGCTGATGGCTCCACCGCTCGCAAGTTTCAAATACGGGGCATTTGGTAAGGCAGAAATAGCGATTTTAGCTGGTGACAGAGGCGATAGCTCGGATAGGCTGTCTAGGAGCCATCGCGCTTGCATGATAACCTTGAAAGAAAGATCGTCTCTGTCAAATGGTATATCATCGGGGGACTCAGGTGTGTATGTGGCAATTTCACATTGCGTCTTGATATCCGATTCCTCCAAGATAACGCCGAGGGGTGACCCATCTTCTTCGTAGACTAGACAGCATGTCCCGGGCATGTCGAGGGTCTGATGACTAAAAGCATCTGGACGATAATTACGAAGGTTGCTACGATATGCGTCTGCATCAGTCTTGGCTGCCCTGGCCGCTGCATCAGTGGCACCAAAAATCTGCAGAGCCTCTAAGAACGCAGAGAGGTTCATCTGGAACCGTGGCGTCGTTTCCGCATCCTCCGGCCAATTAAGAGTATATTTAGTGAAGAGCGATTGGTCAAGAAATGCCACACCTGTGATGGCTGGTCAATTTTCTCAGTTACGGAGACAAATCATAGGTGTAACTTACCCTGCATGACGCGAGAATGGTCGGCTGCGAATCGAATGCCATAGTGCGTAAGCTGAACATCAACCTTGGGCGCAAAGCTGATGCATTTCAACAACTGATAGATCTGCCTCGTTGAACTCGCGACTGCTCGAAACAGAGGTTGATTTGGAGCGGAAGCCACGGGAGACGCCATTGGGGAACTGATTTCAAACGATAAGAGGGCGGCGGTCGGATAAGAAAATCTCCGGAATAATGCGTAATGGAAAAGATTCGATGATGATAAGTTGAGGGGGATGTGGTCACTCTCAAAGAAAACACAACTTGTGCGGTAGGTTCGGCACGGCTCAATTGATCTATGGTACACGGTGGCACTTTCTCCAGTCCACGAATGGCTCTCAGAGAGCTGTTGTTCTTTCTTTCTTTCTTTTTAGACGTATACTCCGACGGCGCAGAACATGTAGACCGTTCCGAATCTGCTTGCCAGTTAGATTCGAGAAGGGCGAGCAAATAGATATTGGAAGCTAATACGCACGCGATGACCAATCCAGCTGGAACACCGTAGACAGGAAGACCAACCAAAGATCGATCTGGGATGAACTCGTTAGCAGATGAGCATAAACGAGCATCATACTCCGTTATAACGTACTGAAGGCGAATCCACCTGTTAGGCCAAGGCCGAGAAGCAGAAGAACAAAACCGACGAGGAACTGGCTTCCCTTTCCTACTGCAGGTTGGAACGGACTGCCTGAAGCAGAATGCCAGAGTTCATGTAATGAGGGATCCATGGACGAGAGCTGAAGCTGAAACTTGTCTGTTGTTCAATTGTTCTAACCGACTTCTGAAATGATCAATTCGATCAGGAGAGTTCGTGTCAACCAACTAGATTACCATGCTTGAAAAGAAAGCAGGCAGGCAGGATAACAGCACGTCGGATGGTGGTCTGAAGCTCGGGTTGTTGTTGATGATGTTTGATGTTGCAGATGCGACAACTTGCCTGCTGCCATAAACCACCAAGTCAAGCTCCAACTGGAAAGAAGCTCCCGGTGTTGCCCTGTTGTCATCTGGCAACTGTGGCTCGATCAGGTTATTTCCTAATGTGGCTTAGATCACTCGATGGAGGTATCAGATGATACTGAGGTACACGATCCTCCCGGCAGAGACATATGCAGGAACAAGTACCACCGACTCCTCCAGTTACCTGCCTATAAGTCCCTACACACGTACCGGTAGGTAGGGACCTCTGGGCAGTCGGTTACATAAGCACCCGCTTTAGCATGAGACTTCCTGTTGGCGCGCCGCATCGCCGCCGCATGCTTGTGATCTCACTCCAAGAACCGCTCAACCAGCCCATCTTGCGCCCGACGCTACATGAGTCGATGTATTCTCTGCAACGCCGTATGTTCCGCTGATAAGCCCAGGTAGCCATTATGGGTTTCATCAAAGAAGAGAGTGAGTTTTCCTTTGCATTGTTTGATGAGTCTCTTGTACCCTCTACGACAACGTTGCTAACCTCTCCCCTCCACACAGATGGGAAGCGCAAGGCTAGTGACGAGCCATCGTCACCAACAGCCTCCAAACGCGCCAAACACAGCGAGGATCTCAACGAGCCCGAGGCAAAGACCGTTATGAAGCCGATCCCTTTTCCTGAGAAGGTAGAGTTGTCCGTTCATCTTTCTGCTCCTGTCATGCAACCAAGTCTATTGCCACTATTTCCAATAGACCCTTGGAGCGACTCATGCATCTTTCATCGCAATTTCCTTGACGCTATCGCAAGACATTGCTAACCTGTTCCCCCAACTATTAGCCAGCCGTCATCGAAGAACGAACCGGCGAGATCGAGTTTCGGGTGGTGAATAACGACAACGAACGGGAATCCCTTATCATCCTCACAGGCCTCAAGTGTATCTTCCAGAAACAACTACCCAAGATGCCGAAGGATTATATCGCTCGACTCGTCTACGACCGAACGCACTTGTCTATAGCAATAGTCAAGAAGCCGCTGGAAGTAGTTGGTGGTATCACGTACAGGCCGTTCAAGGGCCGCCAGTTTGCCGAAATTGTCTTCTGTGCCATTAGTAGTGACCAGCAAGTGAAAGGCTATGGCGCGCACCTTATGTCGCACCTGAAAGACTACGTGAAAGCCACGAGCGACGTCATGCATTTCCTCACCTACGCCGATAACTATGCCATTGGCTACTTCAAGAAACAAGGGTTCACGAAAGAAATCACGCTACCTAAATCCATTTGGATGGGATACATCAAAGATTACGAAGGAGGTACCATCATGCAATGCTCGATGCTGCCGCGAGTACGCTATCTCGAAATGGGCCGTATGCTGCTGAAACAGAAGGAGTGTGTCCACGCTAAGATTAGAGCATTCTCCAAGTCACACGTAGTGCACCAACCGCCCAAGCAATGGAAGAATGCCGTCACGGCAATCAACCCTCTCTCCATCGAAGCAATCCGTGAGTCGGGCTGGTCACCAGACATGGACGAACTAGCGCGCCAACCTCGTCACGGCCCCAACTACAACCAGCTACTCCACCTGCTCAACGACCTGCAAAACCACCAGTCGGCTTGGCCCTTCTTGAACCCCGTCAATAAAGATGACGTGGCCGATTACTACGAGGTCATCAAAGAGCCGATGGATCTCTCCACCATGGAGACCAAGCTCGAAGCCGACCAGTACACCACGCCCGAGGAATTCATCAAAGATGCCCGCCTCATCTTCGACAACTGCCGCAAATACAACAACGAGAGCACGCCCTACGCGAAGTCGGCCAACAAGCTTGAGAAGTACATGTGGAACCAGATCAAGGCCATCCCCGAGTGGTCGCACCTCGAGCCTTAGAAGGGAAATATAGGGCGCCAAAAGAGTGGCAACCGTCGCTCAGAACCACCACTAGCGAGGGAAGAACAGTACAAGCATGGCTCGGGTATCTCAACCAACCGCCCTCGGGGTTCTGCGAGCCGACGTTTGCTGCGGGGACGTGTCTAGCCATTACAATGACGCGTAATCCTGTGTATATATATCAGTAATTGTATGGTGTTATGATGGGTTGGTGTTATGATTAGCATGGTTATGGTGTTGATGGGTTTACGGTTATGAGGATATATATATATCATGATCGGTTTTGGGGCAAAGTACCAGTGAACAGGCAAGGCGTTGGGGACAAGTGTTAGGAAACATGCACATTTACAAACTATGGAGACTCAATTAGCTCCATACACACACAAATACTTATCTTTTGCGCAAGGGACGAAGCACCAACCGCCTATCACTATGTCTTACGGTAGTAGATGCCATTTTTGGTAACCACAGTCACAGAAACAATGAGCAATGGTGTGTCACATGGCTGAAAGCATGGCAGATATCCGTTTAGGAAGAAATTCTCATTATGCCCATGCAGTCAACGCCGGATGGACGATAGCCTCTGTTAAAAGCAAGTGTCGCTAATACGATGTCGTTAAGTTGTTCCTATCCCCGACAAAGTCTAGATGAATAAGACGAAAGAAAACATGCGATTCCTACTACCAGGTAGGAAGTTTAATACTCTGTAGTTCCCCCCCCCCCCCAACACACAAATGCCAGTTGCTTCAAGTTGGTCCCCAGCGGTGTTAAGCTTGCAAGGTAAAGCATGGGTTGCATGTAAATCATTCGCAGGTTGGTATGTAAGGGTGTATTGATGGGAAAACAAGGCAAAATTCTCAAAGGGTGGGAACATTTCTGTCTCGTTACACCATAAAAAAGCTCGTAAAGTCTAGGAGTATGTATGCTCCATGATAACATCGTTTCGACAATGTTGTGCAGACGAAGGGTGGTAGCCGGGCATCGAGGTAGGCGTGCTTGCCTTGGGATCATAAGATCTGGACAAAATTCGGACAAGTTGCTCGTGTTCGAGCTACAACAAGTTGAGTGGGAGACATGTTATATGCATTAGATGTTCTTTGCGGATAATACTAAGGGTCGAGAGATCTTTGATCGCATATCACCCATACCAGTAGAACCAATGCCACTTCATGCGCCTGGCTGAGCCGTGCGCTGAAGTCGTACTTCTGTAGCATTGCCGCGACCATCTCCACTCGACGTAGGCAATCGTATGTCCGAGTAGGAACGGTGGAAATTATCTAAACGTTCAAAAACGACGCCCATGAAGGTCTCGGAGGACCTGGCCCGCGATGTTGGCAAGACGGGCGTTGGATCATCTCTCGGCGCCCTCTCCAGCTCGATCGTCCGGCGGATGATATCACGAAGAAACTCTGGTATCACCTCCCAACGTCCTGCCCTCGCCGCACTCAACATATTTGGGGGAAAGAGGGCCTGGGGGATTAGGGTTGCGTCGCTTGGTTGCTGGTTTGGATCTGTGAGAAATGGGAACTCGCCAGAGTCTATGGCATTCTTCAGCCACTGCTCCCACTCCTCCTCGTAGTGTTCCGACAGTTCTCCAGCCTCTTGGCGAGCTGCTCGCTCTCGAAGGTGTTCGTTCAAAGCAAACCCGATACTTTCCAACTCCCCGTCGCTTTCCTCTTCGACCTGTTCAAGGTCCATATTCTCTTCATCTTCATCATCTTCCTCAATATCCTCTCCCTCATCTATTACTTCCTCTTCCTCGTCCTCATCTTCTTCCTCTTCGGGTTCTTGGTAGGTGGCTCTTGGGATCTCGCCAGTAGTTTGGGGCCTGTGCTCCGGCTCGACCCAGAGAGAGATGTTGTCGGCGGCGGTGTCTCGAATAGTGATACCAGAGTCACGTTCGAAGCGGTCCTTCGCCCATTTGGTACCCTCCCACTTTGTCAGACCCGCGATTTCGGCACTGGTCAGGCGGAGACTGTCAAATGCGCGGAATAGGCGGCGGTGCCACGGCCAACGGCTGAGACGTATCCGATGTATGGGATGGCAATAGTCGAGACCTGGGTATTTGGCCTCCTGAGTATCAAGGTGGCCATAAAACGAGTGGACTTCTTGACGGACTTCAAGGATGAGGTGCCGATGAAGTAGGGACTGGAAGTTTTGCACGTCTGTCGAACGCGGCTTGGGAAACATGGACTCGTAAACGAGTTGATCTACCGGACGACCCCTCATCTCGACAAGTATATTGTATTGATCTCTCGCTGTGTGAATTTGGAGCCGAAGGCGTAGAGTTTTGAAAGATAAGGACTCCGCTTCACGACAAGGCCGTGATGCTTCGCGGGAGAGGGAGGGTTCCCCGCTCGTGATATGAGAGCAGATGAGAACAAGCGCATTCGGTACGTTAAACGTATGCTGGGCAGCCGTGACACGATATGGGACTTGACAATTTCACGTATGGCAAGACTTTTCGGGTCCCAAGGTCCACCATAGAATAAAAGAGAGAAAAGGATGTGCCGAGGAATCGCTCCTCTGCGCCGATGACGGTAGTGGATGTTACCTATCAAGCACAAGCCCAACAGACCAGAGACTCATTTGCCCACCACTTGAGAGTAGCCTGTACGCGTCGATGGGCGATCGAGTTGCTAAGCCGTGCAAAGGAGCGGGTTCGTCTTAAGAATGCTCACAATAGTAAACTTGGAGGAAGGGAGGGAGTCGAGGAGGGCGCAAGAAGGGAACCGCAGAAGAAGAGGATCGACAACGACTTTTAGTGCAGACCGTGATCAGGGTTGATCAGGGCACTGCAGTAGTGTAAGAGGAGGGTGGGATGGGCAGGTACGGGTAGTCAGATTGAGTTTCTGCAGAAGTAGGTACACAGGAAGGTACGCAGGAAGGTACCTACATGGGGGAAGGGTACGCAGAGATCGGGAGAGATACCGAAGGTGGTACTTTGTGCGCTGGGCTTGGCGCCAGCCTTGACCAAGTCTCTACGCTTATCTGTGTACTCTGCCAGCATGTACCTAGATACATGGGCACTAGTGAACAGAGAGAGGAAAGTGCATGCTAGGCCCATTCACTATTTAAGGTGTCCTGTACTGTAGGGGAAAGGACACACAGGCAAAGCTCCTACCTAAAATTCTAAATACCTCTCTCAGTATTTCCATAGAAGGGACTGGAAAATACATGCCGTCTTTTACATGCGCTACTGATGAATGTAGGTAAGTAGGTAGTACATGAATAATATGTATTCAAGGAGTCTTCAAGTTGACATTACAGCTTCCTGCAAAAGCGGACATGGACAATAAAAAACAGGGCGAAGAATGGGGATGATTAATGGAGTAGGTATGGTACGTACCAACTGACAAAGTGTAATACCTACTATGTACAAAGTAGGTAGTATTGATAACAGGGGGGGTCGAATAAGAAAGACCTTAAAGACGGAGGACCTGTCTCTCCAGGATCGGACCGAGACATTGCCAGAGCAGAGGGCTGTTCGGGGACGCTCGTGCCACCCCGAAGTCAGTTGGATACTTGCACACAAGTACTTACTAAAAGGGAACCTGGCCAAAGGGACGGACGGACAGAGTCTGGATGGATCTAGTGAGAACCCGGAAGAGGACTTAGTTCCATAGTAAATTCCGGTCCGAGTCTGGTGATGTAGAGGAAGGAGGGGTCCCACGCCTTGATTACTGTAGTCATACTTTCCAGGCACACGATGCCGAATGCCTGCGGAAGTATATAGGTAGAACATTTGCCAAACGATCATGTACGCGGTTCGATACCAACTTCTACCTCGGCAGGACCTCCAACTATCTTTCAAGAAGTCGATACATCAAGCATGACAGCTGCGACAATGCATCGGAGTAAGGCAGGTATCTCCCACCTACCCACTGCGGATCACCTTATCTATCCCTTGGACCAAGATTCGAACTCTGTGACCTTTTCTTACCTAACTCTCAACCTATGTACTTACTACGGTGCCTGTGTACATATGACCGAAGTGTGCTTAACCAATAAGATAGAACCTTGCTGCTACTACGGGTTACAGCGCAGGTAGCTGACGGGGAGAGTGTAAAAGGTTACGGAGTTGAGATTCACGATAACATACTATCTAACCCACTCAACTCAACGAATACTACCTAGGTTGACTCGTATCTGAGTAGGTATAGGTACTGTATAGATAGGTGCAACAGGCGTGTTCGAATGGAAGGTATTGAGTGTATTAACAGCAATGCCATGCAGATTTTACATACCTACCTACCTATAGTAGGTACTCCCTTACATCGGAAAACTGGTTTTCGGTAAGCCGGCAGTTGGACAATTTTCTCCGAAAACCCTTCAACGCAAGTGCCCTACTACTTCGTAGGTACTTGATAAGCTAAGTAATCAGCCTTAATTCTCAAACAAGCTTAAGCTAATTGTCACACAAACACGACGATTCCCGATCTTCATCTACGGTACCTAAGTTCTACAGTACATATGTACAGTGTATACATGTATGTAGTAAACCATTTAACCTACTTAAACGTAGCGCACTTCTAAATTAGGAACGCAACTTGTCTAGGTATAAGTATGCATAGAGGCCTTCTACCTTTAAGATACGGTAGCTACTGTAAAGCATACCTACCGGTAGTTGTCAGTTCAGGCAAGGCAAGAATATATGAGTAATCAAAGGCCTTGTATAGTAGTAGTAAAGTAATTCTTTAATTCTACGTATTCAATGGTGAGATACCTAGAAAATCAACCTAGACAATCTCTGTGACAAAACTGGCTAAACCACACTGAATGAAAAAATGACGCTGTGTGGCTAGCTAGATGCAATGAACTAAGCACCCAATGACAAACAATGCAGACACATCCTGTAACACTCTAGGCCTGCTTCGCATCATCATGGTCAGTCGAGAGGAGGACATCTTCCCACTCCTGGATAAGCGCTTCCGTGCTCGCCATCTTTGCACGTATGTCCCTCACACAGTCAGAGCCGAGCGGGAGGCGAATAGGGAACGCTTTCCCAGCAGCGACGCCCGTGCCAGTGAGCACGTCGACGATGACCTTGGCGCCCTTGTCGACGTCGCCAAGCTGGCGGTTGTTGACAGCGGCTATAGCCTTACGGCTCGCCTCGACGGCCGTTCCCTTATACTCGGCCTCCAGCATGTTAGACACGAGCTTGCGGTTGTTGCCCTGTGCTTGGAGGAACTCGGTGCGGAAGTAACCAGGCTCGATCACAAGAGCGTTGATACCGAGTTCCTTGACCTCGTTGTGGACACTTTCGGTAAACCCTGATACTGCCCACTGCAATGTAAGAGTTAGCTCGCATATTTACTTTATGGGCCAATAAAGCTCCTTAAACGCACCTTAGCCGCACAGTAATGCGAGAACACTGGGCCGCCAAACCAGGAACCAATACTGCCGAAATTCGCGATATAGCCTGACTTGCGAGGTCTCAGGTACGCAATCTCCAGGCGAGTCAAGTTCGTGATGGCAAGGACGTTGACAGTAATGCTATCAAGAGCCTCCTTTTGGCTCACGCCTTCGGCAGGTCCCTCAAGCAGATACCCGGGAGCATTGATGAAGTGGGTGATCTTGCCGTACTTTTCGATGGCGGCCTGGAATGCTGCGTTGATTGTCGTATCATCGCTCGTCGCATCAAGGTCCATGAGCGTTGCACCGAGGGCCTCAAGGTCCTTGAGAGTAGTTCCTCGACGAGACGCTGCGATAACCGAGTCACCTCGTCGTAGGGCTTCTTCCGCGATGGCTTTCCCAAAGCCGCTGCTAGCGCCAATGATGAACCAAACGTTTCCAGACATGGTACAGGCGGTGCTCGATTAAACTTGGATGAAATGGGCTGAATTGCGAATTGAGTGTGTCGTTTGCGTGTGCGAAGATGTTGGTGATGTAGATATTGGAATCTTCATCTTCAATTGCTGCGTACATCTACATCTTTATATGCCTCTTCGACTGAGGCCTTGGCCCTTTGTTCTCAAGACCCTATGGCGCAAGGAGACCTACAGTACTGTGATGTGAGGAGCATACGATGGTAAGTCCGACGGAGAAGCTGGCAGCGTCGCCATGAAGGTTCATTGTTGTGTGGCATCGTATCCTGTAGAAACGTATACACGTATACACATTGACGGCATCAGCATGCGCATTCTCTGTCAAATTGATCATGTTCAATACTGGTAGGGGGTAGTTGTAGGTAATTCGGTGTCTCAACCTCTTAACGCCGCGCTGGGGTGTTCTTGTTTTGTCGTTTTCGGCGTTTGGCTACGCGCCGACGCCAAGGTGGTCATTAAGTATGTAAAGAACATCATTTCTCTTTTACACTGATCCGCACAATGAATAGTTAACGTCGAATTCTTACTCCCGATACCCACAGCATGTATAAAGTTTTTGGTGCAGCTGAAAATGTTCGTAGTGATGATAACGGAAGTTGTAAATTCTCGCGGCTGGCTTAGCAGTTCCACAAGTAGTGAGCTGATGAACCAATCCAAAAGCTTCAGTCCCTGTTCTTGTCGACCTTCCAACCCTACTCGTCGCAGGCATATTACTAGACCTTAACTTATGTCACGCATATCCACGAAACCACCAGGATATATGTCTCCTACGGCAACGCCGACATTATCACGTTGGCGTTGCACTGCACACCTATTTCGGGGCCTTCAATGTTGGCTTAGCACCGAGATCAAGGATTTAGCAAGAGTATAGCTGAGGTATGATCACTGTATAACGACCGAATGACTCGGCGATAAAAAGGTCATAACTTAATCCTAAATTGAGATATGACTAAAGCTTAACCGACCTATCATTCACATCGTAATATTAGTAGATAGTCAAGCTAATATTGAAGATCCTGAAGGAGGTGTAGAGAATTAGATTAGAAGAGCTGAGACTGCTTTCTCTATACTAGTAAGAGCACCGACGTCAATGTTCAAGTCGCGCCAGTTTAGTACACTACCCTCATCTCCCATCCAACTCCCCTTGTTCTTGACCCAGTCCCAAAACTCCATGCCCATAACAAACTCGCCGCCGAGGCCCGGCCACAGCGTGTCGTAAACAGCCTTTTCTATATGCACATATTGCGCCTTTACGTCATGGGCCTGTGCCCACATCTGTAGAAGATCTCCAAGGGTGATCATCTCAACGTACGCAAAGACAATGTTGCCGTTGCCAACTTTCTCTTTCTGCGTCAAGATGGCGCGGATGAAGACGCCGAAGTTGGCACGTGTATCGCCCAGACAATATACCGGGGTATCGCCGTTTATACCTTGTAGCTGTATGTATTGCCCGGCCGTATCTAGATACACAGGCTTCAAGATGTCCCAGGACAAGTTACTCGCGTAGAAACCGGGCCAAACAAACGTCGTCACGGCACGTAGCTCGGGTTGGGACTCGATATATTCTTTGACGTGGGCCTTGGACTCGTAGTGCGGCACTTTAACAGCGCCGGATGTGATGCGCGATGCGTCGGGCAGCGTTGAGAAGATGAAGTGTTGGAGAGTGTCGAGAGTCGAAAGAGCGGCCGTCGCGATATTGACTCCTTGCGCTGTTTCTAACTCTGCAGCTTTTTCTTGACCGAGCTCTTTGAACGATCCCCAGAAGTCAGTTACGGCGAAGATTGCATATGAGCCGCTGACTGCTGCGCTCAGTGAAGACATGTCGTTCAGATCTGCCTGAACTGTCGATACGCCTCGAGTTCGCAGTGCTTCGGCCGCCGCGCTTGATGGGTTGCGGGTTACTCCGCGGATAACGTATGTGTTCGCGGCAATTGCATCGTTCAGTAGAGCGTCCACCACGGAGCCACCTTGAACTCCTGTAGCGCCAAAAACGGTGATGATTCTCTTCGACATTTTGATTAATATCTTCCGCCAAGCTGGCTTTCACGAATTAACAGTGTGAAGCAATCCAGAGGCGTCAATCGGATCTATTTGCTCAACCAAAACGTCTTTGATTTTGAGCTCGCTACGCATGTAACTTGACATATTTATATCTTGATATGGAGAAACCACAGGTAAGTTCATCCAGTGTCTTGAATAAATCGAGCACAGATGATTCCAAAGCCGCCCACTTCAGAGCCGGAAATAGCGTAACTATCTCTCCCTTTTCACTCAATAATGTCCGTTGTGTAATACGGCTGAATATCCCGCGGAGTTGCAACTTTCCTCAACTTGTTGAGAGAAGGGCGCGGTGGATTACTAATTGTACTACACGAGTTCGTCTCCCTATGACATTCGCCCGGAGGGCACTGCCTCGTGATACCCCTTCGTCGATGGTGGCACCATTATTTACACCGCGGTCCTCAACATCAGTCTATTCAAGTTTTGTACATACAGCAGAACCAGGTCGCATTCCAAGACTATCGCCCGGCACTTCATAAATGAGCCTGTATTGGGCTTTGACATGGAATGGCCATGGGATGCCCGAAAGTGACCAAGACTGCCAGACAAAGCTGCTCTCATACAGCTCGCAAGTGAACGGAAAATCGGGCTGTTTCACATTGTGCTTCACGATGGTGAGACTGCGGACGATCTCATCGCATCTATTTTAAAGGAGATTATCGAGTCTCCAAATATTATCAAGACCGGTGTGGCCGTTTTGAACGCCGACTTCAAGCGGTTAAGAGTATATTTCAACCTTGAACCGAAGGGTGCATTCGAGCTTAGCCACCTCCACAATCTTGTCACACATGGTACCCCTAGTTCCGTAATAGCGACCGATCATAGTTCGAAGACAACAAGTCGCGAGCAGACACAAAGATGGAAGGAACAGGTAGTGTTCGCACATTGATGGATAGTTTGTGCTGGGCTCTATATGGCCCGTTAGCATCCCACCGCAGGCATCTTGCTGTAACAAAAGGCATAGCTCCAGTCATCATCGCCCAAAACACACTGCTGCAGGCTCTAGCCATGCATCGCCCTTCAAATAATCAGGAGCTATTACGTTTGCCTGGCGTTCGTGAAAGAAAGGCGTTGCAATATGGAGAGTCCTGGTTGGGAATCATTACAAAATTTGAAGCAGAACAGAAGCAGGGTCGTGGCTATACAGTAAAACAAGAAGCCGATAATCAGACCGAAAATAGTGAAATACATACAAGGTCAATACGCCCAGATCCGAAGCGCAGGAAAATCGTGGGCGTAGGTCGCTCGAAGGAAATACTATCACCGTCCGACCAGCCTCCTGCTGTCTTCAATACTGGCATATCATTTCAACTAAGCAAGACAAGCCTCACTGATAACCCCCCAAGGGTATCTCGATATGAAGCGCAGCGTGATGAAGGTCGCGATAACGATAGTAGTGATGACGATGACGCTGCTTCCGGGCCACCAATGCAACCACCCTCGCCAGCAACGCTGAAATGTAGGCGAGATCTCGCCGCTGGGGCGCAACGACGAAGGCCACCCCAAAGTGCAGTAGAGACGCTAGTGTGTATAACAGGCTCTCTAGCTCTCGATGCAGCGACAGCGACCAAGTCCACATCAACCAGCCGGGACGATCTAAAGCCAAGGGCTGCTGCAGCGCCGCCCATTTCTCCGGCCATGTCAACGGCTTCGCATCGCCTGGTTTTGAATGGCTTTAAGCCGCAACATGAAGCGTGCGTCATCTGATCGTACTAGGCGGGGAAGGATGCTTCTGCGCAAGAAACTAGAGGCCTACGTAAAGAGGGTTATCTGGGCGATGCATCCCAAACCGACCGAACCTCGGGGCGGTATGAAGGACAAACCCACCGGGAAATGAGATGTTTGTACAGCATACATTTTCCAACACAAGTCTGTGTCTAGATATTGGGAGACTGTGCCCTGCCTGCCTGTTGAGCTAATTCTGATGGCCTTATGAACGCGTTACATAGCATATACGAGTGAAATCACATTTACGCAAGTAACTAGATAGATGTGTTGAAGTCGTTGCGGTGATTCTGGTTTTGATAAATGATGAGACAGGGTTAGGATTTCGCCAGGTGCGTCTGTTGTACCGGCTGGTTTTAGGCAGCCAAGTATCGTGCAAACATGGCGGCAAAACAAACAAGACAGAACACAGAACACAAAACGCGTTGGCTGCTAGCGAGGCTTCGCTATTACTTACCTGGATAGAATGATGAGTCATCTTCATATCCTTCAATCTGGCGAGTTGGTAGGTTAGCTGGCCTCCTCACGCGAAAGGCGGCGCAGCATCGCAGCCTTCTCAAGTCAGCAGACGCATTCAACCTACCGGTAGGTACCACGGTCGGAATCCCAGAACGCGGGTTCCTGCACTCTCGGCACACGCGACGCGTGCGACTCCCAGTACTTGGGCGGGCAGGCACTCCGCGGCACCTGCTCAGCCAACCTCATTCGCAACAGGCATCAGAGGCTCTCTCTTCTTCACTCCCATCCACACGGGATGGTTAGCAATGAAAAGAAAAGACAATCACGGAGGATTCATGGTACAAAAATTCCCTACCCGGACAAAGCCAAATAGGAGTGGTCAGTGTATAGTTTTCAACTAGCAAACATGCGGCCATCAGATTATCTCCTCATCGACACGCATAAAGCCCGTGCACTGGGATGAAGAAGAAAGAGAGAAGAAGAAGAGTGAGAAGACTGGGAGGCGGGACGAGAATTTATACCCTTTGGTCAATGGGCTGGTGGGTCGGTGGTCGGTGGGTCATCGGTGGGTCATCAGAGGGCACCAGCTGGCGGCCTGCTGCAGGCACTGGCTGCCTTTTTTGCGGTGGGGGGAAGGGGGGTGGCTCTGGTGGTTGGGTTGCTCAACTGTGCCCGGGCCACCTTGGATTTTCAATGTCAGTACAATACTTCTTCTCCCATTCAAGCTAACAGTGAAGACACCACCGGAATAGGTGTACTTATTTCCCCGGCTAGTGCGTACAACATTGGCATAGGTATTCAAGAGTCATGTTATTGTTCCAAGTATTCATAGTTCATTTCTTCATTCGTTGCTTAGGTACATAGATACCTCTACGCAGTAATATACAGGCGAAATCCAAAAAATCAATGCGCTGTCCTGTCCCATTATGCAGTATAGCCACACCACGTCCTTGGTCATTCATCTTCACTTCCGACTGTGATTCAATCACTGGGATACATCGGGGTTTGAATCGCTTTCCGGATCTGAAGGGAATGTCTCGGTGGTTTGTGTTGCAGTAGCTTCTTGTGTAGTGTTTCCCTTCAACGTCTTGACAGCTCTGTATGGGAAATCATCCAATTCCTGCTCGCCCTCTTCATCAAAGAAACTTTTCTCGTTCTCGGCCCTGTCAGTATCTGAACCGGCTAAAGGTTCATGTCAGCGACTGAGGTCTCTCGACTCCCAGCGGAAGTGTGATGAAGAAAGACTTACAACAACCTGAAAAACAGCTCTCACACTTGGAACACGAACAGTTAGCAATGCGATCTCCAAGTTATTGATAGACGGGACGGGAAAACGAGGATATGTCTTGGAACGACGGATCTCGGTGCACGTCATTCAAACCAACGGCTAAGTTTTGCTTACCTTCTTAGATCCACCCAAGCAACTCAGAAGGCAATTGGGAAGGCAGGATAGGTCTGAGATGAGCGAGTCGGACTCATCCTCTCCACCGTCCTTCCCAGTGTCTTTGTCATCACCGAGGAGTCCGCCAAGGAGACTTCCTAGAAGGTCGTCTCCCTTATCCTTTCCGTCATCTTTGCCTCCACCAAGACCACCGAGTAATCCACCAAGGAGACCTCCAAGAAGATCGTCTCCACTGCCCTTCTCAGAGTCTTTTCCTCCACCAAGGCCACCGAGAAGACTACCAAGAAGACCGTTGACAGTTCCAGTGATCAAATCTGTTAGACCACCTAGACCTAGGAGATCTCTAGGCTGTTGTGTCGGTAGAGAGGACACAGCAACCACGAGAATGACGAAGAATGCGTTGGGGTGCATTTTCTAATCTGCGGGAGGGTTTTCTGTTTCGATGAAGATGTAGAGAAGGGAGAAGTAGAGTGATTCTCGCTCTTGATCGACGAGATAACTTATCTGTTGATAAAATGTTGCGGTTGTTGTTCTGACCTCAGGGAGAATTAATCAACTCCTCTGTTCAGATCAACTCTTATATATCTATACCAGGGCGCAACCAAATAGCAGGAAGGGGCTGACGGATAGGACGATTGAGCGAAGCAGGTATATCAACCTCCGTCGGGAACGCATTCTCCAACATAATGGGTTGGGACTCATCATCAGCCACCACGTGCACACCCTCCGACATGGTCAAGACAATGTCTCACCCAGCCCTCCGGTAGAATCAATAACGGCTTTATCATTTTGGCTGTTGAAAACCAGCCTCTGAGGGGTAACACATGAGGGGATAAGTGTGAGACATCAAGGATGAGTACATGGAGGTATGGCCACCTGGAATTTTGTCGCATGCCTTGCCGCTTGGCATATCCAAGCGACTGGATATACAACCTCCTAAGACGCTCTGGAATCTTTCAGCATGCGTCATCTATTGTTCGCTCGGTAGTCAATGATTCTTGCGTAAGTGATCTATCTACTACAATCGTAAAGATGGCGTAATGCTCCAATGTTACTTCTGCTTTGCACAGACTTTCCGAGTGTAAGAGCCCTGAAGACAAAGAGGTTAGTTGGACTCATCCTGCCCATTGAAGAGCGTACACGCTTCGAGTAGCAAAGAGTGGCCCTCTGAATGAATCACACGGTCGCCCCTTCAGACCGTCAAAGCCTGCAGCCTTTTTATATAAAGCACAAAGAAGCCACCAAGGTTTAACGTCATCCCATGCTCTTCTTCGTCAATCCTTCCGAGTTCTTTCCTAGATAATTCACAATTAGACCAACACTCATTTTCCTCATTGAAATTCTCGTATTCATTCAATTCCTATCTAATCATTAAAGACCTTCACTCATTACAGGTCGTCTTATAATCAATTATTTCTCAGAGATTCTACAGCAAGTCGAAAAGAGCAGGACTCTCTACACTTGAACAAAACCATACGCCCACAAGGCATCTGCGTTACGTTTTTCTAGACAACATCAAGACAAGATGCATATAACAAGCCTTCTCCTTACATCAGCTATGTTATCCTTCGGGGGCGCGAGCATCATTCCAAGGCCCCGTGGCCCTACTCACGCAGCGACTGGGATGGCACTGCTTAGCGTATATGGACGACGCTCACCGGTGGACATCACCACTGCGCTCGAGCCTCAGAATTATGTGGATGTACAGACAGATCGGCGGAAAGCTTTTGGAGAATCTTTGTAGACAGGAGTTTTCAAACTTGAGTAAAAGGTTATCAATTGGTATAGACTCGGAGTTCAGCTAGGCTTAAGGAGAGCACATACACGTATGCGCCCTCCGTAAGCCCAGGTGAACCGTCATTGCGCTTCCCTCAGCAACAATACAATATACATTTGGCCTCTCCTTTGATGCTTCTTCGTGATCATCTGTCACTGACAAGCTACATGATTTGAAAGATTACAGTGAAGTGATGATATCTAGCGATATAGCTATGTCCCGTGCTCTCAGTATCACATATATAGGCGCAAAGCAAACCCTAGTATATCTGAACGTCTGGATTAGTGGTGCTCGTGGTCATAACATCTTTCATCAGGCACTAACAGAATGTACATCACATCGTGGTAGCGAGTGTCGACACCATCCAAGCAAACGGCTGAAGCTGACAAGCTTCGACGGTAAATCGTTGTTGAGCGCGCTCACGGCGCATCACCACCAAGCCACTAAAACACACGAAATCAGTTCCCGCCATGTCGAAGTGGAAGCGACTATATTAAATTGCAGTGCCGCCAGGATAAAGGGAATTGCATCATTAAGAACAACGTACGCTTTCCGTGCCTAGTACCATTGTCCAAAGGTGTTTGACCGATCGCTCGAGTTGCGCGACTCGCGCCGGCGAATACGAGAGGCCCTCGTAGCACCCCGTGGACGAGTAGAGCGTCATCACGCTCTCGAGGCCTTGGATATATTCAATATCCTCGTCTTCGCATGCCGATTCTGCTCGGCCGCGGAGCCAGTCCAGTAGATACGCGGCAGTGAGACCGCCGGTCCGCCAAGTTGTTCCGTCGAGGAACCAGCGTCCCTTCGCCGCCACCTACGTACGTCCTATCAGCCCCGCCGGCGGCAAAAGAAAATAGCACCGCGGAAATACGTACCTCCATGAGATTGCTGTTTTTCATATCGATGTGCATAGTGACGACGCAGCGCATCGCGTATTGGGCATACGGCCGGAGAGAGCAGCGGTCTTTGAGAGTCGAGTCGCTGGTCGGTTGACTGATGCGGACCGAGAGGTAGATTGCGAGCATGATGGTTTGGTGAATCCCGAATTCGGGGAATGAGGCGGTCCAGAGGATCTCGGGCGGTATCCAGAAGCACTGACGCCACCTCGTCACGAGAAGATAGAGCCGCTCCCGCGTTTCGACGTGCCATCCAAGCGGATCCTGACGCTTTGTGCCGATATCGACGTATTTCTCGACCATGTTGTCGGATAGATACAAGACGGTGTGGAGCAGAATGTACTTCCCAGTCATGGAAAGCATATTAGTTAATGCGATTCGACTGTGTTGATCGCCTAACAACATGCTCAGTGCTTGGGGCAGTGTTAACGTACAATCGCGATTTTCACGTTGCAAGATTGGCTCCGATATCTTACTCTCCGTCTCAACACAACCCTCCAACTCCAATACCTTCTTTGGATCGCCCGGTAATTTGAGGGTCTGGAAGAATCGCGGGGGATGTAGCTTCAGTCCGAGCAGAGTTGACCGCGTCACGGTGCAGTAGAATTTCCACAGCGTCCACCGAATTTCCTGGTGGCAAAGCTCGTCTTCTACAGACCATTTGGTGCGACAGTCGGAGGGTGTATCGGAGAGCATATCCATTAAACTATTGGCTTCCCATCGTGTCATATCATTCAGCATTGGACTGACCCAGTCGGGATACCCGTCATCTTCAGACCACTGAAGATATTCAAGTAGCAGAATTCTAGTCTGGAAATCAGACAGTAGGTTGTTGGGATCCAACTCTGTAGAGGACGCCCAAGTCGCTTGCCGGCCCACGGCCTCTGCCCAGAGAGCTCCTGACAAGTCCTTGTACTCCTTTATAGCCCTGGCGCCCAGTGCTGCTAGAATTAGCGCACGGCCGCTAATAAGCCAGTTCGCACGGAGCGAAGAGGGACGGATGAATGGGAACCATTTCAACTGTGACTGGACGAAGTGCGTCATACAGAACTTGATGGCTCCTTGCGACTCGGACGAGATCCGGCCAGCCGCGAGACGAACCAGCTCGGAGCTGCAGTAGTCACACACCGTCCCCTCCCGTACATGGCACGCGCAAGTTGAATCAACACTATCGTCACTCATATCGGTCCAATCGCCGCCATTGATTTCGTCAGTTTGATCCCCAGCCGTGTCAGCATTAATGTTACCCTCAAGTAACTCATGCGAAATCACAGGCTCTCGCCAATCCTCATAATATTCAGAGGACAACGACTGCCGTTTTTGCCCCTCAAGCCCAGGTCGCGAAGGTGGTAACGGGCCCCTCCGCGGCCGCCGGCGCTTCTCGGCATTTTCAGGTTTGTGAACGGCCTCATGGCGCCTCAGCACGTCGCGTCGGTGAAAGAACAGCCCGCAATCAGGATACAGACACACGAACTTGGGCCGCGAATGACTGAGCTTGTGTCTCGTGGCGTGGTCTTTGCGCGCGAACTCGGCGGCGCAATCTGAGCATTTGAATAATTTCTTGGATGTCATGGTCATCGCAGGCTCCTTTTATCAAACTATGCGAGCGAGGACGACAGGGGGTTTGCTGGAGCAGATGAATTAGAGGCAGCATTTTCGACTCAATGTCCTCATCGAGATGTATTCCTACTTTACCTATGCAAGAAGAGAGCAGCATCACAGCTGTGCTTCAGTCCGACGATAAAAGTTTACTTGGCTTGGCAATTCAGCCATAAGACGCCCCCATCCCTACTAAAAAGGCTTGGGGCCAGTTACGAATACAGGTCAATGCAAATCAGCTGTACATAGAAATAAACAACTTTTGGCATACTATCAATGACATGGGTATGAGTATCAGACTCCAGAGGGGAATAGCGCTTCCCACCCTGATGGTTCTGAGAGAACAGTCCAGAGCATCGGTTTCTGTCCTCGGCGGGTTGGCGGTAAACACGACGCCGGCGGTCAATCTAAGTATGACATGAAGTCCTGCAGGATGACTAAGCCTTGGCGACTGAATAGTAGGTTATACTACTTTTCCTTTCTCACCATCTCTGCAGAATCTATTTAACTACGTATGTGGTTTTGCCACATGTTTACTGCTCGCGCACCCCGCGAAAGATTATGACACGCAGACTAGGTGCTAAGCGAGTTATCACCGGCCCTATCTCCTAATGAGTCTTCTGCATATTGGGCCCAGGATGATATGTTTTTCTTCTTCTTCGAATTGTGAGTAAGAACTGATGTACCGGGTCATTAGCTACCTAGTACACCCTCTCTAGAGTCTTCGATATTATCTTAGAACCTCTCATTTTTTACTAACGCATCTCCCACTTGACCTGGCCACCCAATTGAGCTGGCCACCCCCCTAGCCCATACAAATAACGTCGGTGCGTTAATCACGTGATAATT